TTATTCACCAGTTTTTTCATTTCATTTTCATTTCATTTCATTTCATTAAAAATTCTCAGCAATTAATTACAATAATACTTAATGAAAAAAAGATGCAAATTTAATATACGATTTTAAGAAAATTATTTAAAATTTTAATAAAGAATCACTTAACAAGAAGAGGTGATGGACATATGAAAATAACTCTGTGTAGAGCTTTCGAGCCATATGCCTTCAGTAAAATATTTTGATTAGCTAAGAACCGAATATCTGATTCAAAGTTAAGGATTTACAATTGCCAAATTATAAAGACTTAATAAATTTTTCACAAGTTTTCTAGAATTGCTTTACTCTTTTATCAAAAATCGGAAAATATTATCAAGATTAAAAGGAAAAATAAAATAAAACTAAGAATAATAAAAGCAAAATGTTCCGGAGTAAGGTTTTCATGGATTCAATGGGTCATTTTGCCCAAAAGCTTACATTTAATAGCTGTCGAATAGCATTCTTTTGTACAGTTGAGTGAAGGATTTCTTTGTACTAGAATTTCAAATATTCTGAGGGATACTATTCCAAATTTTGATTCCTGAATGTGTAATGAAGTTTTTCTTATAATTAGTTCTTACTGCTGGAGTATCAAATTTACCAGATTTAGCTTTCCTTGTATTAATATTATGCTTGCTGCTTGATGAAATAAGAGTGAATAAAGGCTGGAATAGCTTCCTTTAGATATTTCAAACATACATTTGGCACATTTCAGTTGGTACGTGTCTTCTAAATTCAACAATTTAAGGTTTTTTAGGATTGGTTTCGAAGATTCCATTTGCGTTTTAAATGTAATAATTCTCACTGCTTTCTTTAAACATTTGCCAAGTTTATTTAGCGAGCTGGGATAGGCACCGCCCCAATTGGTTATACCGTAGTTAATATGTGGTGAAATAAAAGCATTAAATATGTTGATTAGTACATTAAATATGTTGATTTTGGTGCAAAATGCCTAACCTTCGACAAAATACCAATACTTTTCGCCATTTTAGTTGTGATATGATCAATGTGAGTTTTCAAAGTTAAGTTTTTATCAATACAAACACCTACAATCTTGGCACCAAATAGTTGAGACATACGAACGAAAAGGGAATTCGCGTGCTATCTCTTCATATAATGTGCGCTGGTGACCTAAACCCCCGTGGTCAATGTTGTTAAGGATGGTTACAGAATAAGTGGGAATTACAGCATTAGTTACCAATCCAATCACACCATTGATTCGGGGGGAAAGAGGGTGGGTGATTTGTAAGTAGCTTTGTAAGTGTCTCAGCATTTTTTGCCAAGATTGTAGGTATTTAACGCAATCCGATTCTTTTAGTGTCTCACTGTTAAGGTTAATATTTATATTTCTCGAGATTTTCTTCTGTCTTGGTTTTATTATCATAAAATTAGATTTATTAACATTCAAGGTCAATTTATTAGCCATTAACCAATCCGAAATTTTAGCTAGTTCACAGTTAACGACTCGTTCTAAATGGTCAATATTTTTATTAGAATAGAATAAACTTGTGTCGTCCGCAAAGAGATGTAAACTTGTGATATGTGATGTCTGAGGAATATCATTTATATATATTAAGAAAAGAAGAGGCCCGTACATGCTTTCCTGGGGTACTCCATGATGGTAATAATATGAATCAGATAACGAGCCTTCAACTGCTTCTCGTTGGGTCCTGTCTTCTAGGTAGGCTCGAGACCATTTAAGAGCAACTCCTCGTATATCATCGTGTTCTAGTTTAGTTCGTAAAATTTCGTGATTCACAGTATCAAAGGCCCAGTTGCAAAATCTAAGAACATGCAACATGAAAAAAGGTTTATCTCTATAGCATTAACTAGTTTATCACAAATATCCAGAATAGCAAAGGAAGTTGATTTTAGCTTTTGAAAACCGAATTGATGTGGATACAGTAAGTTATGTTTTTCAATAAAACCACTCAATCTGGAATAAATGAGTTTTTCGAAAATTTTATCAAAAACAGGCCGATAATTCGAGACTCCATTTTTCGAATTAGCTTTAAAAATTTGATTACTTTTTCACATTTTAAAAATTTCAGAAAGCAGCAACTACAAAAAGAGAGATTTATCAGAGTCACCAGGTGACATGTTATTTCATTTTTTATAGTTTTGATCAAAGAAATAGGTATGTCGTATGCACCCGCTGATTTGGTTGAGTCAAGATTATTTAGTTCATCGAGCACTTCAGTTTCTGTAGCAGGTAAAAGCATAATACTTTCAGACGGTGAATCTTTTAGGTAGTCAGTAAAGTGGGATTCGGGGTACCAAGTTTATCTACCAGTTTCCTTGTTATATTTGTGAAATATCTATTAAATTTATTTGCTACGTGTTGCGGATATTTTAGTATGCTTCCGTTTGCAGTAGTAAGTGAAATTTCATCAGATTATTTTTAGGTACTTTGCTTATGATTTCATTTATGCCTGACCAAATCTTCTTGAGTCCTGGCAAAACGACTAAACATTTCACTAAACATTTCAGTCAACTTTTGTTTAGCGAAGTTGAGCGAAGTTTAACAAGGGTGGAAAAACGCGACTAAACTCTTACTAAACTTTACTAAACTTCTTTGAATTGCGAGCTGTCTATGACGTTGTTGGGTTGTAGGGGATCTTGCATAGGAATATGCTTTTGGTTTAATTTGTTGCATACACAAGCGGTGGATAAAAATAAGAAATGGATGTAGCGACGGGGAAAGAAAAGACTTTTAGCACATTAACAACAAAGTTGACTGTTGAAGAAGACACAGTAGCGTACAACGAGATATGCAGATATTTCATAAAGGCTTTTTGGGTCACGTAAAGACAGGGAAACCAACGAAAACAGACGAAAACCTTTGGATTTCCATAACTAGTGCACTTGCGCGATTACAACAAATGTTTAATTGGTGGCAAAACGACTAAACATTTGATAAACAACACTGAACAACGTTAAACATTTTTGACCAACAATACTCAACACGACCAAACAACACTAAACAGGGTGGCAAACGACTAAACTTTTCACTGAAATTTTGACTAAACAAAACTTTTGACTTTTGACTAAATCACTACTGTGCAGACAAAAGGAGTTTATTTTCATCTTAGGACTCCATTGGTAACATTCTCAATAGGGAAGCGGTGCTGATTGGTCAAACTCAACAGTCATTTGCTCGTGTTTCTGATTGGCCTATTTCGATCCACAACTGGGTATATATAATTCCTAGCGTAGAGCTTTCGATCTATGTTCTGACGTTTTAAACTCTGAAGAGTGTCAGACGAAAAGCTTTAGTTTTCTCAAATGTTTGCTTTTTTCAAAGCTATTTTCAAGTTTTGTACCACCAAAAAATTGTTTTATAAGAGAATTGCAATCACCACAGGGAGGCTTTTCTCTAAAGATGCTTAAAAGAATCATTATGAAGTGAACGATGAATTGAGTTTTATTTTGCAGCATTTCTTCCTACATATTCAGTTTTCACTGTCTTGCCTTGTTTCACGTTTCAAATTTAGTTACCTTTTACCGCCTTTTATGCAAGCATAAAGAGCCGGTGCTGGAGCTTTTGCCTCTAGTGTTTTTGCAGCAAAGCCAAAGCTTTAAGATTCTTGTGGTGATAAAGGACCACTTTGAAGTTGAAATGGTTGCTGTCATAATGGTTGGTGTTTGGAGGAAGTGAATTCTTTTATGAAAAAGCCCCTTGTTACGATACTCATAATAAACTACTCAGTGATTTTTTGCATTTTGTGGCTTTCCTTTTTTATATTTCTACGTTTTCAAAGTTAATCTTTATTGAAACCCAGGTATTTATCAACATGTTTAGCTATATGGAAGTTTAGGGGTTGCTCGATATTTGAAGAGGGCATTGCTCCCTGGTATCACCTTTGGTGCGGGCTTTATTTAGTTTCATGACTTCATTTATCTATCATGCAAAAATTATAATCGTTTACAATAATGGTGTGTTTTTGCCCCTTTCCGATTGGAAGATACCCTGGGTACCAGACTCACTCTCTTATTTTATATAGAGTGAGTCTGTTACCCAGAGTAATTGGAAAAGTACACCAAGGGACAATGGTTTCAATATATTTGGGGAAATCTGTAGATGCGAGAGCTGCCTAATTTTTTCTGTATCGGAAATTAATTTTTCAGATGGGGGTTGGCAATGCCCACAAATCAAGCAAATTTGATAACAAATGACATAATTTACCGGCAAAAGCTTTAACCGATTTAGCAAAACCTGGGGGGTACCCCACACATCCCCGTAAATTCCGCCACTGAATTTCTTTGAGATCCTGTAGCGTGTCTGTGCATTGTTAACATTATTCAGGAACTTCTGAATGTAAGAACCATTATGTCACTTACCCTCGAGGTTCCAGATGTCTGCCTCCCAAAAAGGCCGAAAAATTCCACCATTGATTCTTCATTGGCATTGCGTACAAAACTGGTTGTAGACAATTTTTAGAGTATCTATTCTGTCTGATCTAGGTCTCATTTTATGCAATTTACTTTACGTAAGGATAGGAAACATAATCCTTCTGCAAAGATTAGCAAAGCAATTTTCAATATCGCTCTAACCTTAAAAATGACGCAATTGTAATTTCAGAATGCCTGAACATTACGCGTGTCAATATTTTTGAAAAAGAGGACAAAGCAATACTGATGAAAACTGGAAAATGAGGTGTAATCAAGGACTTGAAGAATTTTAGCCTGGTTGTGACAGCAGAAAGAATTTTTCGGAAATTTTTGGCTCTCCTCATCAAATGTTATCCCAATGGATAACTCAACCGACGATTTTTGTTTTTGATCATCATCATCATCATCATCACCATCAATTAAATTAACTAAAGTACAATTTAATACTTAAATAAGCTCTTTACATCTAAATGACAAATTAGAGCTTTTTACGGAAAAAAGAAAAATTAATTTAATAATAACTACGATATTCTCAACAGAAGACAAGAGATAAAATGAAAGTGCTGCCTCGTTTCCATCTTGAGGCTTAGGCCACAAAATGGAGTCTTTATTGTTCTTATTACAGTGCAAGAAAATACCTCTAGTTTCAGGAGCTTAATTTGAAGTTACGTTTTAGTAGAAATGTCTGCTGTGGCGTCAGAATGGAGCAAATTATTTGGGAAGCGTTTTGAATTGACGTTACAATATTCCAGTGAATGTAAAGATCAACAGGAAAGTGGGGACGACCGAACATTTCGCACTCATTTTCTTGATCAATTTTTGCGGCGTAAAGAAGAATTGAAAGATGAATTGAACTTTACAAAATCAGAATTGAATGATTTTGATATTCAAATATGGCGTACACATACAAATTTTATGAACCTTTGCGGACATCTCACAAGGTATTGTAAGAAACATTTAAATGCTGAGTTATGCACCCAAGCCTGGCTGAAATTTTGCACTATTCTTAATACATTTGACTTGGTAGAAAGAGATTTAGCCAAGAAAGAAGGAACACTGACCAGTGTTCATCTTTGTGAAGCACCTGGCGCGTTCGTAACATGTTTGAATCATCATATTGCTATTAGATATCCTGGTTTGTCACTAAACTGGAAAGCAACAACTTTCAATCCATACTATGAAGGCAACAGCATTCAGGAGATGATAAATGATGACAGATTTATTAAAAACACACTTCCCAATTGGATCTTTGGCGATGATTTGACAGGCAATATTATGAGCCTAAAAAATTTGCAGAGCTTGAAAGAAGTTTGCAGGGAAAATGTTCAAATAGATTTGGTAAGAAACCCTATCGATTTTTGTTTCTTGTAGAGTTGGAACTTATTTGGTCTCAGATTAATGAGGTTTGATAACAGGCACCAATTCAAGTTGATCGAGTAAAGAACCTTTCAGCAGTATCTTTGATGTGCAGAGATTTTTTGGTGTGCAGTAACCAATTTGCTGTCATTTAGCAATTTGGGAACAAAAGTTCACTATTGCATCCGGAGCATTCTTTGAAATTTGTCACTGCTCAATCTGTGGCAAACACTTTGAGTCAAGAAGGTAAGGTAGACTGCCCTAGATAATCTTAAAGCATTTCATTTCATTTCATTCATTATCAAACAATCCTAAATACAATTCATACACAAAACTCTACAACCAAGATATATTACAACACTAAGAACTAAAAACTAACAATTTTACAACACTAAGAACTAAAAACTAACAATCCTCAAGCAGATGAGAACTTTTAAAGCTGATACAATGATACAATAACAGAACAGTTGTATTTCTTGCCAAGATGTGAAGATTCTATGAAGATTTTTTAAAAATAACAGGTGCCATTTGTCAAAAAACATCAGTGAATTTATCTGAAGAAGCATTATTCAGAAGGTGTGGATGAGCATAAATGAGCAAATTTGCAGAGTATTTTGAGGGTGTGAACACTAAAATTTATCCTGGGACCTTTGACCCCACACATCCATCTTTTCCCTCCTAAATATAGAGTTTGGGATACTTTGAAATGACCTCCTATAAAACGTAAAAGCTTTTATAATCCTTTTCTGCTCATTTTTTCAAAATTACATTGCTTGTGATTTCCCCCCAAAGCACTCATTGAAGCTATGAAACACATACAAAAGTAGGATGAAAGTATGAGGATTTTCTGTTTACTTTTATTTTAGGTAACTGCTGATGGCAGTATTGATTGCTCAGAAAAACCTGACATGCAAGAATCTCTTGTTGCACAGCTGCTTTACTGGGAATTTGTAACAGCGCTGAATATTATATCACCTAGAGGAAATTTTATCATGAAGGCATTTACTGTGCTTGAAGAATTCACTATTTCAATGGTTTATCTGCTCTGCACTGCTTTTGAACAAGTTCATTTTTGCAAGCCAGGTTAGTTTTATGACGTTTGTGGTTCTTGAAAAAGAGAGAACAAAAATTGTCAAATTAGTTCAGCTCTTACTATTATCATTGATAACAGTTTTGAAATTTTTCCCATCTTGCGAAAAAGTGTTATTAGTTTCTGTTATTTACTGGTGCTCAGTTGCACAATCTTGATTTTAAGGTTCATTCATCCATTAAAAAAAGTTTCTTGGCTTTTTGTCCAAAATCTGCAGCAAACAGCTCTCTAGGAAATGAGCTATTTGCTTCCCTATATTTTCCCACTTTTTAACATCATTACCCTTATTTCCAATTCTACATGCCAAATGACCTTATACCAATGTTAAATTCTCTACTATCTGATAAAAGACTGTCGCTATGGATCCTCTCCAAATGTGTCCTAAGGTCTTTGCTTGCTTCTTTTCACTGATTTCTGTTTATTTTATTTTTGTACTTTTTTGTCAGAAGTGATAGGTTATGTAAATCTAATCATATTTTTCAACATAAAGATAGTGCACACAAAAATCAAGCTAATTTGGCTGAAAGCAAAATGGTTAAAAAATATTACTTTTTGTGTAGGAGATGACACAGAGACCGATTGAGTGCTTAGAACTGAATCAGCACCTCTGCATATATTTGCAAACAATTTGAACCAAGAAAGCAACTGAGATATAAACAACTTTACACATATTCTTCACACATAAACTTTACACATAGTCTTTAATAGATACTTTGATAAGCTTCTTTCATATTCGTTTTGCCTTATTTTCTGCTGAGTTATAACGAAATCTGTTTGACTAAAGTGGCTGTTTTTTAGATCATGCAGAGGTAATAGGCAATTTATGTAACCTAAGAGTTCCTTTTTGAAGGAAGGGAAATTCTGTGATCAAAATAAAGCCCAGAAGAGAAGCTCTGTGATCTAAAATTTGGAATTTTCTCTCCCTTTATGGGGACAACCCTATTATAACTATATCAAACTTTATCTTAATCATAAATTCTAACCTTGCAGTTAATTGAATAGAGCAACCCTGAGAAACTTGTTGCAGCCTAAACTATCATTAATGCTAAGCTTTGTCAGATTTCTCGCAGGATCTGCCCTCTGGACAAATGGCAGACCAAGGAGTCAAAATCACCATCTTTACTAACAGAAATACCTTATTCTGTATAAAACACAATGAAGAACATTGTTTGCCAAGCTGGGTTTCTGCCAACCTTGGTTTCTGCCCATCTGAATTTTTTGCTAGTCTGGGTTTCTGCCAGTCTGGGTTTCTGATAAGCTTAATTCTGGCACGCTATATTTATGCCAATCTGGATTTCTGCCAATCTGGATTTCTGCCAATCTGGATTTCTGCCAAGATGGATTTCTGCCAAGATGGAATTCTGCCAAGATTTGTTTCTGCCAACCTGGATTTCTTCCAAGATCTATTTCTGTCAAGCTATATTTCTTCCAAACTGGATTTTTGCCAAGATGGATTTCTGCCAACCTGGATTTCTGCCTAGATGGATTTCTGCCAACCTGGATTTCTTCCAAGATGGATTTCTGCCAATTTTTGATCTGCCAAGTGAACCAAAAGTGTAGCAATTTGTAAAAACTAATGCATGATGCTTAAAACAAAATATACCCATGTCATTTAGCTTTGGATAATCAACAAATTGTGTTATTTCGTTTCCTGATAGTCCTGCAGGTGAACTTTCATGTCATATTTCAATTCATTTCTTTTCAGTACTTGTTACTTCTCTTATTTTATCCTTTTCAATTCTCTGCCTTGAAACCTTGTTTATTTCTCATATGGCTATTTTTTTCTGCGTTTAAAGTCTGGGTCATTTATTGTTTCTACTTCATTTTTCTCATTTAAAAAGGCTTCTCTATACTGATATCATTGGTGCTAAGAATAGATGTAATCCAATGTTGGCTTAATTGGGATTATTTTGCTGCCATTATGAAAGTTATTTGGGGAAATTTTACCGGCGTTAAAAACTTGGCTGACAAATACCAGTGTGAGATGTCTCATAAACACGATGTTTGTTATGACAAGAGCTCATAACATGATATTCGAAATCACGATATTTTTCTTTGGCGTGTGGAATCTTAAGAGGTCCTTCGCTATTACCGTAATCGTGAGAATCCAAATAATGGTTTTTGTTTGATCCTAGTTTATTGTGATCTCATATTGCCGAAATTTTATATTCATTGAAGAATACAACGTAAACAAGATCAACATTCTTTGATGCTTTTTTTAATTGCGAATTTGTATACAAGGTGTCTGTAGAATCCCGACAGAGAATTCAGGCATTCAGCCTACCTATTTTGAGCATCTGTTTTTCTGAATTGAGAAGTGAAATCTTCACCTCATGAAACAAGTAATAATTAGACCTGTGTTATGATCAAATTGTGAAAAAATTGTGCTTGCTTTGAAGAATTCAGTTTTTAAGTATGGTTATATTCGTTAATGTGTTTTCAATGTGCATTTTTCTGATTCTTTAAATGCTTTTTAGTCTGTTTTCAGGGTAAAGTTGATTTGCCAACTTTAGTTATTTTATGTTGTATTATTTGCCATTTTATCTCTTTAACGCTGGTGGGAACTCTTTTTAAGGTCCAAGCAAACCTGGGAATTCGGAAGTATACATTGTCTGCATCGGTTTTCGTGGCCTAGATGTCCTTGGAACAAATTTCTACGAAGTTATAATGCAAAGAACCAATTCATCTGATTTCACATCGAGCCTTTTTCCTCTTGAAGATATTCCCGATTGCTTCCTGTCAAAGCTTCTGGAATGCGAAGAGTTTTTCATTCGCCACCAGATTCAAGCAATCCATTCTAATATCAGCAGTTTCCAGCATTTGCCAGGCAAAAGAAAGAAGTTTATAAATGGGCAAAAAGATCTCATATGCAAAATGTTCGTTAAAAATTTCGATTTACGACCTCTAGGCTCGAACCAGACTGTGACGTACGTGAAAGGTGCCTCTCCGGACAAAATTCCAAGCTCTTATTGCAAGGAACACAGTCACAACTTCACTTCTGGCAACTTCTACGAAAGATTACAGCAGAAGAGGTCTACATGGCTCGAGCGAGCCAATTTAGACGGTAATAAAATTTTGTATAAGCTTTAAGCGTACGGTATGTCCTGATCTTTTGTTGTGTGCCTCGCAGAATATTGAAGGCGCAACTTAGCCAGGAATAAGGGAGAAGAATTATCCAGAATATTTTCTGTGTCCTTTGTCAAAACTTTTCAATTTCTTCCCGATTGCCAGTCAACAAAGAAAGATCTTGACTTTCATTTTTTTCAGTTACTTTTCATGACTAAATATATTTCTTTCTTTGCGAAGAATGACACCTTTTGTTGCAATCAACTTTATCCACCTACCTATAGAGACAAGCTATCTTTGTCAAATAAAAGGCATCTTGGTTTATGTTAGAAATATTTCTCTGTCATTCATTTCCTAGGATCAAATGAAGACGTCGGGGCACATTCGTACACCTATCATCTGTTTTCAGGCAGTTTTCAAGAGATCACAGAAAGTGAAATTATTGACTGGCGTCCCATTTTAGGTAAGAAGTTTTCGACAGTTGCAAGTACTCAATTCGCCTCGAACTACTTAATTAAGGACTTGTTTGAAGCTAGACAGTTAAGTCTGACGTCAAACGTGATTTTTGGGGAAGATCATGAGACGTTGAATAGAGAATTGTTCTTCAGAGATGCAGCAGTCGTGAAAGAATTGGAAGAATTGCTGCATCTAAGTACATACAGTGCGCCCTGCGCCCTAAATATCAACTACGAAGACAGCTGCAAAGTCACCATTGATACAGTCGAACTGGCACCGTTAAGACAAAGTGAATGCGTTTCTGTCACTTCATTAAGTCGCAACACAACTCCAACATCCAAGAGCAGTGACAAGAGTTCGCAACTTGTTAAAACAGTTACAGAAATGATTGGTATTACGAACAACAGCAACGACAAGACCATTGATTTGCTGTTTTCATCTGCTTACGAATCTAACGAAGTCCTTGGTGGTGAAACTTCCAAAGATGCCCTTTGTTCAGTTTTAGCCCTTGGTTTAAGTTTGCTAAAAGAAGGAGGCATGCTAATTTGCCAAATCGGTGACATTTTCACGAATTATAATGCTGGGATTGTGTATATTTGCACACGACAGTTTAGTCGCACAGGGATCTTGAAGCCAAAATCCTGGCGTGCTTCTAGACTGTTGATATGCCAGGGCTTGAACAAGCCGAACAGTTCTTTAATTAAATATTTGAAGAAACTGCTCGTGTTAAGAGGTGAGATTTTGGACGGAAAATTGCAAGAAAACGATGTTATTCATACGTTGCCTATTTCATGCACTCTCGAAAGTGAATTTTTAGATTTTATGAAACAAACTAACGAGTCGTTTAGCAAGTTTCAGTTAAACTCGATCAAACACGCTCAAATGATGAATAAAACGTGCCTATAGTATTCGTTGGTTTAAACTTAAACGCACAGCTCTGTTTTTAGCTAATGTCTATTCGGACAGTAAAAGCTCTGTTGCGTTGCGTTGCATTTATCATAGCTCAGTTACATGAATCAGAACTAAATGGTTCCTTGCTCTTCTTCCACACCCTATTCTCAAGCATTCCTGACAACCAAAATGTACCAAACCATGTTCGAGGCTCTTGTCATTTGAAGGACAAATCGTTAGTTCTGAAAAGCGTTAAAAAATGATAATAGAGAAATATATGTTAGCATTATATCAATCTGTATCTCTTGCGTTTGAAGCTGTCGATAAATCTAAGATTGGTTGAGCTACGGTTCTTGTTATCTTTACCATAAGCTGAATCGTGATGAAAAAGTATCTTCCTCTATTGAATTTCAATCAGCGCCCAATTTAAGGGTATTTTCCAAGAGCACAAATTTCTACATGGATCTGGCCGCGCCTTCGTTTTTTGTGGATTTGATTTCGATCAAGGGGCCAATCAGTTCGAGAGGTATTGTAATCCAGTTGCTCAATTCATCATTCATCTTGTGCATGTCTGTATTGACAATGAAACCAAGCTTTTCTGAGTGGCTTCCATGTTGTAGACACCTTAATTTGTTTGGTTATTCCATTAGTCTGCAAGAAGTCCCTTTGCTGAAAGGGAATTCCACGAGATTACCGAGACCAATCACTGAGGGCAATACATCAAGCAACATTGAACACTACGAACATATGCCCACCAATTCTTCTATATATTTCCTTGTTTGCCTTGCCTATCTGGCTATGATTATCGTACCATCTGCGATTAATGATGGTTGTAGCAAATCGTCCAAACGTTCTGCACTGCAAGACGAGGCGTGCATGGCGATTGCAAATACATATCCATGTATGTTTTCCTTACTTCCCTACCAGTTCTTGCACATATTGATGTCATGTGATCACACTACATATGTATTTCAACAACCCCAGGATAGCTTACTTTTCTCTTCCTTTGCTGCCAACGTTTTCAAAAGATGAATCTTTGTCTATCTTGTCTCTTCTTCTTTTACGTGCCAGATCTTTATCAGTGCCAGCCTCAACAATGCTTTTGATACTAATCAATAATTCTTTTTCCGAAAGCCTTACTACTTCTTCTTCTTGCCGCTCTTCTCCTATTTTAAATCAACTCAACATCGCTTAGGCTAGTGTTGATTTTAAGCACAACACGATAAGTTGGTTTTGCAATTCTGTCTCTCTTCTTATTTGAACCAGCGAAATCCAAGAAGCTCCGGTAACAATTCTAAACATGTCTAATTATCTCAGAAAAATGAATGAAAAGGCTCGAACTAAGATATCAATGCCAGATGGTTGTCATTTTAGGTTATGATAGCAACCCCTTTTCAAGAAGGTCTAAAATTAACTCTTATCAATTATTCATCGTGTAGAAGATTTAAGAAAAGGGAACCTTTTGGAAAATGTCAGTTTTTACCTAGTTGAACAAAAACGAAACTGGCAATAATTTTGCTTTTCCCAGACCACTTTATCAAATCCCAAGCCACTATTGGTGGGGAAACACGTTTAGATAAGGCACTGATTTGTATTCCCATAAAAGGGTGTTACCTTTCAAACCTTTATGTGCTCATCTTGCAAGAAGGCATTTTGTATTATTCAAATGTTCTTTGTAAGCCACAATATCAGTTTATGAGATGACTTTCTCTGCAAATTTTATCAGGAAAATGTTTTTGGGATTTTTCTCTATAAAACCTAAAGTAGGTTTATTTCTTCTGCAAAACCCTATGAACATATGCTTGCATGGAAAATGACTTGGGTTTTGTTTGTCGACATTGAAAGAGGTCTATAATTAGTTAACAATTTTTAGCAAATAAATAGGTAAGTTTTCAAGACAGTAAAGGGCTCTTCAATGACTGACGGCTTTGGATTCACTTTGCGCAAACCCTTGTCAGCAAGTCCCAACCCTGAAGATCAGGCTGTCTGTAGACAGTTTATACTTCCTGGTATTGTTGGTAATGTTTTTTGCTTTGATGAAGCCCCGTATGCCGGGGCTAAATATTAGCCATAACTGGCTTAAGTGTGTTTGTTGTTGTTCATTCTCGTCGTGTTGTGGTGTTACTTATTTACTACATTTTTTAAATATTTATCTAATCACGACATTCATTCAGTGTCAATTATGAAAATCCTAATTACAAATAAAAGTTAACTAATACAGTTGATAATTTAAATAAACAGATATAAAAACCAGTACTGTTCTTCCATGGATTCTTGTGGAAATGTTTTTCTTCAGTTTAGGAAATGACTTTTTAGTCCATTCTTAAACAGTGTTATTGTATTGGACTCTCTTATGTGTTTTGGGATAGAATTCCAGGTTTTTAGACCAATGTGATTAAAATTCTTCTACTGAAGTCTAAATTTAGCCTTGGGATTTGGAGATCAGTCTTGTTTCTTGTACCATACTTGCTTATCGCGGATCTTTCGGCGATTTCATCAATGTTTCACCGCAAGAAATCCATTCAACAAAGTATTACAATGTGCGTGTCAATAAAGGAAAGGCCACGAGAGCAGCCTGCTATCGTGGCCTTTCCTTTATTCACACGCACATTAATACTTTGTTGAATCTGCATGCTAAATGTTATTTAACATCGATCTAGCTTCCGTCACTGTCATTCTAGTCTTCTTGAAAACGTCTTCTTGTGAGTTGATAAATGACAATTTTGCCAACTAATCATTTCTTGGCAGCAACATTTGATTAAATGCAATACTCTATTGCCATTTGTAGCAGCTCTTCAAATTCTTAAGAAAAGGTTACTCATAAAGGAAAGAGCTTGCTTGACAAATTGGAAACTTTTCAAACATACTGAAACTTTCCAAGACACTCTTAACAGTTTCAAGTGTCAAATCATAGATCGAAAACTTCAAGTTAGAAGATATATTTATCCTGCTGTGGATCGAAACATGGAAGTTTGTCTTGAAAACTTCTTTCTTTTTATGCCTGCCCTCAAACAGTTTAAAGTTTTATGAAAAAATAGATCATTTGTTCTGTCAACAGCGTCATTCTAGAAGCCAGAATTTCACCTCAAATTGAATTTTTACTTATGACTTTGAATCGAACAAATCTTTTTAAATGAAACAAGTACAGAAATCAGTTGGTCCTGAAATCAGTTGGTCCTAAAATCATTTGGCCCTGAAATCAGTTTAGGGATATTTTTCACAATATAATCTCCGTGAAGTTTCCAAATCTATTAAACATTTAATTTGATGTAGAGACAGTAACTGGGCATACATTGAGAAAGTTCTTTTATGTCTTTGCCATAGGCCATGCAATCTGAGAAAGATCTTTTATGTCTTTGCCATAGGTGGTCGGTTGATAAAGAAAATCAAAGGCATAAACTTTTTCGTACTTGAAAATGTTTCGTCATCTTTAATTCTTAAGAATTCATTGTCATAGATCACTTGAGTTTCAGTAAAATGAAGTCAAGATAAAACAAAAACTTTATTTTAGGTTAAATGATAACAACCATATTGAATTTACAGGTTTATAAAAAGCGATTCTAATTTATGTCTAAAAGTTTGACCACGGAACTACTTTTAATATATCTACAAAGCCATTTTATTCGATACGTCGTTTTGAAATTATAAACAGTTTTTTGGCACAACAGTTTTTGTTCACCTATATTAGTTGGAGTTAGTTGAGGATAATGATATCGGAGGTCTTGCTTGTTTCGGTGGCGTCTTTGATTTAACAATCTTGTCCTGCAAAAGAAAATTTAATAAAAGAAAAAAGCCTCGAATATTTTTGAAACACAAAACATACTCCAAAGAAACACATAACATACTCCAAAGAAACACATAATATACAAACGGTTGTACTGTTAATATCAGCAGCTGTTTACATTGCCTAATATCGCTGCGTTTTCTAATACTTGTTTTTGTCAAATGCAGAAATATCGGTCTTTTATGAAAAGTATGAAAAAAGGAAAAGCCACGAGAACAGGCTGCTCGACAAGACTCCGATTGAATTCTTGCGGCGAAAAATCGATAAAAATGTAGGAAATAAGTAACACCGCAACGTGACGAGAATGCCAGCAACAAACACACACAAATTAGTTATGGCTAATGAAAAGATTATGTAAAGATTATTTGATAATTTATGAAAAACAAGTTGATAATTTATGAAAAGATTTAGTAAAGGGATGCAATAAATTACACCTAAGGGAAATCGATATATATGCAGTTACATCTTATCAAATTACAGCATCAAATATACAACCGGGTTTTAAACCAACAAAATAAACAATATTCAGTGTCAAAATGATATTGATGGAAAAAACTTGCAAAGAAGTTAATGACATCAAAACTGAACTCGTGTATTTTTAAACCGAAGCTCGACATAAATACCAAAGCAATCAATCATGCCTAGTACGATATTGTGATGACGCTAGTCACGCATTGTGGTAGTAACTCGCAGTCTTACGTCAAATAATATGTACCCTATAATATATAACCATTGTAAATAGATATAATATTAAATCCGTGTACCCGTGTCGTCAAAATTTCTAAATAACCTGCTGCTGTAATTAAAAAATTCAAGTCCGGGAAAATGTGCCGAGCATTTTACCAAAAACAATATTTTATGTGATTTTCTGAGAAAGTTAGTTTTGTTTGCTAGAACCATAAACAAGCCACGTGCAAGCTGTATCCTTTCACGGTGGACCAAAGTAGATAATTAACTGTTGCTCTGAGAAATTCAAAGTAAAAATAACGAGAATGAAATTGAAAACAATTACCTCCAAATTCTGGCTTGCTTTGATCATTGTTCCATGAGTTGTTTTCACTGGAAAATAAAACAAATTTAGTGTTAATATTTTAAAAGCTCACTTTATACAATATTTTCATCTTAATACCATTATACAATATATTAAATAATTTAATAAATTACAAACTAAGTACGAGTAAAGATACAAACAAGCTAATAATTATAACATATAATAACTTGTATGAAAAAAAATTCATTTGGACCCTTATTATGACGTTTCATACTCTGAAGAGTTTCAGACGAAAAAGCTTTCAGTAGTATGTTGAGAAATGTTTGTTTCTTCAAAGCCATTTTCAAATTCTTAGCCATTTAAAACAGGAATAGTAAATTTACTAAGAATTTTACCATATGAGCTTTGCCTGTTTATTTTGCTGTAAAAACTAAATAACAATGAACACAAATCGTACAATTGTTTTTTTTAACAATGGAATCAACTGAAATTAACTCCAAAAAAGATTAGAATTATTTCACGCAAGTATACTTGGACAATACCTAGGCATAGAAGTAATTCTTATGGTAAAATGAAACAAAAAGGACATAGTTACAATGAAATATGGATTGATCTCAAGCAAGATGGGAACTAATTTTGACTCCCATATTTCCTTCATGATCAATTCCTACCATTCAAAATTCCAAACAACTTTTGAGGTTCATTTATTCGATTGTTGATTGAAAACAATAGTATTATGGTGTCTTTCTGATTGTTTTGCGTAAAAACTGTTCCTGGCAGGTTTTTTTTGTAAATTAAACTCGTATTTGATGCTTACGTTTCTCTAGTATTTGATGCTCCAAATCACCTTTAACCTTGTTTGATTCCTATAAAAAAATAGCGTGAATATTATTTTGTCTTCGTTTTTAAAGAAGTTAGGATAGCAACGGATTTGTCGCCATACTGGCAGTTGAATGGAAGATTAAAGTTAGCATGTCAAAAGGTCGAAATTGACAATTAATCCTTGAATTCATAAACCAAATCGTTGTCATATTCACCAAAATTGTCCATTGTAACGCGTGTTTTGTTCCTTAAAAATTACCTTATCCAAAGAACACCAAATCAACATCTTAAAGCAATGTACAGGGCTTTAAATGAGTCCACATTTTACGAAATCAAAGTCTTTCAAAATGTAGAGATATGCTGTTGATAACTTCAACTAATTAATTGATACATTGAATATGCACAATGTAATAGATATATTTTGAGTTAAGTAATCGATACAATGTAAAATAAATTGATACTGGCACCTAGGACTTACCTATTAATGCAAAACATTTGGTAAATGACTAGTACAAAGAATATTGCACCAAGGAAATGCAATATTACAACCTTATCCATAAAAATCAACTTTTTCAATTAGCGACAATAAACTAAAATTTCTACATTTATATTTATTTATACCATTTTTTCTACCCAGTAATGAATTGTTCACTTCCCATCAAAGTTTATCAAAGCGTATTAAAATGATAATTTTGTTGTCTGGAAACAGCTATCAATTGATATCAACAAGAAAATAAGGAAAAAAAAGGAAAAGAGGGAAGAAATTTAGAGAGCTAGAAATGTTTACCTCAAGGCGGTGCAGAGATGACTTGATCAATTTGTCTTGATAGGAAAGGCGCTTCTTGAGGTTATTTATTTCTGATTTCAGTTGCCGATTCTAAAATAGGACAATTTATTCAACTTTCAAGCTATCAGGAGTAATTCCGCATAAATGAAACTGGGTGTAATGTATGTTTTGATACAACAATCTCGGTTTTCCAGCATTACAGTATAAGATTTTAACTAAGCCATCATGAATTTCTTGGATATGGGTGACTTAAAACGGAGTGAAAATGAATCCCCTTGCTGCAACACTTTCGGTGCTGTCTGCTGCTGATCCATTAGGTTAACAATTGAAACAAAGCTGCAAAATACTTGCTATATAAAATGTAGAACATTAATATGAATCACTACACAAAATTGTGTAGGAAGTAGGAAGTAGTAGGAAGAATACGATGTAGAAAGAATCAACATAGCATTTCAAAGAAAAATCATCATATTAGGCATGCTATAACATGTATCGTGTTTAAAGGCATTGAGTCCTGATAAAAGGAGAGGGTATACCCAATAATGCTGAGTCATGATTTTCGTGCTGTAGTGCTTTTGGTAGGCCTACCCCTGATCAAAAGAACACAACTCGTACTGATTTACAAAACAGCTCCCTTCAATAGCAAACTGTCAACAATGGATGCCAATATCACATGGAACTGCAACAATCACGCCGAAAGAAAAAAACCCCTAGATAAAATCATGATAAAAAGACGGCCTATTCATGCGTCATGGTAAAAAGACGGCCTATTTATCATGACGCAGTTCCTCAAGAAAGGAACAAATTTCATGTAATAGGGGCAAGTCAAAGACAGGGTTGCCATTTTAAAGTTGCAATCATATGTATGACAGAACAAGCAAACAAAGAATACAGTTTATTTCACCCCGAAAAGACAATTAATCTAAAACAGGAAGCCTTTTAGATGACAAAAGAAGTCATCGCAAGAACGTTAATGGAGGCGCAGATTTAGGTAGTTCATGTGGAATTATTCAAAGGAGTAGAAGAATGCTGGCACCTCAAGTAGCATTGAATTGTCAGGAATATCTTCTTTCTTCCCATTTTCTTCAGGTCTCATCAAATCAACTAGTTTTCTGCATTTGCCAAGGTCGATAGAGAGCCTGTCCAGCTCATCCCGCAACTCGGTCATCTGTAAATAAAAAAGCTAACTTGTTAAATAACAAAACCATGATGAAAACCTTTAATTTGTTGATTTGATTGAAACATTTACCGTTGTATTCATTCGCAGAAGTAAAAACATAATTGCACTAGTTTATCTTTAGCGTTCATCAGGTTGATCAAGATAATGGGGTTTGAAATCTTAGCAAGCATATAATTAAATTTGAATAAGCACATTATAAGCCAAAGAATTAAATATCATCAAGCAAACAAATAAAAGATTTACAGACAACATAAAAACTATATCAGAAACACTTTGACAAATGCCAATCGTGGTGATACAAATATCGAAAAATAGCTGGCATGCATTTTATCAAAAATAAATTTATTGGTGAGCAGTTTTTAGAACTCCTCACCACAACAATTGAAACATAAGATCTCAACGATCAATTGTTACGGCGAATCTTACGATATCCAGAAACTCAACTCAATGTTGATTAGTATTCACCTGGTTGGCTGTGATGTTCCTCTGGGACTGTATAATCTCATGCACGTCCTGCATCAGCATAATGCGTTGACAGCAGTTTGCGAGTTTATTTTTAAGTATGACGTAATCTTCGAGCTTTCCGCGTATAAACATTTGCTCATTCGCAGCGTCATCAACAATCGCAGCTAAACTTGACTGTGATAGGAATTTCGACTTCGAGGCCGGCGAACCTTGAGAAAAAATTATAAATTAGAGAATGCTGGGATAGTATCAAATTAATTCATCAAAATAGCATTGCCATTACAGATTTTTAACAGAGAATATCTAATTTTTTCAGCTGTGTTCTCGCGATGTGGAAAATCAAAATGAAAATTATATATATCCAGGTAATTTTTTGTAGACAAGGAGAGAAAATCCTTGCTACTCAAAATTTGTGCTACCATGTCTTAATTCAAAAAATATAATAAATACCAGTTAATAAAACAAAAAAATTAAGTTGATAATAAAACAAAAACGAATACCATTTTCTTTTGTTGGTGTTTCTTGTGACAGATATCTGGGTCGCACATTTCCGGGCTGGTTAAAAGCCTGGTCATTAAGGACTCCATCATTAAGGGGTATTGTCGAGAACAACGCTCGTCTCACAGTTCCGCCTTTTCCGTCCTCAGAATTGGGCCTAGGCTCCAATGTCGGGTTTGCTGGAGAACTGAACCCTTTGGAAGACAAATATATGGATTTCAGAAAGATTGTGGATTTCAGAAAGATTGTGGATTTCAGAAAATATAGTATAAAAAAGCTTTAAATTTGCCCTGATGATGAAAATAACCTTGATTACGCGAGAAAGATGTTCAGTTTGAATAGACGAAAGCCCTTGTAGACACATCAGGGGGCAATAGAATTTTCAGATGCCGTAATCTGTATAGAAGTGACGGATGGGAAATCTTACCTGATGAATTGAGCGACCTCCCCAGCTGCTCCTCCAGCTTATCTTTCAATGCAATGTTTGCTTCGGCGCTTTTCTGGAGTTGAACCCTCAAATTTCTGATTTCTTCGAGAAGAATTTGCAGCAACGATGGGTCAAAATTAGAATCTGACGTGTTGTCTCTTGAGACAGCTGCATCTGGAAAAACAAGCGGCCATTCTCATGGTAATTGCTGCATCAAAGAACACTGCATCGAAGAAATATATAAAAGGTGCAGTGGCTGTTTGGATGACTTATATGGGAAAACAACTGTAACCATCCTAGGTTTAAAGGTTTAAGGTCTTTCCATGCATAACTAACATTAATATTTGTTCCAGGTTACCAAACAAAAACCGTTAGCAAATAAGGGTAAGATGGTCCACAGAATATTTTACCAATTATCAATCAAGACTGAATGAGGTGCTCTCTCGTCATTTGGATCATTTATTTTTGGGGTGTCAGTGCGCCAATCGCAAAGACAGCCATAAATAAAAACCCAACAGTTTTTGAGGGGGTTGAGAAGAAGAACAATGGCCTTCTTCCGCCGACAAGCAACACCTTGTTCATGCAAAAATTGGAAGCCATATGGCCATTAACTAATGCACGAAGAAAAGAAAGATAAATTTAACATGCCTCCAAACACCTGAAATATCTAGATATGGGTAGGGTGGGCAGGGTCGCAAAGGAAAACCTTTCCTCTCTACGTCTAACTTCAGATTATCTTGTAGTGTGTGAGAATAAAACTATACCAAGACCAATGCCAATGCACTTTTGCCCAAGGCCATATACCCAAGTTTATATACCCAAGGCCAATGCATACTTGCACGCTTGTTGCTTTAGCCGTATAAAAGACACAATGTGAAGCTTACTCGAGCACTGCTACAATAAACAAAAACTCCACAATCGTGCAATCTGTGCCCAAAAAAACAAAAGCCCAAGGGGCACCTAAACAGCGTACCCTGTCACATATTAAACGTGATTAAAGTTCATTAAATGTGTGTGGTATAGGAAAAACCTGTTAATCACAAATTTAAGGGAACTGAAAATCGCCCGAAGAAATTTTAAAGCTCAAAAGCAAATCACACAGTTCCTTGAGAATACATATATGAAAATAGATTCGTATAGAATTTCTTTAAAGGTGGCTATAACTGTATCCTATTCATTAAGAATACATTCTTCGATTTAAAATAATTGAGAGAGATACATAACATGGAAATAATACATTTCCTTGCAACATTTCACGTAAACGTCGCCAACCCTTTGGCTGTCGTTAGAACTGACTCTTACATTAATAATACGGGCTAACATTTTCGGCGCAGTATTACCCCACAACTGAAAAACTGCAGCCTGCCAGATGGCACCACATCTACGCCGATAAAAGAAACCAATCACCCCAGAATTTAGCCCTCATGACTAGGGTACTTATATTATCTGTTTTCTATTTTTACATGGGAGAGCAATATTAAATTAAAGATCAATTAGATTTGAATAATCTGTTCAAAATTTGGTTTAATATAACCCACATACAAGCAGATTTCATGGTTCTATTTAAACATACATGTATATTTGGTAAGTTTCTTGCTGTAATTGTAACAAAATTGTTCAGCCTTTTTTTATTTTTCCTGTCCATTTATAAGAAAACATAAAGGTTGTTCCTACAAATGAGTTTCTCAGTTGCGAAGTATTGAATCTAAATATTTTTATAATAAAACAAATTATAATTGCATAAATTTTTCAGTATAAAAGCAAACCATTCCTTAGCATGTGTTACGCCAGTGAATAAACATTGAGCAAAAATGGAACGAAAAAGAATCAGCATTATTTTAAGTTTCATTTTTTATGCAGATTTAAATTAACCTTACATGTAGGAACTTTATAAATGTTTTAATGATAACATTGCAAAGCATAGGTACTAATAATGTAAATTTAATCAAATTTAGCTTTAAGAAAACACACAAAGTGAAAGATTTTTCAAATATGCTCATTGTATTCAAGATACTGAGTAAATTTCTACATTTAATTGACCTTTAGGTAAACAACTCCACAAAGAGTTTACTTGAAAGCAAAATATGTTGACCTTTGTAACAAATATAAATATAATTATATCACTATTTACACTTCGAATTAATAGCAGTAAGAATAAATTTATAATAGCTATTTATAGACAACAATTTATATCTGAAAACAGTTATATTGTTTTAATGTTTTAAGCATTATGGTTTAATTTAACAATTTATAAAATATTTGATTTCAACTATTTTATTCTAATGGTAAAAAATATTTTATAATTTTTAATTGTTCAAGGCATTGAAATCCATCTTGATGTATGCCTATGTTTATTTGGACTTTGTTTTACTTCAATTCCGCTATCTAGAGACAAACAAGAAGTTTCAAAATAATGTCATAAGAAGTTTATTGTCAAAATATGTTTAATATCATAGTATTTTGCATAAGAAGTTTTATGAAAATTTAATATAAGACAGGGCAAGAAAGCTGACAACATAACACAAATAAATTTCAATTAATTCATAAATAGCTATCTGACTTTTGATAACTATAAGACTATTGACTGACATATTTTCAATTGCAAAATATTTGTTACGTTTCCTAATTTTTAATTCTGGATTAAGTTTATGAATTAAGTGTACCGGGTAATATGTCCGCACCAGTGCGATAAGAAATGATAGTGGTTTGAACACACAATTCCTTTAAAACTACACAACACAGCCCGAGTCGTGTTTTCAGACTCTTCATCCACCTTCGAATACTGCTACTTTCTCTCCCTTTTCTCCCAGAAAAATGCCGATAGCCTAGGCCAGCGTCTTTAAACCACCGTGGCACGGCAAACTTATGTCTGGTGTGCCGTGGAAAATTCACAAATTTCACCTAATTGCTCTAAAACAGGCACAGGGTTCAAACTAAGTGAAAAAATTTTATTCTATTACGATATACTTGTTCACTGTGTATATTTTATTCCTGTTCTATATGCTACGATAAAGCGACTTTATAGTTTGCTAACATTTTCTGTTGGTGGTGTGCCTCGTGATCTTTTTAATGAAAAAATGTGCCGAGGATAAAAAAGAGTTGACAAGCACTTGCCTAAACAAATATCACACAAGTCACAAGAAAACGAGCAAGGGGGAGAGGGGGATGACTGAATTGGTGTTAGTTTTCCAAGACCTTGATAATAAAAAACAAGTATGTTAAACATCTCTACCACAATACATTCCTCTTTCAGCAAATAATTTGAAAAACGATAAGGAGACAAAGAAGATAGTAAGGCAAAAGGACAAATATTCGGAATTTACCAGGTGAATGACTTTTGGCTTGTTTTCTGGCAGCAGATGCCGTAAGCTGCTCTTGTAAGCGATCATACAAAGTAACTTCTTCTTTTAGGTTTGCCGTTACTTTATTCAAATTGTGAACTTGCTGGTGCAATTTCTTGATGCTTTCCTTATCACTGAACAGCAAAGAAAAGAATCAATATAACACATGTTTAAAATTCTATACAAATTTAGACCAGCTACGGACAGGAAAGTGCTACGAAGAGACAAAAGAGGATTATGCTCTTATAATCACTACAAATAATCCAAAAAAGGTTGTTCCAAAAGAGAGATATGGAGAATAGAAGAGAAATTCTCAATCCTTTTACAATAACCATCCCTGGCCTTGCTCATCTGGAAAGAGTTCACGAAATCTTAAAATTTTGCAGTGTAAAATTTGTGGAAATTTTTATTTGGACATAGAAAGCTTAATTATTTGACTAGGACTTTAAATTCTATATAGGAAATATGTATTGACGCCTTTTTCTCAAAAACACGCGATGACGAACTGAGATTAATTTACAAAAAAACACTGGCTAGCAAGTTTGCTAAAAGAAAAGGGCGCAGATCATAAAATGCTGAATGTATGATCTTCAATAAAATCGTTACTGACCTTTTTCTTTCTGCAACGAGGCGGTCAATTGTCGTTTGATGCTTTAAAACAGCATTTTGTCTCTCAATACTTTGTGTGCGAAGAAGATCATTATCTCTAACCAAACTCAATCGTAATTGAGGATCTTTTAATTTCTTCGCATCCTGCTCGATCATATTCAGTCGATGTTCTAACTGCGATTTCAATTCATTGTTATTTTTTATACTTAATTCCAATTCACTTTTAAGCTTCCTCATTTCAGAAATATGCAGAGCTATTAACTCGTCATTAGTGGCTTTTTTCTCTGCATCAAGGAAAGATTCGTTCATTTGCGCTGTCAAATTGACCTCGAGGTCTTTGATTTTTAACTCCAAACCACTTATCACAGACTCTTTGCTTTCCAACAAAAGTTTCATGTTGTTTATCTCCGATTTCAGTTTAATTTCACTTTCAAATGCCTCCCTAAACTTCTCATTCTTTTTTTCCAAGTCTTTAATAACAACCTCTTTACTATTTAACTCATCTATCAAAGCAGTTAACTTTTCCTCAAGCTGTTTCTTCTCAATTGCAGCTCTTAAGGCGATTGTATCTACTTGAATTTCTTTGCTAGATAAACTTATGGCCTTAATCGGAGTTGTCTGGGTGAAATGAGCAATAGACTGTATTGGGGATGCAACAGTGGAGCTTGTTTCTTTTGGAGCAAATGTCTGCATTCGTTCGAATTCCAAATTTCTTTGTTCAAGTTTTATCCTCAATTGCTGTATTTGGTTGTCTTTTTCTAGAAACAGCCCTGAAGATCTGCAAGAAAGAACCTAGTTAAGAAATTTCGGTCAATCTCGTGGCGATGAATTTCCTTTTTGCCAGTATTAGCATGTTATTTACACGTGGGTATAGGATTTTAGAAGCAAAAAACTAAGATGAATATGTTCTGATACGGTACTGAAGATCTCTGGCATTATGCTGATGAAGGGTGTGGGGGGCGGAGGGGGGGGGGCTGGTCTGTAGCCTTCTTTACGATATAGAACGGCTTTGAGCCCATGCAAGCATTAAGAAGGGTAGCACTTGAGCAGGCTGAAGTTTCTTATGCCTCGTGATCCTCTTGAATCAGTGGATTAAAGAAGTTGCCTTTATTTCAAAAACTAAGAGCCCCCAAACTATAGGCAACTTAAGCAAAAAATTTGTCATTGTTATTTAACTTTGAAGCTGGTAATTTGATATGAGAAATGAGTAAAAGAGGTCTCAAGCCTGTATGATATATCATTCCAAATAAATGATAGGTCGGTTTATTAGCATTGTATGTTTCGTCTATACTGTTTTACTGCTGCTAATTATTTTTGGGGCTCCAAACTGATGCATGCTCCGACAGGACACGAATAGGGAATTAAAGCGTCCCTTCCCTCCACTAGCTTACAGGTCCAGCCTGACCCGACTGGTACCACCTGGCAGGGTTCCCTAGCTCAGGGCTACGAGCGATGGCCAACGGCTAACTCGGCAGGAGATCGGCAAGGAGGGTGGATGAGCTACGACTCCAGGGGTCAATGGCTTCGGGCGGAAGAACTCCTGGAAAGAGGGATGGTGTCCCTTTAAAAACACTGTTTCTGGGGGCCCATCTCTACTATAAGCCCCTTAGTTTTATCTATGACCATGACGACCAACCAAAACTCAGATTTGGGGATAGTTGGAGGGTCATGGTAGCCAACCTTCTGATAGAAGATGGTACCTGATGATGAAACTGATAAGCCCCTAGGAGCCCTGGCTGTTTCCGTTACGTCACTGCTTTGAAATTTTCATTTAGATGGGTGGAGGTGCTAGCTACCCAATTATAAAACCTCCCCAGAACAGTGATAAACTCAAAAGTAAAAAGTACAGAAAATTCGTACAAAAATAAGGTGAATCGGTAATAAAGTTAAGAAAATATTAGGATTAGTTCGAGGGATAGCCAAAGCTTTTTTGAACTAATATCGGATCGTGTGCGCTAGCCACTGAAACTCTCCAAAATCGAGAAAGCTGCATGCAATTTGAAGCATTGGGAAATCTAAGTAGTACCGGGAATTGTTCAAACATGAAGATCAAGCGAAAGATAAGCAAAAAGAAATGAAGAATAATTATAGAAAATAATTACATCACCTTTGGTCTTCCCGCAGCAGCTTCGTTTTCATCTCATCTATCTCGATTTCATGACCCGCAATCTTTGCACGCAGCCTATCATTCTCCCGCAGTAATGAAACCCTGGCGTGAGGGTCTTTCATCTGCTCAGCCTCTTTTTCAGCTTCCGAAAGACGATGCTCCAAGTGGCTTCGCAAAGCATCATTGTTGCGAATGCTCTGTTCCAGTTCTTTTCGCAGCTCACGCATTTCAGCAATATGCAAAGCTATCAGGTTATTGTTATTGCTGGAATCCTCCTCCAGCTTGCCTCTCTTTTCCTGTTCAGTTTTTCCTTTTTCTATCTTGTAAAACTCGATTTGCTTCTTCAGAGCATCGATATATGCATCTCTTTTGAGCAAAGCTTCCTTTAACGCGCTGTCAGGTGTTGTTTGACTTTGGTATTCACGAGTCAACTTGGTTGGTGTCGTCTGCGAGTACATACTCACTCCTTTGTTTGGGGTTACGCTTGTCGAAACGTCAAACAATGTTCGTTGCTTTGCGAATTCATTTTCGAACTTTTCAATAATTTCCTGTTTGGTTTTGTTATCCATCTCTAATCTGTGAAGATATGAATGAGTCCCTATTTTCAATAGGAAAAACCGCTACCATTCTGGTGAGAATTCTAAAACTTTATCACAAGTTTGCAAATAGAAAGAAATAGTGACAAAATCAGATGATGGGTTATGACGTAAGCAACAATTATTTGCACAGTTCTTGCTAGTTCCAATATTTTTCTTGCTAGTTAAATGATCTTGTAAAAGAGGAAAAGCCCTTATTGGAGACGTTCTTTCTATTTGAAAGATAAATATAACAGTTCAAAGACTTTGAATAAGAATCTCATATCACCTCGGACAGCTATGTTACTGCTACTAGACCCCTGTCAAGGGTCCTTAGAATATCCTGTACTCAGGGGCGGCTGGCACTCATTTAACACTGCTATTAACTTTATAAAATATCATTTGACCACGCCCTTGCAAGTCAAAAAGCCAGTGGCATGAATTTCAGAATTGAGCTAAGAAATCAGAACAAATATTTTACCGAAAAAAAATTTGTTTTTTGTTGCACTAACGCAATAATACCTCTATTACTGTGTGTTAAAGAAGATGGTAGGAGAATTACTGGTTAAGATTTTCACTCTCACTTAGAATATTAATGATGGTAAGAAAATTTACTCTTAAAATAAAGCGAAAAAAATCAAGCTTTTCAATTAGTCAATTTAGCTTTAAAATTTCCGTTTCATTTCTTTCACCATCACATGACAAGGTCATTTAATGGGTGCCAAATTGTTGCTGAATTGCAGTGGCACATAAAATTGGAGTTAAAAAAATGCTTGCGCAATGCAACAAGACCTTTCGCAAGAAATTTTACTTGAATCTCAAACCGTTGCGCAATAACAGACATTTGGTGATATACCGATAACAAGCCGCATAAAAACTTCAACAACGAGCTTAGCAAATGAGCAGTGAAGAAAGGGACCAACCTGTCAACCATCACTTTTGAATTCTCTGACATATGAATCAGATCCTTAACTCTTTGTTCTAACTCTGCATTTGCTCTGTCTAACTCCAAGACGTCTTTTGTCAAATCCTGGATCTCTTTTGTTTGAGCCTCTTTTTCGGCATTAAAAGCCTCTTTCTCCCGGTTAGATTCTTCTCGTAATGTCTTTGCATGTCTCTCATAGACCCTCAACTTCTCTTCCAGCTTTTGATTGAAATTTATCAATTCTTGGATCTTTTGCTTCATCAAATTCATTTCAGGCTCCGATACCTTTCTCTCACGATCCTGTGCATCTTCATTTAGCTGCCTTTGTAATGCCCTGTTAACATTCTGACTTCTCTTCAACTCGTCCGCGAGTCTCTGTACTTCACGAGATGACTCCTGCAAACTTCGAATCTCGTCTCTTAGTCGGATGGTTACAGCCGTTGCCTCTTCATTCTCGCGCATTTGTTCTTCAAGAGCAAATTTAGCAGTCTTTAAATCATCTTTCAGTGCTCGGATCTCGGTTTCATTTGAGCCCTTCAAGCTATCATATGTTTGTGAAACTTCGTCAAGTTTATTGCGAAGGCGCTCATTCAAATCCCGAAGAACCTGTCGATCTCTTTGCAAGACATCACACTCTTTCACTAGCTTTCCATAATCTTCTTTTCTTTCTTCGATTTCAGATTTAAATCTTTCAACATCCTTTCTGAGTTTAGCAATTTGTCCGTTCTTTTCTTGGATCTGCTCCATCAAGAGCTTCTGATCGTCAGCCAAGGACTGCCTCACGCTCTCCAGCTTTTTGCAAACATCGTTCTGTTTAAGTACCTAAAGAGAAATTTTTATTTTTGTCACTGTTCAAATACAAAAAGTCTATAGATGGCCTATGGTAGGCCAACACAATTTAAAGCATTAAAAGACAGAAAGTATCGAAAATTGCAACTTAGAGTCGTGATTGTACAACGACACAGAAAAACCATGCTTAAATTTCAATTAGAGTATAGCCTTCGTATTAAAGATTTTCTAAATTGCTCATTAATATCATGGCTTCGTAATAGATTATAGACAAATCTAAAAATTGCAACAGTAAGCACAGAGCATAACGGGTGGAGGAGGCGTTTCTAGAAACATATTGAACCAGATATCCGAAAATATTTTGGTAAACAAAGATTCTCATAACTGGAAAGCAGGGGCGGACTCTTGGTCAAATATTGGGAGGGGGGCAGCAAGCATATTATTTTCACAAGATGGCGTCAAATTTTCCCATTGTTTAAGATCAAAAGACATCCTCCTGGCCTCCAAAGTATTTGGGAGAGGGGGCGACCGTCCCGACTCGTCCCCGCCCTAGGTGCCTGCAACTGCTGGAAAGCCACTTTGATAGCGCAATACTGTCTGATTGCATCACATCTGTTTTATTTGGAACTGACAAAAGATATATGCCTTTTTAAATTTATGACTAGACGTTTGTTTGGGTGTTTTTTCACCGGTAATTCCCTTCCGCACGGAGCTACTGAATGAGACAAAAGTCACCAATTCGAGTAAAAATGCAGAAAAAAAGACTTGACAATACATTTCATATAATGCAAATTACTTACATTTTCGTTTGCCTCCTTTAGTTCTTCACTTTTCTCGTTGAGTGTTTTTCGAAGAACATCATTAACAGCACTGAGGCCATCAACTTGTTTTCTTAAGTTTTCTTGTTCGGCACTCTTACCACCCTTCAATGACTGTAGTTGTGAATGCAATGAAGTAACCTTCTCCTCCATGTTTCTAATCACCGTTTTCGCCTGTTCGCAGTTACTAGTAAGTGTTTCAATTTCTTTGCTGCGCAGTTGAGCAAATCTATCATAATGGCGTTTCAGATCATCTAATGCTTTCTTTGTGTTATTCCTCTCTAGATGTGCCTCCTCCAGCTTCCCTTCCAACTGCTCTCGTGTTGATATTAGCTCTTCTATCTCATGTAGGGCTTGTTGCTTCTCCTTTTCAAAAAGCAAAAGGCCTTAAATAAGCGACAACGGTTGCAGAGTCATACATATCCAGTAATATCAGATTGAATATAAATTGCCTGATGATCGCATTAATCGTGAAAATAACTAAAGCAACACAGAACCATACTGTTTATTACATTAAAGCGTGTACAGCTCTGCCTAGTACGGCACAGAGTACTTTATGACAGACCAGCAAACAGTAAAAACAATAACAGACTAAAACATACTTGCTGAAGCTTCTGAAAAGAGCCATCAATTTCAGAAACTGTTGCGCCCGTTCCATCAACAAAGTCAACAGAAGCGCCTACTCCAGCCGCACGAGGTAGAAGTTGTTCAAGACGCGTTTGCAATGACCGATTCCAGCTCTCACTTTCTTCAAGCTTCCTTTTCAAATTATGAATTTCGCTTTCAGAAGACGGTGGCTGTGCTAACGGTTTCAACGCGGATTGGATTTGGGTCTCTAACTGATGGCGCAAAGCATCATTATGACGAATGCTTTCTTCGTACTGCAATCGCAGGTCACTCACCGACTTCAGTTCGTCTTCCAATTCAGCGTTTCCTCTGAAAGCAAGATGGACAAATTAGTAACAATACTAGCTTGTCCGAGTTGGTTTATATGAAAATTCTACAACATGCTCTAATGTCCAATGTTGACATCGGGTCCAAACAAACGATCAAGGCTTTTAAAGTATTTTATGTGGAAAGTACGAATAGTATCGTTTATCGTGGTTACAAAAGTAGAAAATAATTCACTCACTTTGACGCACTTTGATTTTGAAGTTCACTTATAAGCTTAAGATACTGAGCTCGTTCTTCTTCCGTCACCTTAAACAGTCTTTGTTGTTCTTGTATTTGCATCTTAAGCAAGCCCCTTAGCTCCTTTGAATCTACCTACAAAATGAAAAAAGCCTCAAAAGAAGAAAATACAGAATTATTGCATCTAGAGGCCTGTCGCCATAAGTTGGTGCATTATTAGCAAGAACGTGTTTGAACAAAAGTTTATAAAAGACCTTCCCACTATCAAAAGACACCTTCTTGTGTTCTCTAAACAACGTTTTGAATTATTCTTAAATTCATTCAATTTGCTCTCCATACAACCAACATTAACAATTAGAACACTGTGCGAAAGAAACGTAGGCTCGTCGCCATACGCCATACTGGTGCACCCGCCAAAGTCTAGTGCGCCATCGCCGCTAAAAAGACCATGGGTGTAAAAATTCTTTTTATTTGCAATCATGTTATTAACAGCATAAAACAGCTAACTATTTTGTAAACAATAACATATAAATTTGTAGAGCTAATACATTAAATCCTGTAAAGGGGGATCTGTTGAGGGGTAAAAGACATTGGGCTGGGGATGGGGGAGGAGGTTTGCTAATAAAACAATATTTAACTCTGCCTGGGAGATACAGTCTTAAAATGAACAGAATTCACTTTTCAAATTCAAGATCGTTGCTAAACTGATATGATAGATTGACATTTAATTTATGAAATATTGTTGTTTAATTTAGCTTATGAATTAGTTTACCGTCATGCGTTCAAACGACGTTTATTGCGCATGAAATTAATTGAGAGCACTTTTGAATCTATGATTAAATTTCTAAATAATCACAAATAAATCACAAATTGATCAAAAGTTAATCACTTTAATCAATAAAAATCAAATTAATCACACACAAAATTGATTTAATCATAAATCAATCACTAGTGATTACTAATCTCGTACGTGATTTGCCCCTCGCTTGTGTTATTGGACATGCAATATCAAAGAGTAATGTTATTCCACAATACCCAAAGGGCTTTATCATTGTAGTGACTCAATCATGTGACTTAATCACGTGTCAGGACAGAAATGATAGAGAGAGTTGGGAGTGTGTGAAGAGAGAATTTGTAGAGCAAGGGAACGATTATAATACAGTGATTATAGATTACTACTGTTGTGTTTCTTACCTGGTTATATCTAATAGTAGATAGAGACAGTATAAGTGTAACTATTGCCGTAAAAATAAATTTTACACATAAGAAAGCGATCTTTTTGTCTTAATTTGTCACTGTTCTATTACATTGAAATTTCGGTAAACTGCAGAAACCTGAAACTTTAAGAACAACTACGAAAAAAGGTTGACAATAAAACACACAGTTGTGTTATCTAATGCCCAGATATCTCAATATGATTTACCAGGTTGATTTGACAAATAGGAGTCAAACTTTACCTCATCGGTGCCTCCACCAATGGGTTTTTCATATCGCTGCGGGATTTTACTTCCCCTTTCCAACTCAGATTTCAGATCGTGATTTTCCCTTCTCAGATCCTCGCATTCTTGGGCCTAGAGTAAAAAGACACATTCTTCGTCGATGTTATCGCAAAATAAAACCCGAACAGTTGCTCAAACATCCACAAAAAGGTTTTCAATACCTTATATTACAGTTCTGTTTTTTGAAAAAGCCATTTGCAATATATAATCGATATATTTTTTAAGAATAAACTAAAATTTACTCAAAAAACTTGGGTAAAAAACCATTGGGCAAAAAAAACCTTCTCGGTAATTATTACAGTAATCTCATAAATATAATAAACAAGAAAGCTCACTTTTGAATCATACAACTCGGCCTTTCTTGATATTTCGTCTCTCAGTTTTTGGATTACATCATCAGCCTCTGCTAGTTTTACTTCTAAAGATCGTTTTGAAATCTGAACAACTTCCATCTCAGCATGGAGTTCATTGACAGCATTCTAAGAAAAAGCGAGCTAGTTTGAACAGAACAGAGATAATCCGGCGTACCCCACACAGAAGTTGCAGCCAGGAAATTTCACATTTTACGGATTTTTATTAGAGAAAAATATCAACAGGAAACTATGAGTGGGCGTAATAACGAATCGATAGCAATGTGAAGAGCTCGAAGGGGCGAAATATAAATTATACAAGATTTAAATGAATGATGCTTTCATGATTTCTTCTCGGCAGATTTGAATATTTCATTTTTAGTAAAGGCAATTAGCTATGTTAGGAAGAACTGTATTAAAATGCAAATTGTAGAATCTATGACATGAGCTAACTTCAAGCATATTGGAAGTAAATTGTGAGACAAAGACGAGTAAGCCTAGCCTTGTAATTCTAATCAACTTCAGACCTCCAAGCTGTTTTTCTGCTGATTCAGTTTTTGCAATGCCTCGTTCAATTCTTTGCTTCCGCTGACATCTTTCCTCAGTTCCTTTAAAAATACAGAAAGTTTTCAATGTTGCTGGTATAAGATGCTTTTGGGAAAAACGGGAGTCAATCTTTACACATGAAGTTTGAAAATAGATTAGAATTTGGACAAAAGTCTTTCTAAAGGGGTTCGTTTGCATGTGATGTGATCACTGTAGATTCATGTCATATCGGCATCCGCTGTTGACAGCTTGATGAATACATGTGATCAATTTTAGGCCCAGCAACAGCGTTGAAGCAAGAAAATCATGACTTAGCGTATCTGGGTAAACTCTCTCAATTAATCATAACTCAAAGCCGTTTAATAATCTTTTGCAGCTGGAGGAAAATGCAACTGTCGATGCGCTGCTGAGCTATTCAAAGATGATGTCAATGAATTGATAAGATTAACTTAAAAGGCAATTTATCGTAGAAGTCTTACGCTCAATGCTTCTTCTTTTTCTTGGCACTCTTTTTTAAGCTTCTCAATCTGACTTGCTTGATCACCATTCTCTGCTTGAAGGTTGAAAATCTTTTGCTGTAGACTTTCCTATAAAAGTTAATTGGGTTTTTAGTTCTCGCGATAAAACCGAACAGTACTACAACAATTGCTGTCAATGAAAAGAGCCTTTAATACTTAAAAAAACAAAATATAATTAACGTAGAAGAAATACATACAGTAAGGGTTGCAGCACGACTTATTTCCTTTTGCAGTTCCCAGAGCTCACCCCTACGAAGAATAAGATTCAATGTGAAAGGGAAGACAATGTGCAATGTGCCTTTTACATAAAACACAAACAAGTACAAAATAAAATTAGCAAATGGTCATGATGATACATTGAAAAATAAGAAACTTTATCTTCATAAACCAACAAATATGGACCAACAATTTACCAATCATTGGAAGGTGTTGCCAAAAGTTCTCAAAATAAGGATGACACAATAGCTCAGACATGTTTCTTTAATTCAGTCATGTCAGGATTTCAAATAACATTATTAACGATTAAATATTTCAAACCTGGCATCTTGGAGCCTCCTGTCTTTGTCTTCCAGTTCAGTTTTGAGGGTGTCAAATTTCATTGTTATTTCTATATTCTGTAGAAAAATCATATTGTACTTCAATAGAGGCTAAAAACGGGGGGAAGGAAAGATCACATTTTTGAAACCTAATACAGATTAATATTGCAAAAGACACACTCTAATGCCTAAAAAAAGTTACGGCTTAAGAGTGGTTGACATTACTGCTGAACTAACCTCCGATTTTTTTCCACTTTCCAGCGTTTGGCGAAGATGTTTGTTTTCGACTTTGAATTCATTTGCTTCATCTGGGAGAGAAATATTGAACCAAAAAAGATGAAAAATGATTTTGTAACATTTTTTAGTTCCTACGAGCTGGGGGTAGCAATAAGGGATCGTCTGGGGGTATATTCACAAAGGCTTATGTGAAGAGACTGTTGGATATTGCAATCAAGACTTCCACTGCATCTGAAAAATCATTGCAGCGTCTAAGTAAACTGTGATTAAACCGAAAGTGTACGCAAGACGACTTCTTAAACGCAAGGGCATTCAAAATCCGAGCCATGTTGACAGGAAATATTCTCCAGCGACACATGTGGGTAAGGCTTCAGAGAAACGAGTCATGCCAAGAGCATTTTCTCTGAGACACAAATTCTATGCATAAATGCAAGCAGGACGCAAAAAAGTGATTATAGGAACACGTTTTTAAGTAGAAACAGTCCGGTTAAATGAACGGCTATCATGGGAAAATTGCTCGGTTAAAGTTAATGATATTTGAAAGCAAAAATTGATTCTAGAATATAGAGTTATATCTAACCTGTTTTGAGGCGTAGCTGCTCTTTAACATCTTGCAATTTTTCTTTCAAGGAGTCCTAAACAAATGATAAACGCAAACTTGAAAAAAATACAAATGTTTACCAAGGTACTAAGGTTAAGGATGATCATGAAGATGGAGGTGATTGATCAAGATGTTGGAATGATTGCAATCATAATTAAAGCAGCAAATGAAAGGCGGCTGATCATGATAACATGGACGGTAATAACGATGCTGAAATGATTATGGCAAATGATGATAATTTAGGACGATGAGCAAGTGTCGATATGTAATGACGATGATAATTTGGAGGAAGGCAACGAAGATTATGATCATGAAATTGACATTGCTCACAATCTCTAAATGCAAGGATTGGCTCATGTCATTCGGTCGAATATTTGGTCTTTCCTGCAAGAAAAAAACAAACAATTTTTTAATAACCTGGGGATTTTGCATATGTGTTGAATTATTTCAGGGGTAATAATGTAGCCATATTGAAAAACTTTTCGAACGTTTCACTTGCCCCTCAGTTGGTTTTGAAGGCAAAAACAATTATGAAATACCCCAGTTTTCCTTAAAACAAAAAAAAAGAACCAAGAAATTGCGTTTTCATAAGCGGGGATGGACAATTCCAGTAGAAGAGTGCTGCCCCGGTGGGAGACCAGCAGCTATTTCAGTGCTCTCCTGCATATGGCCTGTAGTCTCCCAAAAGCGGAACTCTTGCGACAGGGATGGACAATTCCATTAAAAATTTGGTCGCCCGGCGCTTACCTATTGTAGTGAAAAACGGTCTCCCGAAGATAAAAACTTGTCGTCTCGGGTGCGCGGGGGACCGAATTTTCTACCTCTGATAAGGGTCCATAGTTTGACACACTATGGACTTATCTCTGTTTCGTTTATTTACCAACTCAAATATAATGCTTTCGCGTATGAAATTCGCTTGTCATCTACAGACAACAGAATGGGCTTAACGTGGCATTTTGATGCCATTCATTTCAATAAAGAGGAATTTAAAATAACTGAAGAAGAAAGAATTCTATACCTGGAGTTCACTTATAATTCTGTCCTTCTCGAGTCCGCTTTTAGTTAAGTTCTGAAAAGGAAATTGAAGCGATATTTCTTCATTACACACAACGCATGTAATCAAGATTGCAATTTCCTACCGTAATAGAATTGTATACGAGTGGGCATATATCATGTATGTTAAATGACTCGATCATTTAAAACAAAAATAATTTAATGACTAATAACAAATTTAAATTAGAGAAGGAACTCTTATGGACGGGGGCATATGCAGGAAGGAAAAAAGGGAGAAATTGACTCTTGCTAGTAAGTGTTTTTTCGATAGAAGCAAAAAAGGGTTGGCATTCCATTTCTTTTTCTTCTTTTCCCGTTGGATTACAATTTCTGTAGTCAAATGTTTTGACAAGCATATTGAAGACTGGTGTTCATGACTGGGGATGACCTTTTTGTATCATAACCCAAAATGCAGTGCCAGTTTTGTCCAGATCTTGGTATAACATGTTTAGCTGTTTACGTCATATTTCATCATATTTTTGCTGTTCGCTTTGCTTCTATTTTCGTGGCTGTTAGAAGATTTTCCAATTTATAGCACTTTCATCAACGTAAGAATCATTGTTGGATTCACGCTTCAATAAGTAGGCTTATAATTTGGCTCGAAAAAGCAGAATGACCAAATCGCATTTTATTTGGGCATACTGGTTTTAAAAAAAAACGTGATCTCTTCAAAAACCGTTTTCCGTCTATAAGGGCATACTAAATTTCCACATATACAGTGTGGCGTCTTGCCAGAACTGTTTTCCATTGATGTTCGTGAGATTCCTTTTTAAGGAGATCGAAGAAATAAGGGATGAATGCTGAAAATCTATAGAAGGGACGTGTGCATGGTTTTCAGCTAAAATGATAATGAGTTAATTTCACGAGGAGCTTTTGAGCGTCAACTTAATCGCATGAGATTGTTGTTATTACTATTTCGTTATGTTTTCTTGTGCCACGTTTCCTCGCGTTTTTCTTGTAGCTGCTCTACTAGTTTATGGGCAATGCGGGAGTCTTTCGGCCTCCTGTGAATTTGATTTGTATAACTAGGGTAAGATTTGTGTTTCGTGGCGTTTTCATTCCCTTGGTTAATCTAGGGGTATTTAAGGTTTTGGCATAGCGTGGGTCTCATCTTGCTTGGTGAAGCCACAATACAACTAGGCTGTTTCATTGTATTTATTGGCGCCGATGCACCAACGGCCCAACTTGCTCTCGATGATGTGGGAACGTAACCTCATGACTGACCTTTCTGATGTCTATGGCAGTTTCTGAGGGAGCTTTATGCCCTTTATGTTGGATTGGTATTCCCGAGTTAGTAAATTAATAATTATTAAAAGCTTTCGGCTAAAAGTCGTACTAACAATTCATTTCTTGTACAAAGTCCTTGCTTTATTGTATCAATTTTTACTTTTTATTAGACGTACAACAAGCAGAACTCTATTGATTTTTTCAACTAAAGGCACGCATTTCTATACATTCTATTGCAATTTAGTGTAATAACAAAGCGTGTAGAAGTGCGTGTGATGTACTTGCAATAAGTGAAATTGGATGCAATTAATGTTATACCTCGATTGACAGATCTTTCTCGTTCGCAGTTTGCTTATTTGCAGCAGCGAAGGAGTCCTTTTCTGTTCTTATTTCGGACAACTTCTTCTCTACCACCTACACAAACACAATTCCAGCTAATAACATTTGAAGAAAACTATCTAGTATGTGTACACGTAAAGAGATATGTTTGGGAAGCTTTCGATGGATGCTTTTAAACATAAACAAAAACGGTATCACTTACATATAATGCCAAGAAACATGAGACCAAACTTGACAAACGTCAAAGCAAGAACACTGTACAACATATTTAAGGAGCCAATAGAACTAGGCAGGAACAGTACTTTATCGGCAAAATGGAGTAAAAGTATAAAATATTTAGTCAAAACTATCTAGAATTACAAGCTTAGGTACACGAAAGAGTACGACATTTTGATAAGTTTTACCTGTAACTCGTGATTCTTTTGCTCGACCAGGGACTTGAGCTGTTTTATGGCATCGTTCTTCTCCTCCATAAGCCTTCCCATTCGTGAAAAAGCATCCTAAAAAGTAATTGACGAGGGTCAATAAATAAAAATATATATTAAATAAAAAACAATAGATCATGCACATTGTTTATTACCTCAGTCCTGGCCAGCACCGAAACATTATATAGCCGACTCTAAAACAATCTGCTATAGATTGCTCAAGCCAATTGATGATGGCATTCCCCCTTAATCAAAGTCTTCCCCCATAAATAAAGGTTGACGAAGATAAATAGAAAAGTTGATTGGTCACAGCTGTGCACAGTCTACGTACTCTTATCTGCGCATCTTTTGAATTCAGAGCTGCAATGAACTTCTGTTTGTTAATCTCGTTTCTGCTTACGGCAGCATCCCTCTGTGAAGTCAGTTCCTAAGGAGATATTATCGTCGGATGAGTTATTAAATATTGAGGGGTACTAATGCGTGTAAAGCACCATAGATTGAAGTGAATATTTTGGAGGAAAAGGGAAGTCCTACGTGAATTTTGTGCAATGAATACACTGGTCACATAGGACAGAGCACAAGATTGTTTGAGCTGGCAACATTGTCAGATGAAAGTATGACATAAATGACCAAATTGAAGTTTTAAGCATAAACAACTAAACTGCAGGGATGTTAACAGACCTGCATAATTACTCCTTGGGCATCCATTTGTTCATTTATTTCTCGTAAACCGTTTTCACCCTGAAAAAATAGAATTGGCGAATATGCAATTTACAGTATGATTAAACGAAAGCAAAAGATTCTTTAGACATACATAGTTTTTCAATTACATCTATTTAAAAACATGTATTTTAGGAACACTTGGTTAACAGTTCCTTGGTTGATAGCAGCAAATTTATTCTGCTGAACGACTGCTTAACGAGTTTACCTGTATACATAAGGTATATATTTTTATTATTACTGTTATAAATATGAATCGACTAATATGATTGAATATGAAGGCGGAAACGGAGCTTGGTAGAAAATAAGACTTTGCAGTACGTTTTTGTGTCTTTTAAAGTGACACTTCGTTAACGAGCAACAAGGTTAAGATATATATTAAGTTGACTTTTCTTAGTGTAGTTTTCTTACTGAGTATCACTTTTGTGTAGTTTATTCTTTTTCATGTATATACTACATATAATCTCAAGTTGCAAAAAGATGAAGATTTATAGAAAATATTAGATTCATAACCTGTACCATGATCAGCAATATAAGTCATAGTGCACAAAAATGAAGATACTAAATAGAAAACTAAAGATTGGTCTTACCACAACGCCAGAATTCTGTATCAGATACTTTTGGAGCTCCTAGAATATGATGGAAACAGTAAACGAATGTAAGGGTGCAAAGCATTGCAAAAGAAAAATAACGAATACCATTGCAGCGCTTGTGATAAAGCAGTTTCAAAAGTATTCAGGTTAAAAATTCAGTATTGATTCAATTTAAGTTGAAGATAGCTGCCTAACCAAAAAGGTGTCAGAAAAGCTATACTTGCGGATACAATCATCCTCATTTAATGATGATTGCCATCAACGCATAACCCTATAGCCGCAAGGAGCTTACTTGCAAGGCAGTTTTGTAAGGGAAGACTCGCAAATCGACTTTTTGTAACCGTTAAGGATATAGAATTTGCCATCAAATCAATAATATAAATGGATTTTCTAGGAGGGAATTACGGCAAGAAAGGTAAGGGTTTTAACATAGACCCAGAGTTGCCCATAATTCTTCAGCAGGAAAATTGGCAGCATGTCTTTTCGACTTTGCAATTGAGTACAGTCAGCTGATAAATCAATGAAGGGTCCAAGAAAGAAACTTTGGCAATACACAACTAAATACGCAAAATACCCCAAGCTGGCATAGGACACAAAATTGGAAGAAACTAGATCTTTAGAACTTACTCTAAGTTGAGATTCCTTTGAATCGAGTAATTTTGAAAGCTTCATGGCATTTAACTGGTATGATTCCAATTCCTTGGCCGCTGTTTCACTCGACACCTAAAATGCAGGATGAATTATTGTTCAAAGAATTTCAATATTTTGTTACAATGACCTACGTTTCATTCAATAAACATTGACTTTTTGTTACTTAAAAAATCGTGTTATGTCTTTATCCAAAATTTGGGTGACTGACTGCAATACAAAATTATAAACTTGCTTTTGTTACCTTAAAGGAATTTTCCTGGAATTCAAGCCCCTTTTGGAGATCTTGCAATACTTGATCCTTTTCTAAACTGAGATTTTGTCGATGCTAAAACAAAAATGAAATGCAAATTAGTATGAAAAGGAAAGAAGATAGTTGTCTCATTGCATGCACACCACTATTTCGAAGGTGAGGATTTAGTCAAGATAATGAGCATACATTAAGAAAGTGAAGCTGGGAAGAACAATAATCTCTACAGCACGAGCATTAGAAAATAAGATGCAAGGCTTATCAATTGCCGGTCTCACTTTTCAACCGTCTTTGTGGTATTCTTGCAAAGATTTCAATCGCTTTTATGGGATAAAGTCTCCTTGAAATTAGGCCAACAGTGTAATAAGGGTAGGATTTGTTAATGGAGGGGAGACGCCTGGATCAGACTCCTAGAGATATTTATCAAATAGGAAAACAGAATATATATACCTGAATATCTCTTTCGTTTGAGGCAACTTTTGTTTTTAACGATTCGATTTCCCTGTCTTTCTCTCTCAATAACCGCTTGAGCTCGAGAATTTCTTTGTCTTTTTCCGTTAGCAACTTGAACTTCTCATCAAGGCTCGTCTGAAGAAGAATGTTTTTTTACTTAAGCATAAAACAATACATTAGAAAAATGCACATTTGCTATTGCTGTCCACGCAGATTCAAGTATAGAAAAAGCAAGTGACTAATGAAAAAATGAATAAAAAATACAATAGAGAACCAAAATACGCCCATCATACATAATACCATAACACGCCAATCAAGATTGGGAAGTCTTCGTTGTTTCTTGCATAACCTATATCATGTTGAATTATGGCTCTTAAAAAAGTGGAAAGTGAAATTAACAAAAAATACTTCTTCATTCTTCTCACCTCTAAGGCATGATCCATGTCTTTAATTTTCGCTCTAAGCTTTTTAAGAACATGTATTTGAGAACCGGAATCTTGTGGCGTCTGCTGCAAAAAAACATTTCAAAAAATATTCAGGAAAAACAAATATAAGCAGCGGAAGAGAGGAGACTGTAACCCCAAATAAAAATTAAATTAACGAGGGCGTAAATCGATATAGTGCACAAATACCAGACAGAATTAGAAATGGACAACAATTTTAATATAATATTTTCATATATGATATAACGGTAATGGCAAATGGAAGAGATCCTTCAATATCAGATTTTAACATAATATAGCAGTGTTCTAGGATGTGAAGGTACCTCTGATCCACTTTCTGATATATCTTGCGGAATGACAAGCTCCTATAAAGGGATGTGATAATTTCCCTTTAAAAGGCTGCTATGGAAGTTATTTTATAATTTAAACACAATGAAAATTATGAAAATGAGAGGAGAAAGTGCATTACAAAGAACGATACGACAAGATATGGTATAACGATTAATTGCCAGCGGTTTGTTTCACATGAAAAACTTTAATTTAACCAAGACCCGAAGACTAAAAAATAAATGATAACTTGAACAAATGGAAATTAGTTTTTAAGACAGTAAGTAATATGCTTCAACACTTACCTCTATCAAAATGTCTTTACTTCTTAGAGCATTCGCCAGTCTTTGGATAAGCTTGTCTTTGTTATTCAGCTGTACTTGTGACTCTTCTTGTAATTTCTGTTAATTTGATTGAATTTCAAATGAATGCAGTATAAAAATGTTTGAGACAACAAGACCATCATTTGTGCATTTGTGCCAACATGAACGTAGGGCTCTTTGGTGAAAAATTCTTTAGTTTATAGAGGTGTAAAATGAAACTAATCATAAGAAACATTCCTTTTTCTAGCAGTATTTCTAAACACAATGCATTTTTCAACTTTGCCCCTTGTCACTCGTCCACCATAAGATCGCATACTGCCAGAAAAAAGACTTTTAATCTACTTAAACTGATTTCCCGGGTTTCTTAGCAAAACAATTAAAAATAGAAGGAAAACTCACGTACAAAATGCCAAAAAGAATTGCTATTTTTTCTGTTTAGTCAATAGGCATGTCTTATTCAGACAGCAAAAAGCTAATCATACTCCATAATAGCATTTCTTCGCAAATTTTCAGGTATTAGAATATAGTACAAACATGTATAGTTTATGGCATTACAAACCTGGCACTGGTCTTCTAAAGCCAAAAGTTTGTCCCTGTTCATCTGGTCAATGTTCTTCAAATGCTCGTTAATTGCCTAAAATAAAGTAAGCTAGTTCAAAAGATTTTCTAGAATGAATGGGCTCGAAAATGCTTTGGAAGAAAGAAAAGGGCATGAAACAAATAACGAAAGCATTGGACAAATTGAGCAAAGATCTTAGTTGTCATAGATGGAAAAAAGGTATAAATGATGACTGGTGGATCATTTACATTTAGCTAAGAATTAGGTTAATATCCGGAAGTTCTGTGCACCTTTAATGTTCACTGTACTTGTTAAAATCTTGACTATATAACAAAAAGGTCATCAGCATTAAAATTTTCACCTGAATCTCAGCATTTTTCTGAGCAATACAGCTTTGAAGATCTTGCTCAGCCTTTACTTTGGCACTATTAAAATACTAGAAGAAAAGGTTTGCAGTTGTTGATTCTTAGTCTTAGTAACACTTGAGTCAAAGCAAATTAGGTTCTACTTGTAAAAGTGTCACAAAAATAAGAGTTTCACATTTCTACAGCTAGTCTGGAAGATGGACTTTTGTATAGTCTGGAAGATCATTCAGTCTCAAACTTAAAAGTGCTATCTAGAAGGTGTTGAAAGGTTGTAAGACGCGGATACTGCCTTTAGAGGGTATTAATATACAAGCAAATTTGCATCACTACTAATTTGTCAATCTAAAAATCTAATACCACATGCCCTGCAAAAATCAAAGATATGCCATTGATCTATCATTACATAGCATGGTAAATAGTCCAAAGGAGACAACTCTGCTTGTTGGGACATGTGTTGTGGATGAACGAAAATGATAATCCTTATAATACACTAATGGCTAAACCTATATCAGATTGAAAATCTAAGTAAGGGAGACAGATAGTAACTTGCCAAGATGCGGCACGTCCTGGTGATTTTCGAATCATTTTAGACGATTTTCTCTTATTAATGACATAGGTTACTGCATGCCCATATTTGCTTATTGGCAAAGCAAGAGAGGCATAAACAAGCTTTATTTGTTGATATAAAATATAAAATCACCAACCAAAAGCTCTTTGTCTTTGTCGTCAAGAACTTGTTTGTATTTCTGAAAAAAAGCCATTGAGCTGGTGATTGAGAAAATGCTCATAGTTTTTGTACAATATCGCCTTAGGTTCCGGAAAACATGTAAACGCTTTGAAATTTACTTTTGAAAAAGTTGTTATTTGCTTATTTGCTAAACAGGCTTAGGCATAGGATATTTTAGCTTGACAGTGTAGCATAGAGAAACAAGGAACGACTTAGTGTGCTTTAAGCCTAAATTTGATGCCCTGAATAGATAATATATTTATAGATAATGCATAAAAATGAAGTAGAATAAAGGTTCAAATTAAAGGTTTGCTTGCTCATATCTTTTTACATCATTCTTATCGGGGCAGAACGACACTACTTTTACGGGAAGGCAAATCACGTCAGCATGCGCGCGCATAAAAAACATTTTTGCTCTATGTTGTTAATGGAAAATTGAAAAACGCTGAAAAAATGGAGACATACCGTTAAAGCTTTAATTTAAAATTTAACTTCTAGAAAAGGATTCTTACTACAAGAAATAAATTTACATAAAACAGATATCCAAATACGAGGCATATAATCAAACGAACCTTAGACAAAAGCTCTTTCTCTTGAAGGTCGGCTCTTAAAGAGGCAATGGCTTCTAGCTTTTCTTGGTCACCTTTACTTTCGTTATCTTTTACCTGGTTAGATGCAAAAAGAAAATGAAAGGGACATATGCAAATGTTCTCACAACAGTAAACATCATAAAAGTAGCTATAAGATGAACCATTTGTGGATGTATGGATGTATAAATACATTTTAAGGTTACCTCTTGTTGGGTAGCTAGTTCATTCTGTAGCTTGCTGATAAATTCTTCAAGTTTGCCGATTTGAGAATGGCATCTGTTAAGCTATAGATTAAAAAAGATGGTCAAACATAATTTTTTAAACTGTTATTAATAAAAATACATGAAATGGTAAAGTTTCTAAAGGGTGCTTAAACTTCAACAGCATGTAAAACATTTGTCTCTTCCAAGAGAGTTGAAGTAAAAACTCCTTTGTGCAGTGAATTAGGTACAACTTTACAATATTCACATTGATGTCAATAAAACGCATAAAGAAAATACAGCTCTGACAGATTTATTTCATAAAGGGGTATTTAAGGAGTAAATTAATCTAAAAAGACAGCAAAGCGAAAGTACCTCTTTTTCTTTATTTGAAAGTGCCAAGTCTAGCCTCTGTAAAGAAATAATATTACTTTTCCTTCAAATGATCCTTATTCAACAACTCTTTCTCTTATGGACTGCAAGTTATAATATAAAATTCCAAGAAAAATTTCTCATCGGCACAAAAATTTTTGAGATTAAGAAATCTAGAAGCTATTAAGACGAAATATAATTATACCTAATTTAAAGAAATTGGCTACATATTAACTCTTTTTATTTTGATTAAGACATGATTTCTTTAAAGAAATTTTTAGAAATGAAAAAAGGTTCAGTACAATATAATGTTGATAAAATTTAATTTGTTTTTACGTGCTCTCTTTTCAAATATTCATTTATTATATAGTTTATTCATAATTAATTTTCTGTACATTTATAATAAATCAATTTATGTCATTGCTTAAGTTAACCAGAAAAACTCACCACTGAAGCTAATAAATCTCTCAATCTGTTATTTAATTTCCACTGTGAAATGCAAATTAAATTTAGAAAAATACATATGTTTATAAATGCTATTTAAATGTGAGTTTAACAGAATATTTGATCATTTTTATGATGCTTTATGATTTATATGACCTTTGATTAAACAGAATTAGATTGTATTGCTAACCTCCCGGGCAATTTTAACAAAATACTTTTATTTCAAAATTCGCACACTTGCAGTTAAATTCATTGCTTAATCATTTTTAAGGACATCAGAAAGTTTAAAGCAAATTAACATAACACTTTAATAACATTTAGGATGATTTATATAATATAACAAGTTAACAAGCTATTGTGTAATCTATGTAGCCTAGGAACTTTGACAGGAAGAATAATAAAAAATCTAACAATTTCAGTTTAAACTTTTACTGGGAAGAAATGACAAAATATTATTTATTTATCAAAATTCAACACATGCAATTGATGTTATCAGCTTCAGTAAATTTCTACCAAGAATGAGTCAAGAACGATTACATATCTTTTATATAAAAAGGGAAGCTTTACCCTGATATGTTCTTGTAGAGACATTGAACTACGGTGCTTTTCTGTCTCTTTGTCGTGAACGCTGTTTCTCAATTCCTGTAATCAATACGAATGTGACTTTAAAGGGTAGAATACTAAAGCTAAAAACAATTTTCAGTTCCTCTTTTTACTGGCTCAAAAGTATGGAAAACTTTAAGATGGGAATGTTAAGGGTTCAAAATCATGAGGAAATAGCCAGTTTCAATTGCTTCAGTTAAATCGTCTGAGTTAAGTCAAATGATGAATTCTATCTACGAACAGATTCACTTTTTGGAAAATAACATTTTCTTAAAAGTTTTGGTGCATGGAGTGCATGAGGAAGTAAAAAAAATGGTTTAGGCCCTAGCATAATAATTGATGTTAGAACAGTGAGAATTTTTCGACAGAAAACTGATTCAAGTCAATGACTGTTAACTGACTATAAATTAACCAAAAAGAATAACAAAAATAGCATACTTAAGCGAATAGAAAGTCTCAAAATTTTCAGCTGGCCGATATGAATGATAATAACAAAGAAAACTACAAAGAAATATATTTGAATTACCTTATTGACACGCTCCGTTTTGTTGATATAGTCTTTCAGCTCCTGGTAAAATAAATAAATAATGAAAATAAATAAAAAAACAGAAGAGCTTTTGAAAAGTTCACGCTTTAAGACTATCATTAAAATTTCCATCCAAGTTATGGAAATGCAAACAATATTCACCTCGACCAAGTTTGTCTTTTTCTTTAGCTCTTTATTCAAATCTTTCAGCTTACTTTCGTTATCTGCATTTTGTGCCTCTAACTTGTTGTAGAGAACCTAGAAAATAATCACGAAAATAAAATTACCAACACATGAGACATAATTTACATACTGTCCATTCCCGCTATTTAGATAGCACCCAAATATTTTAAAATTTGTTTTGTGTTATTTTAAAACTTTGATAGAGAAAAAAGAGATGATTGGGCATATTTAGTAGCCTACATCTAACCTCCCAGGGTTCACAGGCTTAAATTGATGAATGAATAGGCAGAAATCAGGCTTTTAAAACTCAACTAAAACATCATAGAAAGAATAACCTCGTAGTGTTGATTTGATCTCTCAGGGCTCTGTGAAGCGATACTTTGCAGCTCCTTTTTGAGGTTCTAAGAGATTAACGTGACGTTTTTATAGATTCAATAACTATATATATGGGTGGAGGAAATGCAACCAGAAAAAATATAGAGCAGTCAGTTTAAATGGGAGGCAAGGCCTTTGGAACCTTTCTTTGGAGAGCTCAATTAAAGGTCGCAGTTTTCAAACTAATTTTGTAAAAATAGACAAATGTTTATACCGTAAATCCTCGAATTGCCCCCCCCCCCGAACAAGCCTCCACCCTAGAACTAAAATTGTCAATAAGCCCCCCGTTCGAATAAGCCCCCACTGCTACCGTGATTTCTCGAATTGGACACATCCATTTGATGATTTTTGCCATTCGAGGTTGCCTATGGCGTTTTATTGAATTACCACACCAAATTCATGTCTACAATAATTTTATAAGCCCCCCCCCCTCCCTCGTATAAGCCCCTATCTAAAAATATCAAAAATAAATAAGCCCTCAGGATGCTAATTCGAGGATTTACGGTATTTCTTGTTTGACCAAGGCCATTGCAAATGACATCAGTTACTGCACCAAGCAAAGAAGACCAATCAAAAGATGTACCAAGTGTGTTGGAAGATTCAAGCTGTTTTCCCTGTTCACATGCGCAAATGCTATATTGCTTCAATAGCATTATTGCTATAGCTTTCAGAATAAACATCAAATAATGATTAAAAGATAATCTTGATCATTAAAATAACGTATCACGCAAATGCGTAAAATAAATAAGCAAAAATTTGCACCTCAATTTTTACGTCTCTCTCGGTGACAATAGTTCGAAGCTCTTCAATCTACGTGTAGGAAAAAAAAGTTTTTGAAAACATGATATCATTCTGCTTCAAGAGTATTATCACCTTTGTTAAAATATTTAAAGCATAAAGCATAAAGTAAATAATTAAAATTAATCGCATGATTTATCCTTACTCGACCATAAAAAGGGCTAAGATTGATAGTCCTGTTCTAGCAAAAACAAGACGGCGATCTCCAACAATTTACCAAGATATCGCAGAAAAACCCAAGAAAACGGTCTTTCAAGACGGTTAATCAAGACGGTTAATCAAGACGGTTAATCAAGACGGTTAATCAAGACAATTAATCAAGACGGTTAATCAAGACGGTTAATCAAGACGGTTAATCAAGATGGTTAATCAAGATGGTTAATCAAGATGGTTAATCAAGACGGTTAATCAAGATAGTTAATCAAGACGGTTAATCAAGACAGTTAATCAAGACAGTTAATCAAGACGGTTAATCAAGACGGTTAATCAAGACAGTTAATCAAGACAGTTAATCAAGACAGTTAATCAAGACAGTTAATCAAGACGGTTAATCAAGACGGTTAATCAAGACGGTTAATCAAGATGGTTGATCAAGACGGTTAATCAAGACGGTTAATCAAGACGGTAAATCTCAATTTTAGTTGCATTTAATGGAAAAATATCTCGTTAGAGAAAATGTCGTAGGGCTGTTAATTGTGATTTCAAATATATCTCGTGACGCATCCATGAAGGAAGGAAGGTCACTTCCTTGACCAGCAGAATTTATTCCATGTTTGCCTTGATTATTCTATCAAAACTCGTAGTACAATTGCTCTGTACATCAAATTAATCTGTTCCACTGCTGTACATAATCTTACCACACTTCAATAAGAAAAGGATAAGAAAATACATTCTTCAAGACAAAAATACATAATGTTTAATACGTTACGATATTCAGTACCTCGCCTGGAGTACCAAAACTTGACTTCATCTTCTCTAGTTCCCTTATTTTCCTGTCATTAAAAATATTTATCATGCGGTTAGAAGAATAAATGAATACACTGTGCTTATTTAAAAGCATGCCATGTTGATAACAAAATCTCGCTAATTTTCACCAACATAAGACGAAAATTCAAATTATATCTTCTGGATTTATAAGATCTGTATAAACAAAAATTTTGAGATTTTTTGGGTGAAATCCTTTGAATTTTTACAAACATTAAAGTAACCACCGCACCGTTTATTAGTTGACTAAATATCTTTATACCTCTAGCCATCAGGAATTTTTAACAGCCATAAGGTAATTGGCAAGAATACCTTATATAGAAAACTTACGCATCCTTTTCTTGAATTTCATGTTGAAATTTATCCTGGAAAAAATTGAAAGTATGTTTTAAGAAAATATAGAACTTTCAGCTAGCTTGATAGATCGATGTGCACCTAAACATAATACAAAACTGTGTACTCCTGGTTATTATTCAGGAACATTGTCCACCACTGCGTAAAACAAGCATTAATCACAAGTCATATTACTGCGAGAAACTGTGATGTTTATTAAATAGCATATACTAAAGACCTGTATGTGAGTGTTAATAAAAAAGGGTTGAGGAAACACAGAAATAAATAAAATATCAGGGTCATCATATATGAAGGAGAAAATAACTTTTCTATAAGTTCTATTCAAAACTTTTGCAACACAAAGATTTGAAAATATGACATTCAATGCTTACTGCCTTCATTATTTGTCTGATAAAAATAATCCTTTCTATTCATGTCTCAACAAGTAAGACTAACGTAAGATGTATTCGTGTTGTGAAGATAAGGATTCGCACCTCAAACTCTTTTTCTTTCAGTTCCAGTTCTTCAATGACATTTGGATCAACTCCAACACCATTAAGCTTCTCTTGCAGCTGCAGTTTGGATTGCTCCGCTTTCAGCTAAAGTTGTTAAAAAAGACTAGTACAAATCTATGTAAGTTTCCTGACGTTTAAAGAATATTCTTATTTAGTAGCAGACTGTGTTTATGGCAAAAGAAACATGCTAGATACTCTAAATATACGCCAACCCGGAGTCGTGCAGAAACATTTGATTTTCCTTTCACGCCGCCTTTTTGAGGGGCCATCCCAGTTTGATAAAAAGTAGTGACAAAAGATGTCCTCTTTCAATTAACCAGCTAATAATTCATATTGGAAAAGCAGCTATTGAAATCATCCGAAAATATCCAAAATACTTTTACAGAGAAACATCTCTCTCTTCAAGTATCATCTCCGGCGAGGACGTTGGCGATCATGGTTCATGGATCACAGAGAAACATACCACTTTCAAAAATCAGGTAAAGTCAACAGCAGGACCGATCTATTTCGCATGTTATTCCCATCCCATATCACTTACCAACATGTCGGCACCAACTGGCCAATTGTTAAGTTGGAATGCAGACGTGAAGGGTATAGAGAGGCTACCATCAGTCAAGTACCCTTATCATTGCATGTTTAATTACCGGTTGATAGTATTACTGCATACTAAAACAGTTCACTCACCAGTTCTTCATTTAACTTTTCGATCTTTTTTTCTGTTTCTTCAGCATTCTAATGAAATATAGATATAAAACGGTGAAAATAAGTTACATACGACACATTCAAGAACTGAATCCATTATGATTTTGAAAAGCTCTATCACCATTGTGTTTATGGAATGTTCATATATCTTTTCCATAAGTTGAGAATAACTGCGTCAAATTCAAAGAAGAAGGGCGACCAACAAAAAAAATGAACTTTATTTTTAATAGATATGAAAGGAAGTACGTACTGTTACTAAGACAGCGAATCCATTCCGAAAATGAAATGGCAGATTACAACTACACTTGATATCACAGTAGCTTTACACATGGGTACATTCGGAATTCGTCATTTCTATGTCAATATTAAATGAGAATTTTGAAGGGAATGCGTTCAACAAAAATAGAGGTTTAGAGAAAATTCGCCCAATTGTTCTGAATAGGCAAATTAGTATTTCAAAAATTTAAGAAATCATAATGTACAAAATATGATAAATCACACGAAAAAGATTGTAAAAAACATCAGTACAGCATAGAGCAACTTTTTATCAACAGAATTCAAAATACAGGCAATTTGTATGCAAAAGCCACAGTAAGTGGATGATTTGATAATGGAAAGGGTACAGCTCAACCAATAGTGTTGTATCTTTTGATTCAAACCTGGGTATAGATAAAAGTAACAGGGTTTCGACCGTCGTACAGACATTGTCTAATCATGAGAAGTTACAGACAAAAGCCTGAAGTGATAAAGTTATAAAACTGTCACACCTTAGCTTTGAGGTCGATTTCCTTCTGCAACTCATCGCGCATTTGATCATACTGGTCTGTGAATTCGTCTTTTATCTGAAAATTGGTAACAAATTATCTGCAAATTTCTCTTACCAATCTGTTTCAGCATTATCTTTTTAAGGAATAACCCCTTAAGCCACTGTCTACTATATTTTTTTTTCAATTATAGTTTCTATCTTCTACTTACTTTTGAAACTTAGAATACGCCGACAGTGATACGATAATGATAGAATAAACACAGGCTTATGCTTAACTTGATAAATAATTCGAGACGGTAAAATGAATTTTTCTCTAATCCGAAACCATTCATTACTTTTTTGGCAAAGGTATATGTAATGAACCTTATCTCTTCAATGACTCTTAACCAATAACTATCCCCCGTTTTAAAAGTGAAGTTGCCCATTGCTGAATGGAGCTTTTATTCCAGGACAGGTTCTACTCGATAAAAAGTACGGAATGTTATTTCCGCAGTTAAAGAACAAACAGCATCTGGAAAATGGAAAAGCCATCTTTATTTCTCTAAAGGGATGCTTCTTAACAACACAGTTGTAAAAAATATCTTGGGGTCATGTTATTTGTATCATATTTTCGCAATTTAAATTATCATAATTTCAACTGATCTTTCTCACGGCTACAGAGCCAGTAAGACTACAAATCAAATCCAGAATGAAGTCAAAACGCAATCATGTTGCACATTCGATTTGGGAAGTTCGGGTAGAATTCCTTAGCTGCATTATACGGTCTTTCTGACTGTTGTAGCAGAGTATTTAAAAATAAAAACAACTGACATGGTAATCCTATCTATAGATGTCACAGGCACAAATGCTAATAAACCAACAATTCTGCAAAAACTTCTCGAAAAGGCAGCCGAACATCTGATATAATAATGTTTGAAATAAAAGAAAATTTCATAGACCATGCTGTTGCCTTTCACTGTTACCTTCTGTAGCTGGGTTATACCTTGCGATTAAAACGTGAATACACTGAAGACACTATTTCATACAAAGTGAGGCAGTCAGCAACCTACACTCAAGCCTGGCAATAAATATTATAGACACGAGATCTGGTGTTACTTCCATAATCTGATTTTATGACGTCGATACACATACCTTCTGAATGTGCTTCTCACTTTCGATTGTGATAGTTTCTATTGCTTTTCTGGAATTCCAAAAAAAGAAAGGAAAAAAAAATATACTCGGAACACATGAAAGGGACTTCATTATTGCCAGTTACCATAGCCTAACAGACAAAACGATCCAAATTTCTATACTTTTCAAGGATAAGGCTTCTTATAAGTTAATTAAATAGCAGATCTTGAAAATGCATAGAAAATGTATAGGCTAATTTGTGCAATCCTCGGCAAAAAATATAAGCAACAGGCTGTGGAAAAAATGATCTTTCCCATTTAAAGATCTGATTAGTTAATGCCCCCAATATCCACAAGACAAGCACGACTTGGCAACAATAACGGCCAACAAAAAACTGACTCTCGAATTCATCGATTTGTCTGTTCATAGATTTATCGATTCATTCACTGATCATTAATAGTAGCATCTAGGTGCATATAAGATCGATAACCATGTTTTTCATTTTGTTCGGGGGACGAAACCTGCAGTCCTTTGTTTCGAAACAATACCGTCCTAAACCAATCAGTGTTGCAGGGTCATAGCACATGCGCATCAATAACAGTACTCGTACAGCTGTTCTGTCTGGGACCATACAATTTCCCGCCAGGGCTTCAAGTGAAAATCTGCATGTGCAATGACCATGAAACGGGGACTAGTGCATGTCTGGGAGACGGGTATGATTCATCTCCCGAACAACTTCTAAAGTCTGTAGCCATTCTTTTAAGGGTACCGTTGTCCCTAATGTTCATTTAATCTTTCACATCATCCACTCACGCTCTTCTCTGTCTATCCCCCGTAAGGAGACCCTAAACAGCATTTCAAAAACCCTTTCACAATATGTTCAGCTAGTTTGAAATATGCCCACAACCTGCATATTTCTTTAAGCTAAAAGGTCTTTCAAGAGGTTTGTCTCTTATTTTACTAAGAATTAATCGGGACTGGGGTGCTGTTTACAAAAAGGCGTATTAAAATTCTAATTAAATAGGATGTCCCAACTAAAAGGTCTAACTTTATAGGATAAAATTCTAAAACAAAGGCAAAAAGCAATAAATTTATTGATACAAAAATGGTGCAAGAATACCAGCTGACATAATAGCCAAAGTTTAAATAGGAACCTATAGGAAAATCCTCGAGATAAAATGACTTACGAAGCTTTGATCAGAAGGTTTTGCTTTTCACCTAATTCTTTTTTCAGCTGCTCGATGTTAACTTTCAGTTCAATATTCTATAAAAGAAACAATTAAAATAGGATTGACTTCTCAAAGCTTAAGTCTAGCAAAATAAATGTTAGTGAAATTGGAACAAAGCGCAGAACTATTGTCCTGGCTCTCGAGTACAGCCTTGTCTTAAGGCTACGCTTAGGCTCCAGGCCACTGACTAGGTTCCGGGCTACTGTCTAGGTTCCAGGCTACTGATTTGGCTCCAGGCCACTGACTAGGTTTCGGGCAACTGACTAGGTTCCAGGCTACTGACTAGGTTTCAGGCTATACACCAATTCGATTTACGGCCTCGTCTTGAAAATTTCTCCTAACCTAATCATACGACTTTTTAAAGCTCAAATTTGGTTTTATCACCATGATTTTAGGCCGGATACAATTTTTCATATTGTTTGTGCTTATATTTTAGATTTTACGGAGAAATGAAGTTTGAAAACTTGTAAGGGATTTGACCGCAAAAATCATTCCGGGTGAAACTTTACCCCCCTAGTCGGAAATCACGGTCAAATCGGTTATAAAATTTTTATCTTTTTGTCGTCATAAAATCAATTTCGTGGGCAAGACCATAGTAAAAACTTCAAAGTATACTTATATCATTGCTCGCAATCCGAATCTGAGGTCAAAAATTTTGTACAAAATAATTTGAAGAATTTTTCAAAATGAGGCCGTAAGTCGAATTGGTCTATTGCACAGAGAAAAAAAAGGATAATGATGAAAATATGAGATTCATTTCATGATGATTAAATGTAAATTAATCAGAGTTTATTTCACGAGGAGCTTTTGAGCGTTAACTTAATCGCATGAGATTGTTGTTATTACTATTTCGTTATGTTTTCTTGTGCCACGTTTCCTCGCGTTTTTCTTGTATCTGCTCTACTAGTTTATGGGCAATGCGGGTAGTCTTTCGGCCTCCTGTGAATTTGATTTGTATAACTAGGGTAAGATGTGTGTTTCGTGGCGTTTTCATTCCCTTGGTTAATCTAGGGGTATTTAAGGTTTTGGCATAGCGTGGGTCTCATCTTAATTAGTGAAGCCACAATACAACTAGGCTGTTTTATTGTATTTTTCCAGCCCTCCCTCCCTCATTTTGTTTCTTTATGCTAAGTGCCTTTTCAGTATAACTTTGGGTGTTAAGTTTCTTTTATGGCATCGTTAAAACCTCTCATACCTTTAGGCATCTTAGATTTTTCTGATGCTATTAGGTAGGACTGGTGCATCGGCTATTAGTGGGGAAAAGAGGCTTTTCCTGTCCATTCCATCCGAATTATCAATCATATTTGGGGGTTATTGTGTAACTTCCTATAGTAACCCCTATATGGTAGGTTGAGCGATTTGCGCCGATGCACCAACGGCCCAATTCGCTCTCGATGATGTGGGAATGTAGCCTCATGACTGACCTTTCTGATGTCTATGGCAGTTTTTCTGAGGGAGCTTTATGCCCTTTATGTTGCATTGGTATTTCATTCCCGAGTAAGTAAATTAAAAGAAGCAATCTATTACCGTAATCAACATTCCAATAAATTAAATTATGACGAAACCATGTTTGATACAAACAGGATAAGCAAAAGGCTTGTATTTGAGTGCATCTGCACGCGAGATCTTATATAAGCTCAGTTAACATCTCGCATTCGCTTTCTTAAAACTTTAAAAACCAAGCGGAAAAGGATGCGATCCAATGCGGAAATGAACGGCCCAGAGCAAAGTCGTAAATGGGACGAGCAACAATCTTTAAAAACAAATCACTTAGGGAGGTTAATGCTGGAAATTTTCAGAAACTTGAAAAAAAGGCTGACAAATAAAATGGGGTTGGCAAGAGATAAAAAAATTGATTATGACATTCATGACATTATTCTTTTTGAAACCATCTATAAACTTTTTTTTCAAAACTGTCCAGCCGACAAGTTGAACTTCTACAGCTATAAAGATAGCTTCCATTTTGTGGCAAAATTTGCTACATTTGAACATCGAGGGGGGGGGGGCATCTTTGCATCTTCTTTGCATCAACTTAACATTACTTAAGCGATAAATGATTTCAAAAGAAAGCTAAATTATTCTCACCGTTTTTAAAACGTCTTCCGTATCCTCCTCGTAAGCCATTTGCAATCTTTCTTCTAAGAAATATATCCTCAGCTTCAATCCAAAGTTCTCCTTTTTAAACTTTCCAATGATCTGAAAACCAACATATTCCAATACTTACTAGAGCAATCTAAATCTAGTAAGAAAATTCAACAACCTATTGAACCATCAAAGAGGTTTAGACCAAATTCACACTTCAAAGCCAACTTTGAGCCAAATTTTCCAGTTGTAATTGGAATCAAATTCCCGAAAACCTGGCGAAAATTGTAAAATAAAAATGTATTTATCTTCACCTCTTCATGTTCCCTGAGTGTGCCTCTTTCAGGTGTGTTCGGCTCCATTTTCTGGACAGCGTGTTTGTTATCTGTAAAACGACAACAAAATTTTGAATACGAGCATGTTTTAATAAAAGGAATCGTTAGATTGCTTTGGGTTGGTATTTTCAAGTTATGATTGTGCTGAAAAAAAATAGACTAACACAAAAAAATTTTGTCAAAAATAACACAACTTGCGTCGCAAAGGAACCGTGCAGCTCAATTCTAAAAAAACGAGTGTCTTCTCTTGAAGAAACCACTCTTGACCTTCTCTTGGACTGACAAATGAATGGAGTTCCTCGGCAGAAAACGGATGATTATACCATCCATCCACTGGCCTATAAAAAGACTGGATCGAGCTTGCTATTGTCTTGAAACACCAAAGTTTGTAGCCTGTTTATTTTCAAAAGGAAGAGGGCCCAAAACGATAGCGGGAAGCCATTCCTCCAAAACAATCCTTGAACGATGAGAATACGTGAGAGCTGCAATGCTGTGTGTTTGAGTCCTGAGAAAGAACAAGGCCAGAACAGCTGAAAACATTGCTAGGACTGACACTTGAGGTCGTCGCCTAGCAGGGGCTGTTATGGGGCCCTCTTCTTGGATGGCGACACTCGGGTCACATTAGAAGCTCGATCCAGTCTTTTTTATAGATCAGTGCATCCATCCCAAAAAGTTCCAACAAAGGGTTTAAAATCGCAGTAGCCAGTATGTTTGGGCTGCTGACCACAAAAAATCTATTATAACTGAATATAGGATAAATAGGAGGTTACATTCAAGATAGCCGATGTTAATAGAAAATTTTGGCAGAACTTAGGCAGTGCAAGCGTTTCAATGTTAAGTTGCTTTGTACAATTTATGTTAAAATAGCGTAATATCTTGAACTTATGAATGAATTTGTCTACAAGTCATACTAACAATAGCTTTTTTCCGTATAGTATTTACCAGATGCACCCTGACAATCTTAAGATCCTCTTTTTCCTTGAAAAGCCACCTAGAACTAATCAACATGAAGACACTATGCCGAACATTGAGCGAGACAAGCTTGGTCTCGTCGATTTTCAGCTCGGAAAATAGTGCTTTCCGTTCACCATCTGGTCTAGGATTGTTACGTGGCTTTGTATAAATTCTGCCTTTTTGCCTGCCCTCTTTCATTGTCCTGTAATGCAACTTGACTTTGACTTATTGCTTACTGTCAGTGAAGTTATCTTGCAAATTTAATTCTACTCCGTTGGTATTTAGTTTCGTCGAAAGAAGACTTTTTCGTAGAAAGTCAAAAACCTTTTTGAGTCATTGTTTATTTGGTAAAGCCTTTGCATGACAAAGCTTGAAAAGGTAAAATTATGGCCTATGCTGACCCTGGTTGCTACACATCACTGGCGAGGTGCAATTTTGCCATTTTGCACAGCCGTTTTGCTAATAGACTTTTTTGCCTTAACCTACGAGCACACAGGCTGGTCAAAAAGGTTCTATATTTTTACTCGAGCAGCTTTCCTTGTTATCTTATACAGAACGGTGTAAATTATTCATATAAGGAACACAAGTTTGATAGGTTCTTGCTTGATAGCGGTAAATCGCTGAACAAGTTTATAACTTTAATATCCACGCTCGAAGAACTAAGCTTTGAGGATCAGTCCCTCTTGCAGCCCCACCGCCCACCCCCCCCCCCCCCCCCCCCCCCACCTTCGCTACGATGCCTAACAAAAATGATAATAAAAATTCTGAATATAGACATTAGATGCAATCACCATATTTTCTTTTTAAGAAACAAACATGGTAAAATCCAGATTATCTTATAATGCAGAACTCAGCAAAGCAGCAAATTCTACACCCCTGAAATATTTCGAGGTATAGAATCTTGAATCAAACTTTTCATGTGAAATGAAATTTGAGAAAAAATCAATTTGAGCAGTGGCATGAAGAAGCTAATGTCTTACCACTTCCGTATTCATCGAAATCAAATTTTTTGTTTGATTGTAAAAGTTTCAATTGATGGAAACGGGCTGGGTACTTACAATTCACCTATCTGTAGTTGATAGAATATTAGAATATATCTGTAATTGTAGCATAACTGCAGCTGAATTTCATTAGTAAGTGCATAAACGGAAATGAAACTTGCCATTGATTCGCTCAAAGTTGATAGAAATAGCCCTTTAAAACAAATGAATGAGTAAATGTTAGTCTCCACGGAGCATTCTTCACGACATTTCAAGAAGAATAGAAATCGCCTTTAGCCCTATTTTTGCGGCTACTCCAAAAAAACATTTTTATGACTGGGAAAGAAATTTCTCTTCCAATCTTTTTTTAGAAATTGATACTCCTTTAAGATTTGATACTTGTGAAAATTTAACGACACTCTAGAAAAAATTACCAATAGCATTGCAACATCAGCAAATGACAAAGTATTTGAAAAAAGTTTATGTTACTAGACGAGCCATTCCTACGCAGATATCAAATGAATCTAAAGCTATTTTCTGTCGACTAGGATTATCATCCGCATTATCTATAGAAAATTTTCTCTGCATCAACCGTCCTTATGCCATAAAAAGGGTACACGTAAGACTGTCCGGAATGAAACAATGTTCCATTTATTCAAGTTGGTTTGTAAACGATGCTCCGCCATCCATTCCACCTCCGTTGATTCGTTTTCTCCAATTATCCCTGACAGGAATGCAATGACTGTGGTATACTTTAAGCACTTTGCATGGGTTTAGCACCTTGTATCTCAGTCTTTCTTTAAATATCCACAAAATAACATTTTCCATACCATATGTATTTGCAGGGACATCTAATTCAGCGAATTTATCCGCGACCAAATCTTTTCTTATGTAAAATACAAAGATATCGTGGCTTCCAATATAAGGGTAACCATTTCCACAGTGTGCAGATGCCAATGATGCACTGCAGTTCACAGAATGCCTTGTAAGTGCATACATCAATTTTTTTTCTCTCAAAACAATGTGATTAACCTTTTCCCAGCCTTCCCCTAAGAAGTTGTCTTGGTGGAGCATAATCACTACCTTTCCTTTTAAATATGTTGAAGCATAATTAATTGCATCTTTGATAGATGGTGATGCGAAATTGTTATGAATAATGAGTTTCTCAAGAAACTTTAAATCGAGCATTTTCAAGCGTCTGATGGTTCTTTCTCTTGCGACCAAAACGTGAACATGCGATACAAGTTTGTTTTCAAGATTTCTTTTGAGACACTCGAATACTTCAGCCATCCTTGCCTTTATTTGCTGATCAGTAGGTGGTAAACCATTGATTAACAAACCTTTTCTAACATCTTCGTGATCAAATGGCACAAATGTTGTAATCAGATGAAACAATCCAGGGTTTTCTTGATCGATTAGCCGTCCTGTTTCTGGATCCACTGCTGGAGACATTCTTGGTCTCGTGTCTTGCTTAACTGTTTCTTGGTAATGAAACCTCATGAGCTTTTTACCAATGTTCTTTGACACTTCAGGAAAGATGTTGACTTGAACAAGAAGGAAACTCAACACTATCAAAGCAGTAAAGGCAAAAATACGTATCTTGAGCATAGGAACCATCTTTGAAGCCGAGGATCTTTGTTTAAACAATATGCTTGGACAGCTCCAAACTACAGAAACCTTTTAATATAGATGTTTCACATTTGCAGCTACAAATCAAAGTTTTGAAAACGCGACTGAGTTATTCCTCTGGGTACGGACTGATATTCTCGTGAGAACAATATAACTCTAATCAAATTAATGCTGTATATATTAGGAGCGGATCCAGACTATAGAAACTGTAGCCCGAGCTATAGTCAAAATCTTCGTGTTTGATTTTCGGAATTCAAAGTTAAGTGCTAATTCTTCCTCTGCTATCAAGCCTCCCAACATTTGAAAGCAGCGGTATAGGTTATCAAATGCGATTAACAAACATGCAATGCTGGCAATGTGTCATCACAATGCCTCTCGAGATAAGATATTAAAACTTAGACGCATCAGTAGTTTCGTTTTTTTTTGACAGTAAACAACCAGAATTGAGCTACAGTGGATATTCCGAGCTAAAGTCGGTCTGGGAATTTGCTCTGGAAAAGACATCGAAGACAATGAAACCCGTACTATAATTTTTGGCACGAGCTATAGTGAAGCTATAGTCAGGTTTGAAAATGGCCTTTTAACCAATAGAATATGAGTATCCACGGTACTTCTCCGCTCTCTGTCCCCTGTAAAGCAACAGTGGACTATAGCTCGTTTTCACATCCTGGTTCCCCTGTAATGTAGCTTCAAAGGCAAGGACCTACTAGGGAATAGACAGGGACGGCGGAACGACCAAGCGGCAAGAGGGGGGGCAGGCTTGAGTAAAAGGCCTTTTGAAAGATAATTCTCAGCTTCTTCAAATTCATACGTAACTGCAATTTTATTATATGTAGGTATCTTCAACATTGGCTGGCTTTCGGCATAAGGAATTATTTTACATGTTTTGAGAAGTTCAGAATTTCATACGAATCTCTCTGATTATTACAATTGGCCAGTTTCAAGGGAACTTTATTAAAAACAACCCTTGCCCCTTCTGCCAAAGGGCAACAGGGGCGGTTGTACCCCCACACCCTCTTCTCTGGCGTCCCTGGAAATAGAAAAAGGATGTTTGAAGGAATATTTATGAATACGAAGCAACTATAAACACACATGGTATATCATTTGCCCATATAGTGGGCGTGTCCCACAAGCAAGGGGGGCGTGGTCCCGATCCCAAAAGATTTGAGCTATAGTCACCAAAAATCCTGGATCCGCCCCTGTATATGGTCGGATGATGACACTTGGAACTGACAGGTATTACTTGGAACCATCCACCAACGAGTATACAGCTGTGCCTATATAACACTGAGCAATAATGACAGACCAGTAAAAATTGAATTTTCATGATTTCTGTTAAACTAGGAATAAAATCGTAAAATGCAAAATTTTCAGCATAACGTGTAAGAGAGTTTCATTACCGATAACAAAGCATTCAAAACCATTTATCACATAGCGATTTCTCCACATGTCGCGCACAAACCTGTGTCTAGATATTGAAGGCATATTCCAATGCATTTTGATTGTCACTTCAATTCCCATTTGTAAAACTAAATAATAAACTTGCTTTATGTGTGTATCCAATAGGTAATTGGATACTAATAATCAACGTTTCCTAAATCATAAATGCGCCCGAAAGATTGACTGACGGGACATAGTGCACACCAATCTGCATTTGAATTCACAAGAAGAACAATCATGTACAAATTGATTACAGTTAAATCAAATAATGATTATTTCACAAATATGTTTTCCATAAAAAATAATATGTTTCTAGGTGTTTGGTATGTTTCCTTGCTTGGTGTCTCCATAGCAGAGCTTCCACGGGGATATGCATGAACTTTATATCAAGCAAGCCGGAACGGGATAATGAAGATGCATTAAGCAAATATTTTATTGAAGAGAAATTAAACGAAGTGCTAAGACGAATATCCAATAGTACCTGGTTGCACTTCAAACCCAAGTAAGAAATGCATTTTAGATGTTGTGGAGAGTGGTGCCGTCCTAAACAATTAGGAAGGGGTCTGTGCTATAGTCAACATCTAGACGTCACATCCTTGACGACACCCAACATTCTCAAATTTGTGTTAAAGATTTTCTGTTGTGTATACAAAATCTTTAAACTATTCACCAACTAAAAAAGACTGATAGGAAGTTGTCCCAAAATGTGGGGGTTGAGCCACAAAGAGCCCCCTCCGTGGCACCCTTGGTTTCAGGGTTTATAAAGGCAACTCATCTGCCAGAGACCCTCAAGGGTAATTTCAGGGCTTTTCTTAATACGTCCCGCACATTTATCTTCTCCGTAAGTCAAAATTATTGGTGTTTGAATTTATCATAGTTTATCAACTGTTTGGTGGGGGTTTGTAGTGCTGAGATTTTGTGATTCATTTAGTGAACAATTTTTTTGCGTTACAGAATTTGAAAATGGCTTTGAAAAAGGCCAACATTTTACCACATATTGGCGTCTGACACTCCTCAGAGCATAAAACGCCAGAATAAGGGTCCGAAAGAACACGAACCCAACCAGAAAAACGCAAGCACAAGACCGGTATAGTTGACCAATCAGTGGCGCGTGCCTAAAGAAAAATTACCACTGGAGTCCAAGAGAGAAAACGAACTCCTTTGTGTAGACAGAACCATCGAACATAGAGTTACAACTTGGAACTGTCCTGCTCAATACACCAAAGCCTATAGACCTCTGCTTACATTTGGCATTTAGCATTATATGAGAGCAGTAAAACAGTAATTTCTGTTGTGTGCGGATTGTTAAAATAGTAGGAATATAATCATAAAGCGCACAAATTTTACCAGCGTGTTTTTGAGAGTTTTATCGACGATAAACAATAATTTAAAAACCGATTATGTATAGCAATTTTTCTACATGTCACGCACAAACCTGTGCCTAGATATTATAGTTTATCCCAACGCATTTCCAGTGTCACTTAAATTCTCATTTGTAGAACTGAACAGTAAACTTACTTTACGTGTGTATCCAATAGGTAAGGGAATAATGATAATCAACGTTTGCTCAAGCAATCCAATCCGCACTTGAATTCAAAATAAGAACAATCTCGTCCCAAGTGATTACCGCAAAATCAAAGAAAAATCAAAGAACAATTACTTTACATAAATTCTAGCGTTTTCGTATGATTCTTGGATTGGTGCACCTAGACAATTCTACTAATAAATGTAAAAACTTTGTATCAAGCAAATCTCAACAACCTCCTAAATAACTCGAGAAAGGCGGTCGATCTACAAAAGGATCAGCTTGGATTTTTGTTGGATTTTTGAATTGCCTATATTTATTCAGGATCATGTAACTTGTCAATGACTTGTTATAACAAGAATTGGTTTTCATGCATTTGGGCTGAGTCAGAAGTAGTGATTTCCGTCGTAGTCTTTCCTGTCTATATACTTTTAACCATCACAAAATAATACATAATTGTTTTGGGCTGTAAAATATTCGAAATTATAATTTTCAAAAACAAATAAACTGTTGAGTTGAGAGCAAATCAGAAGCTAGGAATTAGCAAAAAAAGAACTAAATTTGAGCAATAATTAATTTTTGACAATTAGGAACAGTAGATAGAGCTGGCTAATCATTTTATTCGGTTGCAGACTCAATAAATTACTTTTCAAAGAATTTTATTGGTTAATTTCACATTTTTGTAAAAATGCCCTCCTGACACAAACAAGAAGAGGGATTCAACACCAGCCTTTTCAAATCCTTTTGGCCATGTCTCCCTGTTTGTAGAGGCATGAAAATACTTTTTGATATATAGGTAGTGAATGCCTGAAAATAGGTGATTAAATATCAAAATTCAATTTGATTATCTTTTTAAGCACCTCAAGAAAGTTTTACATCATCTGCCTGCTTTTTGCAGAGGCCAACCACCTTACTGTCTGCTTACTTTCCAAAAACAATGGGTTTGCAATATAATCTTTTGTGAGCTGCTATTTTGAGCATATAGGAAAATATAATTGATTTAGACAATTTGTATAAATGTTTGTGACAGTTGGGACCAGCCACTGTTAGAAACAAATGAGAACCAATTTCTTGAAAAATAAGTTCATCCAAACTGCCCTGGTAAGAAAATATTTACTTTAAGGATTTTACAGTAAATAAATGTGGACTAACCTGCTTCTGAAAGTGATCCTTCAGGGCTTAGAAGACTCTCCCTATGGCTTGCAGCATCTTCTGTTTTATCTCTCTCCAGGAAATTTAGCATATTTGTGCTAAAAAAGAGAAAATTAGTTGAGTATTAACAGTAGGTTTTGATGACCCTACTGACCCTATAGGTTTTTCTGAAATTTTGAAACTGAACAACCCATAAAAGACAACATAGTCAAAGCTACTAAAACAAACAATTTACTATGCATTTTCGAACCCAATTTACAGCAAGGTATTAGACATTGCTAGTTGTGCTCATCAAAGAAATGGCAGATTTTGCTGTAGACTACCAGCAATGCTGTAGACTACACAGATCTTGACCATGAAATTAAATATTGTGTAATCAAAACCATTTTCACTAACTGCATATTCCAGAAGAAACAAACTAGGTTTGATATGTAACATATAGTTGCTCATCTGATTCTCAACACCATTTGCATTCAAGATTGTTTGGGGAAGACTCAAGTATAGCCAAGTGCCTATTTCTGCATAAAAAATTTAGAGTATCTGATAAGATCACCAGCATATCTTCATATTCCTACTTTCAAAAATTTTAAATCCAGTGAAGCGTTACAAGTAATTACATAATTTCAACAATTTTAAATTTAAAAAAAGTTTACAGCAATTTTGAAGAAGGGAAAATAAAGGCAATAAGTTTCATAAATAAAGACAAGGTTCATATTAACATGGCACACAGGCTTTTGGCAAAGGTTTCTATGGAGTCACGGTTTTGTAAACAAACCAAATACACAGGAGTGCCCCTTTGGCCTGACTTGCACATCAGGATAATGACAGATGGTTCTTTGGTGCACCGATGAGCTTGAAAAATTATATTTTCTGATCATATTTACTGAACATGGAATGGAAAATTACTAAATTTCTGCATATGTATCAACTATTAAAACAAAAAATGAATGTTAATTTGGTCTAGGCTAAAGGAAATTAAGCTTCATTCAATTGTGGTGAAGATATTCTCTTTCTTTCGTTCAATAATGCCTTCCGTTCATGATTTACATCAGTAAGGTAGGTTTTTTAGCATCATTTCGGCCAATTTCTATAAACCACACCCTGCAAGTTGTTGTAGCCTGCGAGTTGTCTTTGTTTTTTTAGTATCTCCATCCTTTATCCAAAAAAATATGGTGATAAGAATGAAGGAAGAACCTTTATTATTTGTTTCCTTTCATAAAACATTCAAAAATGCAAAAGCTTCGCACAATGGGCACAGATACAAAAAAAACTGTTTTATTCAATATTGATTTTGCAATTAAATGTAGGTTGTTTCAACCAAACAACTATCGCAAACTGGCATGTTGCCACACTAGATGTCTCATGTGACACAGCCCCTTTAATAAGCCTTTTGATAATGGAGTCAATGGCGTTCTGATAATAAACTCTCATGCAATGGCCTCCTGGTAATCAGAGCCTTTTAGTCCCTGGGCTATTGCTTTTGTACTAATTTTAGATACAGTACTTAGTCTATTCAATGGCTGTGGCTCTTTCAATGGCTGTGAATTTAACTTTTTATATTTTAAAACCTGTCCCAGATCAGATGACACACAGTATTTTTGATGATACTCTTATCCCTTATCCAAAAAAAGTATATTAATCTTATTACAAAAACTCTAGTGGCTTTTGGCATGAAACTGGCATTATAGTTTCAACTCTTCATTATGGAAACTTGGTAGTCATAACATTTGCTAGTCGGGGTATTTTCCCCTTTATTGTTGTAAAGTAGATTTTGTTAGAAGTGTAGCCTGCAGCATATTGTTTTGCCAGTGGAGGAGATGAAAATATTTGCCAGCTTTGAAAACATGTAAGATTTTGGCCAAGTGAAGCTGCAAGCAACATCACACTATCAGCTGCAACCTTTGGGCAAAGGTATTACAACTAAAGTATGACAGGCATGGTTTTAAAGACAGACAGGAAACTTTGTTTCTTGCGCAGGCAAGTTCATGCACCTGACTGCATGACTGCATGCCTGAAATCACACACTTTCAAGAAATTTGAATTGTTAATAATGTAAAATGTATTCAAATAAGGACTTGGCAGCCAGTATGCAAAAGTTAGCAGATAGAAAATTTGAATTTGCGGGCAATTTGTCGCGGCCACACGACGAAGTTTCCAGTCTAGGGGTGCAAGTTCAAGGCATTGAGTGTAGCTGCCAGCATAAATGAAGCTATCCAGGATGGAAAGTGTGGTTTAAAGAAGATATTTTTCTTTCTGTATTACGAATGTTGTAATAACTCTAGATAAGTTAGTTACATGGGATTGCAATATTGATTTTAGTTACAATTGCCAAAAATCGCCTCTCTAACATCAAAAATCCAATGACGATGTTCAAGGTTTTTGGGCCAATATCTAAAGTTAGAATTATCATGCTTTTTAAATATCTACAATCCTTGACAAAAGTCCTTGGAACACCCTGTGACCAATGAAAGATTTTGAAGAAATAAAGGTTTCCGGCTATAAGATACAGAAATATCCCCCTTCCCCTAAAAACAATGTTGGCTGAAAAGCCTATTACTTACCCTAGCAAATAAACTGACATTGGACCAATTTCAAGCTTTGAAACTGTTGTTATTCAACATTGTTTCAAGGGGGAGAGGGGGATGCTACTGAAGTTATGCAAAATTTTAGCTTGCTGTACCAAGACTTTTGGCAAGGATTTTATATATATTATATTGACCCAAAGGAGATGTTAACGTGATAAATAACCATTATTATCAGGTTAGGCTGTAAACGTGCAAAATCTTATACCGTGGGTACCTAATATAGCGCTTTATTAGATACCTAAGGAATCAGATTTCGCGCGGCAATAACATAACTTGTTTTCGTTATGGCTACTTTACTAATCAAACTTACAAACACCTTATAGACCTAATAGGTTTCATATTTTCGATTTACATTTCAAAATTTCAAACACAGCATTTGACGAAATTAATCTTGCCTTGAACTATTTGCATCTAAATAGCATAGCAACGAGGTATACAATATACATTTTGGGCAAATCAAATAAAAAAGAGCAATCACACCGCGTTGTTAATGATGCTACAGAAATTAAATTTGAAGTAAATCCGATTTCACGACATTATCTTTGCAACTGTTCATTTTCTCTGCATTTACTGAAGGACCAGTAATTACATGTGATCCTTTTGTTTATCAGTATTTGAAAATAAGAACAACAGTATTACAACCGTCATTACTCACCTCTGATCAAAATCAATTGGAAGTGTTGGATCTTCATCCATCATCGAGACCGTATCCATAATTTTAAAAAAATATTTTTGTTCAATTCAAAACATGATATGATATTGTGTTTCCAGGTATGTTTTCAACTTATGATGTTGTGATTTAAAACTTTGAACAACCGCGCGGCCATTTTGGATACCTGCAAATGACATCACTCATTGGTTGACTGAAGGCCTCAATGGTAGAGAAGAGCATTGTGGGATGCAAAGATCGAAATGGCGCCAGAAGGTATCGAAAGAAAATAACGACAGCCTTTAAATTCAAATTACACATTTTAGTTTTGATAACATCCAATATTTTTTAAACATCCAAAACATCTAGTACGAAAACATCCAATATTTTTTAGAGTGCAGCAAAGAAGGCCCAAACATATTCATATTTTGTAAAGAATTTATAAGCTTTACCATTTATGCTACCCAGGCAAGGACCGAGACACTGGGGGCCCGGAGGTCCCTGGCCCCCAAAACTTATGCTACTTTTATTTTGAAAAAATGGCTGTTGTTACACTGATTTATCTGGGCTGCCCCCCCAAACAAAAAGTTATATCTCGGTCTTTGTACCCAGGGGTGTCGTCAAAGGGGGACATGGGGACACTGCGCCTTCAACATTTTCTCAACCTGTTGTACAATAGTAACATTTTTGTAGCAATTGTAAAAAATTAATATTTATTTAGCAGTTGAACTTTCAACGTATAGCATAAGATTTTTTATCTTATGGCCGTTGACAACACCCTTAAAGAGTGGTCACACCCTTTTTGTCGGCAAAAATCAGTTCCGTACCCCGACTCCCCTTCACCCCCTCTCCAGTGAAAAAAGGTTTTGGCTTCGCCCCTGCCCCTGCAAATTCAATTCCTTGCTGGTCACGCTCTGCACACGGGCTACTTTCTTTGCCCAAGGCCCCCAGCATTAGTAAACCCGTGTACTTAATACCATACAAAAATCGTCCTGTACTTGGTTTTTAGCATGTTTATTACCATTGCCATTACATAAAGGAATAATAAGACTAACAGGTTTGATATTTTGCGATAAAATTTACTGTTTACCGTACTTGCGTATTACTATTGAATATCATCACAGCCTCAAAAACAAGAGACAGATTGCAATTGAAAAACAATTTTTACAAGAACAACATCACAATTCATCAAATTGACCAATTTTACGGATAAAGTGCTTTGAATCAGGTATTGTGTGAACAGGGCCTAAGAGGAGGCCCGCTTGAGACAGACTGCAATGGGGATTGCAGAAGCTGAGGGTGAGAAGGCCACAGCCCTTGATAAATAATCAGATACGTTGGAAAATAGTTTCTGCCTCCTCCACCACCCCCTCCCCCCTTTACAGTCACCCTTGTGAAAACCTGCAGGATGATAAGCCCTTGTCTTAGAGCTTTTTGCAGATAACAAGTGGGCTCTTGCATTAATATTTGTCACAGATAGTAGCAAAGTGTCCTTTTGTTTTAACATCGCCGAAAAGTTTACTTCAAACTTCGCTTTGAAAAGCCTTCACCCAATATATCTTAATATATCTTCATCAAAACAAAGTTTTACTTGTAAATTTGGCATGCTACGTTATCACATCTTAATGACGTCACCTAAAGAAAGGATGTAGGTAAATGAAAACAGGAATCAAAATATCTACTCAAAAAATATTGCTGCTGTATTCATAATGTACAATTTTTGTGCTAATGATATGATGCTATAACATTGAGGTAGTACAGCATTTAACAAAAATAGAAATAGAAACGAGGAACTATAAAAACATAGGAATAAGAAATTTTTCAAAAATCGAAATATCAAGTCGAAATTTGTTGCCACGACGTAGCTTAGCAAAGCATTAATTTGGGAAAAAATTTTTGTTTACACGAAAATGTGTCGATAGTACCTGCATGATGTAAATCCAAGTTCTGCAGTTCCCCTTTGTGAACATGATTATTATTTAGCACAGAAAATTCTAAATGAGCAACGTCCCAGACACTACCTTTTTGTTTGGAGAGGGCTGTTGAAATGAGGGTAACAAAAGAATATTTTGATTATAGAAAAGTTTTGATTTTAGAGCTTAAAATTGCACCAAAAAGTTCTTTTTATGCAGGATTTGGATGATAATGATGCAAAAGCGTGACACTATTGAGTTGTAACTTTCTTCAGTAAAGTTTCAGCTATAGAGTGAAGAGGGACTGCTAGTATCAGAGGTAAAATTTGAATTAGACAGAACTAAATGCTTAAACGGGGTACTGGGTACTTATTTAATTTATTTAATCTTCAAAATACTAACTGATGATATTCAGTTTTTGTAATGATATAATAAAAAGTCTAATCTTTATAAATCTTTCCCAAACAAAAGGGAATTGGGGAACCTTGCCTCCCATGCTTAAAAGCATACCGTTGACGTTGACAATGTGTGCTCGGCGTCATACGGCAAGAATTCAAATTGTCTGGATCTGGATCAATACTTGAATTCAACTAATTTCTATAGTTTGGATCCGATCCTGATATAAACAGCATTAATTTGATTAGAGTTATATTGTTCTCACGAGAATATCAGTCCGTACCCAGAGGAATAACTCAGTCGCGTTTTCAAAACTTTGATTTGTAGCTGCAAATGTGAAACATCTATATTAAAAAGTTTCTGTAGTTTGGAGCTGTCCAAGCATATTGTTTCAACAAAGATCCTCGGCTTCAAAGATGGTTCCTATGCTCAAGATACGTATTTTTGCCTTTACTGCTTTGATAGTGTTGAGTTTCCTTTTTGTTCAAGTCAACATCTTTCCTGAAGTGTCAAAGAACATTCGTAAAAAGCTCATGAGGTTTCATTACCAAGAAACAGTTAAGCAAGACACGAGACCAAGAATGTCTCCAGAAGTGGATCCAGAAACAGGACGGCTATTCCATCAAGAAAACCCTGGATTGTTTCATCTGGTTACGACATTTGTGCCATTTGATCACGAAGATGTTAGAAAAGGTTTGTTAATCAATGGTTTACCACCTACTGATCAGCAAATAAAGGCAAGGATGGCTGAAGTATTCGAGTGTCTCAAAAGAAATCTTGAAAACAAACTTGTATCGCATGTTCACGTTTTGGTCGCAAGAGAAAGAACCATCAGACGCTTGAAAATGCTCGATTTAAAGTTTCTTGAGAAACTCGTTATTCATAACAATTTCGCATCACCATCTATCAAAGATGCAATTAATTATGCTTCAACATATTTAAAAGGAAAGGTAGTGATTATGCTCCACCAAGACAACTTCTTAGGGGAAGGCTGGGAAAAGGTTAATCACATTGTTTTGAGAGAAAAAAAGTTGATGTATGCACTTACAAGGCATTCTGTGAACTGCAGTGCATCACTGGCATCTGCACACTGTGGAAATGGTTACCGTTATATTGGAAGCCACGATATCTTTGTATTTTACATAAGAAAAGATTTGGTCGCGGATAAATTCGCTGAATTAGATGTCCCTCCAAATACATATGGTATGGAAAATGTTATTTTGTGGATATTTAAAGAAAGACTGAGATACAAGGTGCTAAACCCATGCAAAGTGCTTAAAGTATACCACAGTCATTGCATTCCTGTCAGGGATAATTGGAGAAAACGAATCAACGGAGGTGGAATGAATGCCGGAGCATCGTTTACAAACCAACTTGAATAAATGGAACATTGTTTCATTCCGGACAGTCTTACGTGTACCCTTTTTATGGCATAAGGACGGTTGATGCAGAGAAAATTGTCTATAGATAATGCGGATGATAATCCTAGTCGACAGAAAATAGCTTTAGATTCATTTGATATCTGCGTAGGAATGGCTCGTCTAGTAACATAAACTTTTTTCAAATACTTTGTCATTTGCTGATGTTGCAATGCTATTGGTAATTTTTTCTAGAGTCTCGTTAAATTTTCACAAGTATCAAATCTTAAAGGAGTATCAGTTTCTAAAAAAAGATTGGAAGAAAAATTTCTTTCCCAGTCATAGAAATGTTTTTTTTGGAGTAGCCGCAAAAATAGAGCTAAAGGTGATTTCCATTCTTCTGGAAATGTCGTGAAGAATGCTCCGTGGAGACTAACATTTACTCATTCATTTGTTTTAAAGGGCTATTTCTATCAACTTTGATCGAATCAATGGCACGTTTCATTTCCGTTTATGCACTTACTAATGAAATTCAGCTGCAGTTATGCTACAATTACAGATATATTCTAATATTCTATCAACTACAGATAGGTGAATTGTAAGTACCCAGCCTGTTTCCATCAATTGAAACTTTTACAATCAAACAAAAAATTTGATTTCGATGAATACGGAAGTGGTAGGACATAAGCTTCTTCATGCCACAGCAAATTGATTTTTTCTCAAATTTCATTTCACATGAAAAGTTTGATTCAAGATTCTATACCTCGAAATATTTCAGGACCGTAGAATTTGCTGCTTTGCTGAGTTCTGCATTATAAGGTAATCTGGATTTTACCATGTTTGTTTCTTGAACAGAAAATATGAGGCAAGAGGGACTGATCCTCAAAGCTTAGTTCTTCGAGCGTGGAAAGTAAAGTTATAAACTTGTTCAGCGTCTAGTAACATAAACTTTTTTCAAATACTTTGTCATTTGCTGATGTTGCAATGCTATTGGTAATTTTTTCTAGAGTCTCGTTAAATTTTCACAAGTATCAAATCTTAAAGGAGTATCAGTTTCTAAAAAATGATTGGAAGAAAAATTTCTTTCCCAGTCATAGAAATGTTTTTTTTGGAGTAGCCGCAAAAATAGAGCTAAAGGTGATTTCCATTCTTCTTGAAATGTCGTGAAGAATGCTCCGTGGAGACTAACATTTACTCATTCATTTGTTTTAAAGGGCTATTTCTATCAACTTTGAGCGAATCAATGGCAAGTTTCATTTCCGTTTATGCACTTACTAATGAGATTCAGCTGCAGTTATGCTACAATTACAGATATATTCTAATATTCTATCAACTACAGATAGGTGAATTGTAAGTACCCAGCCTGTTTCCATCAATTGAAACTTTTACAATCAAACAAAAAATTTGATTTCGATGAACACGGAAGTTGTAGGACATAAGCTTCTTCATGCCACAGCAAATTGATTTTTTCTCAAATTTCATTTCACATGAAAAGTTTGATTCAAGATTCTATACCTCGAAATATTTCAGGGCCGTAGAATTTGCTGCTTTGCTGAGTTCTGCATTATAAGGTAATCTGGATTTTACCATGTTTGTTTCTTGAACAGAAAATATGAGGCAAGAGGGACTGATCCTCAAAGCTTAGTTCTTCGAGCGTGGATATTAAAGTTATAAACTTGTTCAGCGATTTACCGCTATCAAGCAAGAACTTATCAAACTTGTGTTCCTTATATGAATAATTTACACCGTTCTGTATAAGATTACAAGGAAAGCTGCTCGAGTAAAAATATAGAACCTTTTTGACCAGCCTGTGTACTCGTAGGTTAAGGCAAAAAAGTCTATTAGCAAAACGGCTGTGCAAAATGGCAAAATTGCACCTCGCCAGTGATGTGTAGCAACCAGGGTCAGCATAGGCCATAATTTTACCTTTTCAAGCTTTGTCATGCAAAGGCTTTACCAAATAAACAATGACTCAAAATGGTTTTTGACTTTCTACGAAAAAGTCTTCTTTCGACGAAACTAAATACCAACGGAGTAGAATTAAATTTGCAAGATAACTTCACTGACAGTAAGCAATAAGTCAAAGTCAAGTTGCATTACAGGACAATGAAAGAGGGCAGGCAAAAAGGCATAATTTATACAAAGCCACGTAACAATCCTAGACCAGATGGTGAACGAAAGCACTATTTTCCGAGCTGAAAATCGACGAGACCAAGCTTGTCTCGCTCAATGTTCGGCATAGTGTCTTCATGTTGATTAGTTCTAGGTGGCTTTTCAAAGAAAAAGAGGATCTTAAGATTGTCAGGGTGCATCTGGTAAACACTATACGGAAAAAAGCTGTTGTTAGTATGACTTGTAGATAAATTCATTCATAAATTCAAGATATTACGTTATTTTAACATGAATTGTACAAAGCAACTTAACATTGAAACGTTTGCTCTGCCTAAGGTCTGCCAAAACTTTCTATTAACATCGGCTATCTTGAATATAACCTCCTATTTATCCTATATTCAGTTATAATAGATTTTTTGTGGTCAGCAGCCCAAACATACTGGCTGCTGCGATTTTAATCCATTTGTTGGAACTATTTGGGATGGATGCACTGATCTATAAAAAAGACTGGATCGAGCTTCTAATGTGACCCGAGTGTCGCCATCCAAGAAGAGGGCCTCAAAACAGCCCATGCTAGGAGACGACCTTAAGTGTCAGTCCTAGCAATGTTTTCAGCTGTTCTGGCCTTGTTCTTTCTCAGGACTCATACACACAGCATTGCAGCTCTCGGGTATTCTAATCGTTCAAGTATTGTTTTGGAGGAATGGCTTCCCGCTATTGTTTGGGGCCCTCTTCCTTTTGAAATTAAACAGGCTACAAACTTTGGTGTTTCAAGACAATATGAAGCTCGATCCAGTCTTTTTATAGGCCAGTGGATGGATGGTATAATCATCCGTCTTCTGCCGAGGAACTCCATTCATTTTCCAGTCCAAGAGACGGTCAAGAGTGGTTTCTTCACGAGAAGACACTCGTTTTTTTAGAATTGAGCTGCATGGTTCCTTTGCGACGCAAGTTTTAAAATATTTTTGTGTTAAGCTCAATTCACACTAGACGCGTTTTTTTTGCCGCTGCCCAAATAAGGGTCGCGTTTTTTGACGAATTGCGTGCGCATCGCGTTTTTTGGGCAATGCGTCACGATGCGGCAAAGTTGGATTTATCCAACTTTTCCGCAATGTGCCGCATCACAACAATAAAAGAGTTTTGTAAGCAAGCTGTTCTTCTTTCTTTGTAAACAATAGCGGGACAAGAGGCATGACCGGTTTTTTGAAAACACTGAAATGGCGTTCTATTAAATTGGTGCCTGAGCCAATATCGCTAAAGAAACACTATTTCGTACAAATATTCTCGAACTGCAGAGGATGGGCACACAGAATACTTCCCTCGAAGCTTTTTGCAATGACTATTTGAAACAGATTTTCGCTGACCCGATAAAGATAGAACGTAGAACGAGCCAGGGCAGTGTTAAATGAAATAAATGTACAGAGAGCTAATCAAAATTTCGTCTTTAAGGAGCTGCTTTAGCTTCAATTTTCAAATTCTTGAGACATAAACTGAAATTAAGTCCAATATCACGGCCATTGTACTTTTTAAAAGGAAACGCAAAGAGACGCACTAGATATGAATGCTTGAATTCCATTCTTGAAAAACGCTGTGTGACGCGCCGCGACGCACCGCTTCTAGTGTGAATTCAGCTAGTCTGTAGTGATAACATCTAAGCTTTTGTTTTGTTCCCGCTGTGTTTTTCATGCTACGCTTCGCTGCTTGTATATACCGCTGTGTTTATTTTAGAAATAGTTAGTTGGTTCGAAATAAGACAATAACACGACGTACGTCTCTTAATATCGACTTCGCTCTTCAATAATTCGTCCTTCGAGACTGTTACTTTATTAACAACACAGGTTGTTAAAAGTCAATCTTTTTTCAGCACAATCATAATTTGAAAAATCCAACCCAAAACAATCTAACGATTCCTTTTATTAAAAAATGTTCGTATTCAAAATTTGTTGTCGTTTTACAGATAACAAAAACGCTGTCCAGAAAATTGAGCCAAACACACCTGAAAGAAGCATACTCAGGGAACATGAAGAGGTGAAGATAAATACATTTTTATTTTACAGTTCTCGTCAAGTTTTCGGGAATTTGATTTCAATTACGACTGGAAAATTTGGCTTAAGGTTGGTTTTGAAGTCTGAATTTGGTCTAAACCTCTTTGATGGCTAAATAGGTTGTTTAATTTTCTTACTAGATTTTATACTTTTTGGAAGTACCACCCACCCCCCCCCCCCCCCCCCCCCCATTATCAAATGCAGCAAATTTTGCCACAAAATGGAAGCTATCTTTATAGTTGTAGGAGTTCAACTTGTCAGCTGAACAATTTTTAAAAAAAAGTATATAGATGGTTTCAAAAAGAATAATGTCATTAATGTCATAATCAATTTTGTTATCTCTTGCCAACCCCATTTTATTTGTCAGCCTTGTTCTTCAAGTTTCTGAAAATTTCTAGCATTAACCTCCCTTAGTGATTTGTTTTTAAAGATTGTTGTTCGTCCCATTTACGACTTTGCTCTGGGCCGTTCATTTCTGCATTGGATCGCATCCTTTTCCGCTTGGTTTTTAAAGTTTTAAGAAAGCGAATGCGAGATGTTAACTGAGCTTATATAAGATCTCGCGTGCAGATGCACTCAAATACAAGCCTTTTGCTTATCCTGTTTGTATCAAACATGGTTTCGTCATAATTTAATTTATTGGAAATAAAAATTGGAGGAGCCTCGGCGAACTCCGATTAGAGTTCTACGAGCCTCCTCGTAGCATCGAGGTCACTGTGCTGAGCATAGTTTATTACGTTCTGATAGGAGATATCTTCCGGTCACATTATTCAACCCGCTATTCAAAGAACAATAGGTTTGTAAAGGTTTATAATACCCCGCCCATGCACTAAACCTCAGCCTTTTACAGTTCGGAGAGGGTGTTTTGCACTGGCCTCATTAAAACAGAGGGAGGGCGGGTGGGAGCACAGTTTATTACTTTCTGATAGGAGACTTCAAAGATAGAGGACAAAAAAACACCCGAAATTTGTCTAAGTAAGCAACACAACATTAGAGTAATAAGAATATGCGAGGATAATTAAAGTCCATTAAAGAAATTAAAGTCCACTAAGGTAAGTGAACGTCGCGATATCAGTACAACACAATCTTGAGTTATTCAGGGTCAGTGACGCAGGCGGCCAATATTCGTGAAACTGTGCATTTGGAAAGAAAGAATTTGAGCGAAAGTAATGGCGATTAAATGTTTTAGCAGAAGACCAGTCACCAGCCGAAAGAATGGCGTCCAAAGGAGCGTTACAGGCAACTGCTTTCGAGGCAGCAGCACCGCGTACACTGTGTGCACTAAAAAGGCTTGTATCAATTCCAGCCTGTTGAAGAACACCACGAATCCATCGGGCAATAGTGTCTGTGGTAACTGGTTTATGAGGTGGGACGTAGCTCAGGAATAGACGGTTCTCTAATTCAAGTTGATCGATAGATTGACGGAAGTGTTCGGTTTTGTCAAGATATATTTGAAGCAACTTAGCGTGCCGAGAGGGTCTTCTTCATTTAAACTTGGCAAGGTAATCAAGAAATATGGCCTTTTGCGCTTGACCTTCAGTTCATCGAAAATGTATATATATGTTGCCGATTCGTCAAACTTGATGTTCCTGGAATCAATCAAAGAAATAGTGTGAACCCTTTGGACTGATAACCATGTAAGTAAAGTTGCCAGTTTCATTGTAATGTCACGTAAAGACGAGTTATCATCAATTTTCCATTCTCGTAAAAATATAAGTAAGTCACGAGCATTCCAGTTTACTGGGTATTTAGGCATAGGCTTTCGCAGGTTTCTAACCCCTTGCATAAATCTCGAAATTAGTGGATGTTCACCGAGCTTATTTTCAGCTACAGATAGCGTAACAGATAATGCACTGCGAGCCTTATTGATCTGGGAGTAGCTGAGTCCCTAGTCGTGAAGATACGTCAGAAATGCTAGTAGTTAGTACAAAGTGGGCGGAGATATAGTGAAGTTTCTTTCATTGCAAAATACAAACCACTGTTTGAGAATTGACTCATAATTTTTCTGGGTGTTTTCCCTCCAGCTTGCCTTGATAACTTCGATAGTTCGTTGAGAAACTTCGTTCTGTACAAGCTGTTTGTCGATAATTTGCAAGCCACCAAGGTCATCTTTGGGAAAAGTGGGTGGACTAGGTTCGGTTGGCCTGGACAGCTAAGCAGGGAGGGAAAAGAAGGAATTTCTATTGGAAAGTCAATTAACATGTCAGTAAGGTGTGGAAACCACGGTTGACTTGGCCAAAAGGGACAAACAAGCAGAACAACGCAAGGTTCATGTAGAATTTTATTAAGTAATTTGCTTATCATATTGAAAGGTGGAAAGGCATAGCCAAAAAGACCGTGCCATGATTGAGAGAATGCATTAACAGCACCACAAAAAGGGTCAGGTCGCCATGAAAAATAATTAGCGAGTTTGCTGTTTAACCTTGAGGCAAACAAGTCAACCGACGGCTGGCCAAACGTGTCACAAATGGCAGAAAAAACATCATTATGTAGACTCCATTCAATGTTGTCGGTAAAATCTCGAGAGAGCCTATCAGCAGCAATGTTTTCAACACCGGGAACGTGAGCTGCTGTTATATGAATATTTCGGTCAATACATCAAACCCATATTTCTTTACTTAAATCATTTAGGCGTTTGCTATGACAACCTCCAAACTTATTTATGTATGTAACTGCAGTTGTGTTATCGCAGTTTATTTTTACAGACTTTCTCTGCAGGTGCTTTTCAAAAGCTAGCAAGGCAAACTTGACGGCCTTCAATTCTAAGCAGTTAAGCTTGGTTTCCACTATGAGTTAACGTGAGTTAATTTGAGATAATTTTGTGATCCGAGTTGGTTTAAAAATTATCTCATAGTGGAAACGCTCATGAAAAATTATCTCATGAAAATTAACTCACGTTATCTTATGAGCTTGGAAACAAAATTTTTTGATTTCAAGCTCATGAGTTAACTTGAGATAACATCTTATCAAAAGAAGCCGATGCGTGGGAGGGGAAGGTGCTATAATTTGCACTGAGGTTCTTACGCAACGCACTTGCACTGAGTATTACTTTAGATGTTGAAAACAGTTTTCTTTACTTAAAAAAATTAATTGTGAAATAAGAGAAACATTTTCTCATTTCTAAGATCCTGTTGCAAGTGGTCGTATTCACCAAACGCATATCTTTTTTTGGTAGACTCTCCGTACAGAAAACCTTGGCGCAGATCGCGAACGGCACTTCTAGCAAAAAATATTTTCCTTCTAAGTATTCTCAAAAGCAGAAGTAAAATAAGTTGTTCTTGTAAGACGCCCGCCATAGCTGGAAGACTCAAATAAAATGTGATTTCTGAAATTTCAATACTTAATTCTATCTCAAGTCGAAACCGAATCGGTACATGGGTTAATTTTGAGATAGCTCGCGTTATCTCACGCTATTTCACACTATCTCAAGTTAACTTGAATTTAGACCATGAGTTAATTTTCAATTTAGCTCAGAATTATCTCACGTTAACCCATAGTGGAAACCAAGCTTTAATGTGAAGTTTTGTTTCATTACATGACCAGCGTCCTCCGGTATTGGAAATTGGTCGGCCTTGGGAGCAAAGTGTTGCACCCCAACCGGAGTTGCTAGCATCAGAGAAAATTTCAATTTGCTATTCAGAAATACCGATTATCTCTTTAATGAAACGTTCGTTGTTGGTGGAGACATTTTGTTTCCACCACATTAGTTCTTGACTAGATTTTTCATCAAGTGTTATAATAGCATCGTAAGAGCTATAGTCTTGTAAAGACTGTGTTTTAAGCATTTCAAGACTTCGGTAATGAAGCTGTCCGTGTTTTATCGCCATAAATGAAGAAACTAATAAACCGATGATTTGTGCTAAGCGTCTTATAGAGGTACGAGAGACCCTAAGAATTTTATTACAAGAGTTAATTATTTTGGTGATTTTTTCGTCTGGCAATTAAACCATTTGTGTAACAGAGTTTATTCTGAACCCAAGGTGAACAATTTCCACAGAGGGTTGTAGAGCTGATTCCTCGTAATTTATCGTGAATCCTAAGCTTTGAAGTAGACTAACAGCTCGTTGTGTGTTAGCAATCGCCTCTTCATACGAGTTGCTAAAATATAGGGGAGCGTCCAAATAATATGTACAAGGTATTCCCTCTTGGCGAAGCTTAGAAAAAACGGGCTTCATAACTTTTGTAAAGTAATAAGGAGCTAAGGATAATCCAAAGCAAAGGCACTGAAACTCGAGCAGCACGCCACGCCATTGAAAGCGCAAGAATTTTTTCGACTTTTCAGCCATTGGCAAAGAGAAATATGCGTCAGTAAGATCAATCGATGTCATAAATGCGCCCTTCCGAATAAGAGGCAAGATTGACGGTAAGTGTTCCATTTTAAAATGGATTTTTTCTAAATGTGAATTAAGTCTCTTTAAATTGATTATTGGTCTCAGTTTCCCATTCTTTTTCGGGCGAACAAAGATATTTGAGAGGAACTGGCCCTCGGTTGGTATAACTGAAGAAATTGCTCCTTTTTGATATAAGATTTTGAACTTCAGAGTCTATCAACAGCATTTCCTCTTGAGAGAAATTCATTGGCTGTGGGTGCGACTCGGCGATAGGCGATACGAACTTGAGCTCAATGCCTTTGATAAGGTTTAACACAAGTTTATTAGATGTGATATTACACCAGTTAGAATAAAAAAGTTTCGTTTGTGCAGTTACCTGATTTTTTAATTCTTTATCTGTTCTTGTGCAGGGCGTTGCTGTCGGCGGTGAAATTTGCCCCTCCGGTAACTGGTGGAGGGGCCTTGCCAGTTTAAAGACTTGTTGCCTTCCGTATTGTTGGTAACTGGAAGTGGAATACTGCCTTGCTGCACCATAATTACGGCCTTGAGCTGGCCTGTGCGATGACTTAAGCATCATTTGGCTCCTTCTGTCATTTCCTTGACAGCATCGGCGACTTTTCCTCCAAAAACTTTGCCATTCAAAGGCCCTGGCTGGACTATAGCCCAGTAACCCTCAGATATTCGGGATTTGATGGCATATCTACGGGAGTTGTGCACGTCTAAAAAGGCATTCCCAAGAAAGGGAATAACGTTCATGAGAAGCTGATTAATGTTACTCATAAACTCATGAATTGACATGGGGCTTTGTTTTTGAGCATTTAACAGCTCTTTTGCTCTGATTGTCGCCGTCATAGCCTTAGCAATTTTGGCTTGTGCAGCCTGAAGAGAGATATCAGAGTGTTTCTGATCCCTCGACATACATCGCCAGACATCCTTGTCCATAGAAGGAACTTGAAGGAACTGGCAATTTCCCGGCAACGGAAATCGCTGGCGAAAGGGATCTAAATCTTCCTTTTTTATTTTCTTCCCTGTGCATCCTTCAACATAAGATGCAAGGGAAGGTGAAATATCGGGCCCTTTTGGCTCATCCCCTTCATACGATATTTGGGGAATGTCTTCGTCAACTAAAGCGACAGTTTTTGGTTGGATTTTGACATTTGCCATGGCGAAATCGGGATCGGCGTACACTGGATTGAAACCTGTGTCTACCGATCCGAGGGAGATAACTGTGTTTGAATCAGGCGAAAAAACAGCCCCATAAGGGGACGTGTTTACCACATCCGACGAAAGCGCTGCAGAAATTGGGACGTTTTGGAAAGACGTCCAAGGGGTTGCAACATGAGCTGCAAATTGGGCAGACTGAGCTGCAGATGGCGCAGACTGAGCTGCGGTTGGAGCAGACTGAGCTGCGGTTGGAGCAGACTGAGCTGCGGTTGGAGCAGACTGAGCTGCGGTTGGAGCAGACTGAGCTGCGGTTGGAGCAGACTGAGCTGCGGTTGGAGCAGACTGAGCTACTGTACCTACGTTAGTTTTTTGAATATTTTTCCTCGTAGAGGAAAGATCGAAAGATCTCGCCAAAATTAATAAGGGCATCTGAAACGCCTTTCACCTGGCTTTGCAAGTCATCAAACTCTGACCTTGAGATTGTTTTTCTTTTTCTTGATCTCTGGTTGTTTTCGGCGTCATCTGGCTTCGACTTCGCCGAAACGTCGTCTGGAGTAAGGTCCTCATGTAGCAAATTATTTTCGTCGCAATTCATCTTGAGAGGGGATGAAAGATGCGCTCGAAAAAACTGAGGTTGAGTGCATGGGCGGGGTATTTTAAACCTTTACAAACCTATTTTTCTTTGAATAGCGGGTTGAATCATGTGACCGGAAGATATCTCCTATCAGAACGTAATAAACTGTGCTCAGCACAGTGACCTCGATGCGAAGAGGAGGCGAAGTAGAATGTCGATTACGGTAATAGATTGCTTCTTTTAATTTACTTACTCGGGAATGAAATACCAATGCAACATAAAGGGCATAAAGCTCACTCAGAAAAACTGCCATAGACATCAGAAAGGTCAGTCATGAGGCTACATTCCCACATCATCGAGAGCGAATTGGGCCGTTGGTGCATCGGCGCAAATCGCTCAACCTACCATATAGGGGTTACTAAGGGAAGTTACACAATAACCCCCAAATATGATTGATAATTGGGATGGAATGGACAGGAAAAGCCTCTTTTCCTCACTAATAGCCGATGCACCAGTCCTACCTAATAGCATCAGAAAACTCTAAGAAGCACAAAAGATGCCTAAAGGTATGAGAGGTTTTAACGATGCCATAAAAGAAACTTAACACGCAAAGTTCTACTGAAAAGGCACTTAGCATAAAGAAACAAGATGAGGGAGGGAGGGCTGGGAAAATACAATAAAACAGCCTAGTTGTATTGTGGCTTCACCAAGCAAGATGAGACCCACGCTATGCCAAAACCTTAAATACCCCTAGATTAACCAAAGGAATGAAAACTCCACGAAACACACATCTTACCCTAGTTATACAAATCAAATTCACAGGAGACCGAAAGACTACCCGCATTGCCCATAAACTAGTAGAGCAGATACAAGAAAAACGCGAGGAAACGTGGCACAAGAAAACATAACGAAATAGTAATAACAACAATCTCATGCGATTTAGTTAACACTCAAAAGCCCCTCGTGAAATTAACTCTGATTAAATTTCATTTAATCATCATGAAATGAATCTCAAATTTTCACCATTGTCCTTATTTTTTCTCTGTACAATAGCCTGAAACCTAGTCAGTAGCCTGGAACCTAGTCAGTTGCCCGAAACCTAGTCAGTGGCCTGGAGCCATATCAGTAGCCTGGAACCTAGACAGTAGCCCGGAACCTAGTCAGTGGCCTGGAGCCTAGGCGTAGCCTTAAGACAAGGCTGTACTCGAGAGCCAGGACAATAGTTCTGCGCTTTGTTCCAATTTCACTAACATTTATTTTGCTAGACTTAAGCTTTAAGAAGTCAATCCTATTTTAATTGTTTCTTTTATAGAATATTGAACTGGAAGTTAACATCGAGCAGCTGAAAAAAGAATTAGGTGAAAAGCAAAGCTTCGTAAGTCATTTTATCGCGAGGATTTTCCTATAGGTTCCTACTTAAACTTTGGCTATTATGTCAGCTGGTATTCTTGCACCATTTTGTATCAATAAATTTATTGCTTTTTGCCTTTGTTTTAGAATCTTATCCTATAAAGTTAGACCTTTTAGTTGGGACATCCTAGTTAATTAGAATTTTAATACGCCTTTTTGTAAACAGCACCCCAGTCCCGATTAAGTCTTAGTAAAATAAGAGACAAACCTCTTGAAAGACCTTTTAGCTTAAAGAAATATGCAGGTTGTGAGTATATTGCAAGCTAGCTGAACATATTGTGAAAGGGTTTTTGAAATGCTGTTTAGGGTCTCCTTACGGGGGATAGACAGAGAAGAGCGTGAGTGGATGATGTGAAAGATTAAATGAACATTAGGGACAACGGTACCCCTAAAAGAATGGCTACAGACTTTAGAAGTTGTTCGGGAGATGAATCATACCCGTCTCCCAGACATGCACTAGTCCCCGTTTCATGGTCATTGCACATGCAGATTTTCACTTGAAGCCCTAGCTTCAAGTGTGTGGTCCCTGAGTTGTGTGGTCCCAGACAGAACAGCTGTACGATTACTGTTATTGATGCGCATGTGCTATGACCCTGCAACACTGATTGGTTTAGGACGGTATTGTTTCGAAACAAAGGACTGCAGGTTTCGTCTCCCGAACAAAATGAAAAGCATGGTTATCGATCTTCTATGCACCTAGATGCTACTATTAATGATCAGTGAATGAATCGATAAATCTATGAACAGACAAATCGATGAATTCGAGAGTCAGTTTTTGGTTGGCCGTTATTGTTGCCAAGTCGTGCTTGTCTTGTGGATATTGGGGGCATTAACTAATCAGATCTTTAAATGGGAAAGATCATTTTTCCCACAGCCTGTTGCTTATATTTTTTGCCGAGGAATGCACAAATTAGCCTATACATTTTCTATGCATTTTCAAGATCTGCTATTTAATTAACTTATAAGAAGCCTTATCCTCGAAAAGTATAGAAATTTGGATCGTTTTGTCTGTTAGGCTATGGTAACTGGCAATAATGAAGTCCCTTTCATGTGTTCCAAGTATATTTTTTTCCTTTCTTTTTTTTGGAATTCCAGAAAAGCAATAGAAACTATCACAATCGAAAGTGAGAAGCACATTCAGAAGGTATGTGAATCGACGTCATAAAATCAGATTATGGAAGTAACACCAGATCTCGTGTCTATAATATTTATTGCCAGGCTTGAGTGTAGGTTGCTGACTGCCTCACTTTGTATGAAATAGTGTCTTCAGTGTATTCACGTTTAATCGCAAGGAATAACCCAGCTACAGAAGGTAACAGTGAAAGGCAACAGCATGGTCTATGAAATTTCCTTTATTTGAAACGTAGAGCGGTCGCGTGCGGACACTGCTGTACACGGCTCCGGTTTAACTTCGTTTATCAAGTCTGGATTTATTTGTTTCTATAAATTGTTTCAGTCAATCGATTAATAACGGTTAAAGGACTTTGGAAAGACATGGTTCGATCTTATATTATCTCAATTCTCATTCTATTTACCATTTTTTCGTTTTATGGAAGGGACTCTGTTACGTTAGGCCGACATCAATGGCGCTGTAAACGACAGATTCACAGCAAAGATACTGGACGCGACGGAGCAATTAACATTCCATTGATTGACACCAGATAAAATTCTGTTGTTTTGAACAGTCAACAATGTGTTAAGTGCTGCTGTGGCAAGTCCTGCAAAGGGATCAAAGGCCTCCGCATTCATCAGATAAATTGTAAGGTTTTTAAAGGGCTTGGCGAAGCGCAAATGCATGAAATTGTGACTGATGATGATCTGGATACCAATGACAACCCTGATGTGCCTCTTGAGGAATATTTTGAAATAAAGCCAGGAATTCGCCTACCTAGTTCTGACAATGAATGGTTACTCGCCAACTCGTATTTTTAATTTCGATTTATGATTATTTTCGGGACACATGTGGTGTGATTGAAAACTGCAAACAAAGGCCTGTCTACAAAATACAAGGACCATTCAATCAAAAGCTTGAAAAAACAATTAAAGGCTCTTAAATATTCTAAAGCCCCCATTATTGAAATTAAATACGTATCTGGACTTATTCGAAAGAAGCTCAAGACAAACATTCTACAAACAAATACTTCTGACACAATTGATCATGATAAATACATCGCTAAAAATTTCTGGAGTTACGTCAAACGCTTTTTTCAAAGTAAGTCATCACTTCTGCCATCATTTTCTGCTACACGGTGCACCGAGTACTTTAGTAATACTTGTTCTTCCTTAATCCAAATAAACTATTCACTATTCCTTCTTGGAAACGTTCTTTTGATGAACCATCCTATCCATTTGACACACAACCTCCATCATATCAAGTGCTAACTTCTGTTATGCGTCGCATGAAATCCTCCACTTCTCCCTGTCCCCTTGATAAGATATCCATCCTTTGTTTCAAACGTTGCTCTTACCTACGATCTTTCCTCACCAAAATTATTCATAACATTTGGGTATCTGGCGATGTTCCATCCGAATAGAAAGAAGCATCAACGATATTGATCTACAAAAGAGACCCTACAGATGATCCTTCTAACTATAGACCAATAACCTTAGAATCTGTTCCTTTGAAAATCTTCACCTCCTGCCTACGCAACTCTGTTTTCAACTTTCTGAAACAAAATGGTTTCATTGAAAGCCAAATTCAAAGAGGCTTCACTCCCAAGATATCAGGTACTTTAGAACACACGGCACTTATGGGTCATATGATAAATTTAGCTCGCACAAAACAGCGCTCTATTCTGACGTTTTATGCTCTGAGGAGTGTCAGACGAAAAAGCTTTAAGTATGTTGTAAAATGTTTGCTTTTTTCAAAGCCATTTTCAAATTCTGTACCGCTCTTTGGTTGTTACCCTGCTTGATCTCAAAAATGCTTTCGGCGAGGTCCACCATAATTTGATTCCCACTATTCTTTCGTACCATCATATACCATCTCATATTTAGGCTCTGGTCTCCAGCTTATATGTTATAACGTAATAAACTGTGCTCAGCACAGTGACCTCGATGCGAAGAGGAGGCGAAGTAGAATGTCGATTACGGTAATAGATTGCTTCTTTTAATTTACTTACTCGGGAATGAAATACCAATGCAACATAAAGGGCATAAAGCTCACTCAGAAAAACTGCCATAGACATCAGAAAGGTCAGTCATGAGGCTACATTCCCACATCATCGAGAGCGAATTGGGCCGTTGGTGCATCGGCGCAAATCGCTCAACCTACCATATAGGGGTTACTAAGGGAAGTTACACAATAACCCCCAAATATGATTGATAATTGGGATGGAATGGACAGGAGAAGCCTCTTTTCCTCACTAATAGCCGATGCACCAGTCCTACCTAATAGCATCAGAAAACTCTAAGAAGCACAAATAATGCCTAAAGGTATGAGAGGTTTTAACGATGCCATAAAAGAAACTTAACACGCAAAGTTCTACTGAAAAGGCACTTAGCATAAAGAAACAAGATGAGGGAGGGAGGGCTGTGAAAATACAATAAAACAGCCTAGTTGTATTGTGGCTTCACCAAGCAAGATGAGACCCACGCTATGCCAAAACCTTAAATACCCCTAGATTAACCAAGGGAATGAAAACGCCACGAAACACACATCTTACCCTAGTTATACAAATCAAATTCACAGGAGGCCGAAAGACTACCCGCATTGCCCATAAACTAGTAGAGCAGATACAAGAAAAACGCGAGGAAACGTGGCACAAGAAAACATAACGAAATAGTAATAACAACAATCTCATGCGATTTAGTTAACACTCAAAAGCCCCTCGTGAAATTAACTCTGATTAAATTTCATTTAATCATCATGAAATGAATCTCAAATTTTCACCATTGTCCTTATTTTTTCTCTGTACAATAGCCTGAAACCTAGTCAGTAGCCTGGAACCTAGTCAGTTGCCCGAAACCTAGTCAGTGGCCTGGAGCCATATCAGTAGCCTGGAACCTAGACAGTAGCCCGGAACCTAGTCAGTGGCCTGGAGCCTAGGCGTAGCCTTAAGACAAGGCTGTACTCGAGAGCCAGGACAATAGTTCTGCGCTTTGTTCCAATTTCACTAACATTTATTTTGCTAGACTTAAGCTTTAAGAAGTCAATCCTATTTTAATTGTTTCTTTTATAGAATATTGAACTGGAAGTTAACATCGAGCAGCTGAAAAAGGAATTATGTGAAAAGCAAAGCTTCGTCAGTCATTTTATCTCGAGGATTTTCCTATAGGTTCCTACTTAAACTTTGGCTATTATGTCAGCTGGTATTCTTGCACCATTTTTGTATCAATAAATTTATTGCTTTTTGCCTTTGTTTTAGAATCTTATCCTATAAAGTTAGACCTTTTAGTTGGGACATCCTAGTTAATTAGAATTTTAATACGCCTTTTTGTAAACAGCACCCCAGTCCCGATTAAGTCTTAGTAAAATAAGAGACAAACCTCTTGAAAGACCTTTTAGCTTAAAGAAATATGCAGGTTGTGAGCATATTGCAAGCTAGCTAAACATATTGTAAAAGGGTTTTTGAAATGCTGTTTAGGGTCTCCTTACGGGGGATAGACAGAGAAGAGCGTGAGTGGATGATGTGAAAGATTAAATGAACATTAGGGACAACGGTACCCCTAAAAGAATGGCTACAGACTTTAGAAGTTGTTCGGGAGATGAATCATACCCGTCTCCCAGACATGCACTAGTCCCCGTTTCATGGTCATTGCACATGCAGATTTTCACTTGAAGCCCTAGCTTCAAGTGTGTGGTCCCTGAGTTGTGTGGTCCCAGACAGAACAGCTGTACGATTACTGTTATTGATGCGCATGTGCTATGACCCTGCAACACTGATTGGTTTAGGACGGTATTGTTTCGAAACAAAGGACTGCAGGTTTCGTCTCCCGAACAAAATGGAAAGCATGGTTATCGATCTTCTATGCACCTAGATGCTACTATTAATGATCAGTGAATGAATCGATAAATCTATGAACAGACAAATCGATGAATTCGAGAGTCAGTTTTTTGTTGGCCGTTATTGTTGCCAAGTCGTGCTTGTCTTGTGGATATTGGGGGCATTAACTAATCAGATCTTTAAATGGGAAAGATCATTTTTTCCACAGCCTGTTGCTTATATTTTTTGCCGAGGATTGCACAAATTAGCCTATACATTTTCTATGCATTTTCAAGATCTGCTATTTAATTAACTTATAAAAAGGCTTATCCTCGAAAAGTATAGAAATTTGGATCGTTTTGTCTGTTAGGCTATGGTAACTGGCAATAATGAAGTCCCTTTCATGTGTTCCAAGTATATTTTTTTTCCTTTCTTTTTTTTGGAATTCCAGAAAAGCAATAGAAACTATCACAATCGAAAGTGAGAAGCACATTCAGAAGGTATGTGTATCGACGTCATAAAATCAGATTATGGAAGTAACACCAGATCTCGTGTCTATAATATTTATTGCCAGGCTTGAGTGTAGGTTGCTGACTGCCTCACTTTGTATGAAATAGTGTCTTCAGTGTATTCACGTTTTAATCGCAAGGAATAACCCAGCTACAGAAGGTAACAGTGAAAGGCAACAGCATGGTCTATGAAATTTCCTTTATTTGAAACGTAGAGCGGTCGCGTGCGGACACTGCTGTACACGGCTCCGGTTTAACTTCGTTTATCAAGTCTGGATTTATTTGTTTCTATAAATTGTTTCAGTCAATCGATTAATAACGGTTAAAGGACTTTGGAAAGACATGGTTCGATCTTATATTATCTCAATTCTCATTCTATTTACCATTTTTTCGTTTTATGGAAGGGACTCTGTTACGTTAGGCCGACATCAATGGCGCTGTAAACGACAGATTCACAGCAAAGATACTGGACGCGACGGAGCAATTAACATTCCATTGATTGACACCAGATAAAATTCTGTTGTTTTGAACAGTCAACAATGTGTTAAGTGCTGCTGTGGCAAGTCCTGCAAAGGGATCAAAGGCCTCCGCATTCATCAGATAAATTGTAAGGTTTTTAAAGGGCTTGGCGAAGCGCAAATGCATGAAATTGTGACTGATGATGATCTGGATACCAATGACAACCCTGATGTGCCTCTTGAGGAATATTTTGAAATAAAGCCAGGAATTCGCCTACCTAGTTCTGACAATGAATGGTTACTCGCCAACTCGTATTTTTAATTTCGATTTATGATTATTTTCGGGACACATGTGGTGTGATTGAAAACTGCAAACAAAGGCCTGTCTACAAAATACAAGGACCATTCAATCAAAAGCTTGAAAAAACAATTAAAGGCTCTTAAATATTCTAAAGCCCCCATTATTGAAATTAAATACGTATCTGGACTTATTCGAAAGAAGCTCAAGACAAACATTCTACAAACAAATACTTCTGACACAATTGATCATGATAAATACATCGCTAAAAATTTCTGGAGTTACGTCAAACGCTTTTTTCAAAGTAAGTCATCACTTCTGCCATCATTTTCTGCTACACGGTGCACCGAGTACTTTAGTAATACTTGTTCTTCCTTAATCCAAATAAACTATTCACTATTCCTTCTTGGAAACGTTCTTTTGATGAACCATCCTATCCATTTGACACACAACCTCCATCATATCAAGTGCTAAATTCTGGTAAGCGTCGCATGAAATCCTCCACTTCTCCCTGTCCCCTTGATAAGATATCCATCCTTTGTTTCAAACGTTGCTCTTACCTACGATCTTTCCTCACCAAAATTATTCATAAAATTTGGGTATCTGGCAATGTTCCATCCGAATAGAAAGAAGCATCAACGATATTGATCTACAAAAGAGACCCTACAGATGATCCTTCTAACTATAGACCAATAACCTTAGAATCTGTTCCTTTGAAAATCTTCACCTCCTGCCTACGCAACTCTGTTTTCAACTTTCTGAAACAAAATGGTTTCATTGAAAGCCAAATTCAAAGAGGCTTCACTCCCAAGATATCAGGTACTTTAGAACACACGGCACTTATGGGTCATATGATAAATTTAGCTCGCACAAAACAGCGCTCTTTGGTTGTTACCCTGCTTGATCTCAAAAATGCTTTCGGCGAGGTCCACCATAATTTGATTCCCACTATTCTTTCGTACCATCATATACCATCTCATATTTAGGCTCTGGTCTCCAGGTTATATTCGGGCTTCAAGACCTCTATCCTCACAGATACATTCCAAACCCCTACCATTCCCGTTTGTCGTGGTGTTCTTCAAGGTGACTGCCTCAGCCCTCTTATCTTTAATCTATGCTTCAATACGTATATTCAATACATAAAAGCAGAAACATATAAACAGCTTGGCTTCTCTCCCCACGACGAAAACGATCGCATGTTCCAGCCAGTGCATTGGTTCCAATTTGCTGATGATGCTGCGGTTGTTACTAGTGATGAAAAGGAGAACCAGCTCCTGTTAAACTGCTTTACAAGATGGTGTCAGTGGGCAAACGTTTTAATAAGGGTTGATAAATGTGTCACCTTTGGCATTAATAAATATTCAACAAGATCTCTTCAGTTCCAGCCAAAGCTTTTCGTGGACAACCAAAGCGTGCCTGTTGTTAAAAATGGAGAATCTTTCAAATACCTTGGCCGCTACTTTGACTTCGAAATGACCAATGGCAGTCATAAAGAAAAACTGCTATCAATGTTTCCCAGCCTTTTGAAAGAAATTGATGACATGCCTCTGCATCCTAAAAATAAACTTCTATTGTACTACAGATATGTATTGTCCAAAGTTTCTTGGCACTTCACTGTTGCAGACGTATCGAAGACCTGGGTCATTGAGAACCTCGATAATCTTGTCTCTAAATACATTCGCCAGTGGCTTAATCCTCCCATAAATGCTACTTTAACTAGTATAGTTCTTTCTTCTGTCAAATTCACTCAATGCCAAACTGTTTCACGCAATGCCCTCCGAACTTCTCCTAACACAAACATTCAAGCTTTATGGAAAAACACCAGTAGTGGGATGAATCTGCAATACGACATTTACCGTAACACCAAAGATGTACTGAAAGCAGTAAAATCAGACAGTAGAGAGCGCTTGGCACACCAATTACTATCCCAGGGTGCTATTATTTCATTTCTGTTGGACCACTCTCTTAAAAAGCTCAATGGTCTTTGGTCTGTTGTGCAGAGCAACCTACCCACGAACATCTTCAACTTCACCATCAAGTACCTGAACAATACTCTCCCTACGCGCAAAAATCTAAGCCTTTGGAACCTAAGCCAATCATCTGATTGCGAATTCTGCCTTCTTCCCGAAACTTTACTCCATGTCGTTGCAGGCTGCAAAGTTTATCTCGAACAAGGTCGTTATACCTGGCGTCATAATTCTGCTCTAAATTTTCTTGCAACCTCCTTGAAAGCAATAGAGGGATCCTCTCTTTTTGCCGATATACCTGGCTTCTCCTCACCATCCATCATAACTGGAGACAATCTGCGCCCAGATCTACTTCTGCGTACAAAGGAAAACATTCTTTATGCTTTGGAACTAACGATAGGATTTGAAACTAACCTTAACTGCAATGCAGAAAGGAAACGTTTAAAATATGATCGCCTTGTCTCAGATCTAAGACCAAGGTTCAAATCTGTCATATTTGAAAATCTCTCCATCAGCTCTCTTGGCATCTTCGGCGACTCATGCAGCTCATTCCTTGAAATGTGTGACTCTCTTTCCATCGATGATCAACACAAACGATATCTCATTTCTAAGCTTTCTACGATATCCATTCGTACCACCTATTACATTTTTTGCTGTAGAAACAAAACATGGACTAACCCAGAGCTACTCCCCTTTTAACGTTATTTTTTCTTTTCTCTTTTCTACGATTATAATAGTCTTATTTTGTAAAAACAGGCTAGCCAGTTACAAATTACCTTGCAATAGTGAGATTTGTAGTTGTAATTTAAACTGGAATTCAAAATGAAAAGTTTCCATATCAGATGTTCGGCTGCCTTTTCGAGAAGTTTTTGCAGAATTGTTGGTTTATTAGCATTTGTGCCTGTGACATCTATAGATAGGATTACCATGTCAGTTGTTATTGTTTTTAAATACTCTGCTACAACAGTCAGAAAGACCGTATAATGCAGCTAAGGAATTCTACCCGAACTTCCCAAATCGAATGTGCAACATGATTGCGTTTTGACTTCAGTCTGGATTTGATTTGTAGTCTTACTGGCTCTGTAGCCGTGAGAAAGATCAGTTGAAATTATGATAATTTAAATTGCGAAAATATGATACAAATAACATGACCCCAAGATATTTTTTACAACTGTGTTGTTAAGAAGCATCCCTTTAGAGAAATAAAGATGGCTTTTCCATTTTCCAGATGCTGTTTGTTCTTTAACTGCGGAAATAACATTCCGTACTTTTTATCGAGTAGAACCTGTCCTGGAATAAAAGCTCCATTCAGCAATGGGCAACTTCACTTTTAAAACAGGGGATAGTTATTGGTTAAGAGTCATTGAAGAGATAAGGTTCATTACATATACCTTTGCCAAAAAAGTAACGAATGGTTTCGGATTAGAGAAAAATCATTTTACCGTCTCGAATTATTTATCAAGTTAAAGGCATCGAGTTATGATAAATAGACTGGGTATACCCTAAGTGCCAAAATCCGCTGAGTCATGATTTCCATGACTGCGATGCTATTGGTTGACCTTGAACTGGTCACATGAACTCACCTCGTACTGATTAACATAACAGTTTCCATCAATAGCAAGTTGTCAACAACGGATGCCAATATCACATGAAACAGCAGCGATCACGCCGAAACCAAACGACCCTCTATGGAGAAAGCCTATTTACCACGACTCAATGCCTTTAAGCATAAGCCTGTGTTTATTCTATCATTATCGTATCACTGTCGGCGTATTCTAAGTTTCAAAAGTAAGTAGAAGATAGAAACTATGATTGAAAAAAAAATATAGTAGACAGTGGCTTAAGGGGTTATTCCTTAAAAAGATAATGCTGAAAAAGATTGGTAAGAGAAATTTGCAGATAATTTGTTACCAATTTTCAGATAAAAGACGAATTCACAGACCAGTATGATCAAATGCGCGATGAGTTGCAGAAGGAAATCGACCTCAAAGCTAAGGTGTGACAGTTTTATAACTTTATCACTTCAGACTTTTGTCTGTAACTTCTCATGATTAGACAATGTCTGTACGACGGTCGAAACCCTGTTACTTTTATCTATACCCAGGTTTGAATCAAAAGATAAAACACTATTGGTTGAGCTGTACCCTTTCCATTATCAAATCATCCACTTACTGTGGCTTTTGCATACAAATTGCCTGTATTTTGAATTCTGTTGATAAAAAGTTGCTCTATGCTGTACTGATGTTTTTTACAATCTTTTTCATGTGATTTATCATATTTTGTACTTTATGATTTCTTAAATTTTTGAAATACTAATTTGCCTATTCAGAACAATTGGGCGAATTTTCTCTAAACCTCTATTTTTGATAAACGCATTCCCTTCAAAATTCTCATTGAATATTGACATAGAAATTGAATATTAACATGAAAGGATTTTATTTTTGCCACAATGCCCAACTTTTCTGGCATGCACCAACTTGTTGCAAATTGTAGCAATGCTTCGATTCTCGTTGCTTCGTCGTCTTTGCTAAGACGTGTCATACCCTCAGATATAAACAATTCAAAGCAATTGGAGACTTCTTTTTCGGCATGGCCTTTTGGGTCATCAATTTCCAATAATGATTTGAAGAACTCAAGTTAAACTCCATAATAACGTTGAGGCGTAGACGAACTGTTTCATTGTATACTAGCTCCTGTATAAGGATCTGCTTGTTGTTAACTGTAATTGGCTCTGTGGACGATCAATGACAAGCATTGATTACCTGCCAATGGGTTTTAGACCTCTGTTCATTTTCCAAGATTAAATCAATGGCAGCCTTTCTTTTAGCATCTTCTAGCTTTTCTATTAAATTTAAAAATATTTCTGCAGAAGCACACATTGGGATGTCGTGCTTATTTAACTGTGACATTATTTCTGCATTGTCCTTTCCAAGTTATGACAAAATAATTGGTTTGGTCAGTTTAGGAAAAACGGCGATCAGTCCATTTTGTACGATGGTGTGCATCAAATGATACCGACAAGCTGGAACAGAACGATTTTTGTACTGTCCTTGATTGCCAGCAAACTGGTCATGTTTCCTACGAAAACCCATTTTTGATCTCGTCCCAGGCCAAATTAAAATACTTTTATCTTCCTTGCTCCGGCATCTAAACCTTCCTCATTTTTGAAGGAAACTTCTAGACTTTTCTTCAACGAACTAATGCTAATGTCGTTAACCTTCTTCTTGTAAAATTGCATAACATCTAGCCATATTGTATCTCTGTCTTTCTCAACATCCTCATATTCTGGCGAAACGGTGTTCTTTAGAAGCTCTTCTAGCAATGTTTCAAGAGAAGCATTGGACGAAAATTTTCTTCGTTTATTTGTGCTGGCTTCTTCTGCTGGGGTTTCCAACAGCTCTGATACCGCCTCTTCTATGGATATAATGCTAATTACAGCCAAACTTATTTGGCTTGAGCTGTGTTCTGGAAACATTTGTTTTAAAGTTTTTTCCATTCATCTTTTTTGCTTTCTCTTTTGCACAATACCCTCATTTCAAACTTCCATTTTTGCTTGAATCATCTCCATTTTTGCTTGAGAGCTCTTCATCACTGCTGCTGTCTTCGACGTCTCTTATGGGATCTTCTGCGGACGAAGTTCCTGCCATGCACTCCTCTAGATGTTTTCTCGTGTTCATTAAGGGCACCTCCGTATGACAGTACCTGCATTAACCTCTAATTGCATCATCTGTTGCTGTGATCACTTTCGACAGTGATAGGCTTGACTGCATGGGTCTTACATAAATTATGGTATTTTCGCCAATACTGTCTTTCAAATGTTGCAAATTGTAGCCATAGTGACATAGGGATTGGGCTCAAATCACAATTCGTACCACCCCTTTCAGCCCTGAGCATTTCAAATGCACCAGCTTGGCTTTTAAGATTTGGAAAAACGGTCTCCGGGACTTTCCGAGCTTTGCCATGACTTGCATTCTTGCCATCGAACCGTACACTTCTTTTACCTATCCCTGCTTCTTTTAATTTAAGTAGCCTTGCCGTACATGGTGTCTTCCCTCTGTTGGCTTTGCAAGGAGACAGAAGTCGCGAGTCCATGTTTCCTTGCGTTTAATGAAAACGTATTGCTGGGACTTTTCTTTTCTTCTTGACGTAGCTGCTTGTCGTGAGCCACCATAACCGATATTTAGGAACGCTCTCCGATGAAGATACAATCGTTCCGTCGCATAAAATTAAAGTTGGTACATGTTTGTTATTTCTAAGGATTTTTTAAAAATTTCAAATATCCACTCAATGGTATTTCCCCTAACACTCTCTATCAAATGTTGTTATAAACATATATCTATTTATATCCAGTTTCTTAAAGTGGAAAATTAACAATCGCAATGATGATTATATTCTTTTCATGGTAATTGGTGGTAGTCGAAATCTTTTCTGATCAGGCTGTCCAGAAGAAAAGACGCAAAGAGGTAGTGCCATTTGAAATTATGGCGTTCTACAGAGCAAGTTTTTGAAATTTTTCTTTTAAAGGCAAGCTGAGCTTTCCTTCCTAACCCCCATCCTGGCCTGTATTGCGTGATGTTCAGATAGCATGACATCCCTCACCTTCTTTTTCACATAGAAGTCCCTTTAGCTTCTAAAAGCAGGCACGATGCCACTGGGGGATGAGACCACCCCCACTTATTTAGAAATATAAATTTTTGACCGTCTTTTTTATTATTTTTGAAAACTGTGCAAGAAATAAAAAGAGAACAAAATGCTTTTATACTCTTTCTTTCCAAGGATCTTGTCCTTGCAGGACGTTGATTGTCATTGATCTCCACAACTCTCGATCTCTAGATGTTGTGCACTGCTTGTTTTATTTGATCTATCAACTAAGGGAGGATGGCATTATTTCATATTTCACGATGATATCTTGCAATTATTTCATATTTCAAAATTAACAAAGCAAAATATTTCGAAATTGTCGAATGTTCCATTCTGCCTTCAGGTGTCACGGAAAGTTGGACCGACTCACATACAAAATTGACTGAGTATTCAAAATCAATCTTTGCAGCTACGAATATTGAAAATGTATAAAGAATAAGTGCATAAAAAATAAAAAAGAATTCCGTACTTGGGTAAAAATATTAATTCATTATCTTTGAACTGTGGAATCTTTGTTTGCTCAACTTATTTTTTTGGGAACAACTAAAAAGAAACTCGAAAAACATACATGTACCAAAACAGTTTTTGAAAACTGATAGTCTTAAGTTTTTGGCCTAGCCCCCGGAAAATTTTTTGGGTGACCACGCCCTCTGGTCTTTCGGAAATGCCCATTCTGAGCATACAGAGACCCGTATAGCTTTTATACCGAAAAAAGTTACATTTAGCGCAAAGCTGTCACCGTTCCTGTCGTTTTATCAGTAAATAATACTGACTCTATGTTTTCAACTTGCAAACAAATAACAATGCAAACTGATGTAGGCTAGTCACTGGATGCACTTAAATAATATACATTTAAAAATCTCTTTGGCTTTCTCTCTGTAAACAAGGGCCTAAATTTATGTGATGTATTGACTTGATATGAATTTATCAAATGATATACCTTGATTTCTAACATGCTAAATGGTGTTAACAATAGATTGGACGATTTTACGTGCTGAAATGAGGTTAGTTCCCTGTTTCGTGTTTTTTCCTTGTTGTTTTTGAAGATTTCCCTATTTGACCCAAACAGCGATTTCCCTATTTGACCCCGAGCGCGTCGATCACTCAGCTGATTTATTTTGAGAAATCTTATAACCTTGGTGCAGGATGTTTGAAACTTGGATTGATATAAAGAGAGTGTGTATTTTTCTTTGCGATTACTACCTTTTGCTATTTACTTTGAATTAAAACGGTGCTTTTTTAACGAGTTTTGTCTATTTGCTCCCGTAGCTACGGAGCCAAGCCTCAAGCTAACGTAGAAGCAAAACATTGCGATTTATACTGCTAAAAATTACCGTAGTTGAATTAACCGATTCTGAGGTTTGTTTTGAGATATCAGTCCAATATTTGGAGTTATTAACGATTTCCCTATATGACGCAGATTGTCTACATGATTCTAAAAAATAGATATTTTATAGACAGGGAATTTTGCGTTACCATCTAGCAGCCAGCCTAACCGAAGTTTTAATAATCAAGCCTTCCGAACCTTATGGCAGAAGACCGGAAGTCACATCCACGTTACAAGCTTTTTTGATGGTACCATCAGATTTGAAAAAATTCGCATGTCACAATTTTGCTGACCGTGCATTTTTCATGCTTCCAGTAAAGCGATTTCTGGTCAATTACCAGAATGCTTCAAAGGCTTAAAATGATCAGTGGCCTTTATTTCTATGATTTAAATTTATCAAGTTTGAAAAAAACAGTTGAAGTGGGCCAAATTCTCTTTACGATCGCGTGTTCGTGGCTTTTCATAATATTGCCTTATAGTTGGCATATCGGAAAACAAGGACCCAGGACCTTAAGGCAGGACCGAGGACCAGGACCCAGGACCAGGACCCAGGACCGAGGACCAGGACCGAGGACCAGGACCGAGGACCAGGACCGAGGACCAGGACCCAGAACCGTATATGTTTTCGACGATGCACTCACTGTTTCCTTTATAAGAATACCAAGTTATAACATTGCATAACATGAACAATTGTCCATAAAATCCAAAAGTTTTACACATCGAACAAAAGACTGCACATCATTGTAAGGGGGAAATGAATCTGATTTTATTTCTGATATTATATGTGAAAAACGAAAACTCGGGTAGCTCGGGAATATGTAAATGTACGATTAAACGAAAGCAACGCCTTGAAATGTGAAATATTCTTATTGGCCATGCAAACCTGACGTGGTTGTTTTAGCATAGATGGCTAGCACAGCAATTGCTATTCTTTAGTAGGATTGGGGTATATTTGATGCACACTGCAAACCTTATATCTTTAGTAAGCCCACATCATTAAAAAGCCACCAAAGCATAAGTAGTCTTAATATGTTTAAATAGCAAGACATTAGAACGTTTCTATACTCTAGAAGCAGGAATGGCTGCACTCCCTTTGGTATGGTTTTCATGAACCGCGGAGCATATTAAAGAGTGTGGGGGCTAAAACGTTTTTTTGGGGTGGGGCGCTAAGCATGCTCATAATCAAGAACATGGATTTCTTTGGATTTGAAAAAGGTTTACTATTCCATAAAATGTTTCTACTCTGAAAAATACCACTACATCTTTCTGAAAGCGGTCTCCATTTAAATAAAAAGAAACTAGTGCATCTGTAAACATGGCCTATTGAAAATACTCGAGACAAAGAAGACCAAAATTCTGTCCAGTGAATAAAATTCTCTCAATCAATACCACAGCTTCTTGTTATTCACATCAATGTTATTCACACCATTCTTTCTTCCCCCAACGACTGTCACCTCCTCCCAAAAGTTTCCTTAAAATCAATAATCAATGTTTTTCTGAGCATTGTTGAATTGTCTGTTCCGAGTAGTATAGTAATTTGCTAAATTTTAGTCTGGGAAATGCATTTTTAGCCTTAATAGAAGGCTGAATTTCAAAAATTCCTTTCGCGTCGGACCCAACCATGGTCGGTCCTCTTATGTTACTAAATTTGATTCTAAGCCCCCCCCCCCTCCCAGTTTCAATTTTCTGGTGCCGTCTCTGAAAAATTTTTCATGCCTCTGTCATTTGCACCATACCACACGGTATACAGATTTTTTATCTTTACTTTCCTCCACAATATTATACGTGTATTTATCTACCGAAACAGGTTGAAAATCGGATGTTGTAATTTGAAACTTCAACGTCAATTCCCCTTGATTTTAGCTGCAAGATGGGCATCAAGCTGTTCATTATAAATAATTTCAAGACGCTTCTCCTCCTCTTCCCCGCCTCTCTCCGCCCCTTACTATAAGCCACTACCCCCGGGAAAACGACTCGACTACACGAAAGGCATCAATTCAATTCAATGCATCGACGAGTTGACATTCGCCTCGACGATGTAATCCCTGTCACGGTTAATCAATTTTGCCTCGACGATGTGCCACCCGCCTCGACGAAATGACATCATTCACGATGTAAGACCAGCTCGACGAAATGAAACCCGGCTCGACAATCTGACAATCGCCTCGACGAAACAAAGGTACCCATTATGTCCACTACATGACTCCATAAAATGTAATGTAAGATCTTTATCGCCATCGCCTTGAAATAGAAGCTGCAACAAAAGTCCATTTGCAAGATCTACATAACCCAGCGGTCGTAATACTGAATATCTATCAGCTAGGAGACCTTGCCTGCTTACATCAAAGCAAGGGCAGATCAACAAGAAGTGTTCCATAGTTTGTAGGACATAATTGTATTTAATACTTATCTTTAAATCTAAATATTAGTATCATACTAGTATAGAAACAATATAACAAGTTCTTTTTTGATTATATAGCAACTAAATTGACTAGACATTCAATACTCGTTTCACCCAAGGTTTGAATGTGATTGACAGTGATTAAGGTCAACGAAACCGGTTGAAAACAAAGACCGGTGTACCACAAAACTCTGTGTTAGACTCGTTACTCGTCAATATTTTTTCGTCAAAGGTAATTTTGGGGGAATTTTTTTGGAGTTGAGAAGTCTTGAGATTTTTTGGAGATATATGCAAATCGGAATCCTGAATTAAACCAACCAAATGGTTCTGAATACATCAAAATTTCAAGATATGTTATTTTGATTGAATTCTTGACTTTAGTTTGATTTTTATTTTTGGTTTTGGTAATTGCACACAGCAAACTTTTTACATTGAAGACAAAAATCACAGGTCGCAACGATAAAAATTTGCTGCGCGCGGACAGCTTTATTCACGAAAAATCAGTTTTACCATTTAGAAGGTATTTAGAAGGCAATTCTAAAAATAACAAGCATTGCCAAACTTAAACCTTTGCAGTTCAATTTCTGGTTGATACAAAAATATCAAAGTAGACTTATAGTCAATTCTACACAAAAACAAAAATAAAAATCTGTTTTATACGTTTATTGTCAAACAATAGCTTAAAGGCGCTAAAAAGAAACTTGTTTAAAGTCTTCCCTGAGACCTGCTTCCAAGTGATGTGTCAATCAAAATGAATGGCACCTAGTTGACGTAGATTTTCGATTTTGTCACCAGAGTAGCCTAGCATTTCACTGAGCAACTGCTTGGTATGCTCTCCAATGGTGGGTGATGGCATGGTTTGTCTAAGCTTTCTTTGTCCATTATAAGCTACAGCAGGTCCTGCAAAAAAAGATAGCTTTGGATGGAACAGATTGTGACGCAACGTTAAATAATTAGATTCCCTCTGCGTGAAAGCAACAGAATCCAGAAAAAAGTCAAGTAGCTACTAGCTAGGCTGAAAAATTTGGTATGATGACAAATAAAAAACGCGATTAAATGTTAACAGCATAATACTATAAACTATAATACTATAAAAGCTTCAAAGCTTGCCTAGACCGATATAGCCCTCCTTAGACCGATATGACTGAAGGGTCATATTGGTCTGGAGCGATATGACCCTGGCGTCAAAACGGTCCAAAGGGTCATATAGGTCTGAAACAGCCTGTTTAATCTGACATTCAAATCGCAAGGAAATGCGACCGGTCCACGTATCCCGGTTTTAAAATAAACCGGGCACTTTTGCGGTCCAAGTTGTTCAAGTTTTTCAAGTCCTGAGTCGAGTTTAGGCTTGGAAAAAATAATCATTGCCCAGAATCTGATCAAATGCTGCATTGTGAAAAAACTTTTCAAATGAATTTAATAGAAAAATATTTCACCTCACTCTCCAATTCATCCACAAAAATATGTTTATCGAAGTCGCTTATATGAGAAAATCAAACATTTTTGAAAAATATCAGTACAAGAAACCAATCGTAACCTACTGACAAATACAAGAAATTCTCATAAAATATCTGAAATGCGAAAAGTTTTTAAATCTTGAATTTGACTACCTATTAGAGATAACAAATCCTTCTCAAAATGTCATAACAATTTTTCGATATCGAAAAAAATGAGACGAAGGCTTATGAGACTCACCAACGACTTTGACATTTCCTGCATTTGGGTGAACAAACTCATCCACGAGATTTAGATACCTGACCTAAAAATCATTAAATAACGTTTTATGACCATAAGAAACTTGACTTTTTATTCTAATTAAAAAATTGTGCATTGCATAAATTTTCTGCTCCAATCTCGAAAAATACCAAAAATATCCTAAATATCACATATAGAATGATAGACAGGTAGAAAAGACCACGCAGATTTGAGCTCGGACAACAGATTTTGCGGACTCTAAAGCTGAACTCACACTGGACGCGTCACGGCGCGGCGCGGCGCGTCATGACGCTGAGCAAATATGGTCAGCATTTTCGGCAGCTATGCGCATGCAGCGCGTTTTTTTCAGCCACGCGTCACCGAGCGTCAAAGTTAAATAAATTTGACTTTGACGCTCGGTGACGCTTCAGAACAATAAAAAACCTAGAGAATAATGACAGCCAGAAACATCAACAAGGAGCTTCTGAAGTAGGCCATTATAAAACTGTATTGCTTGTACGATAAAGTAAATTTTCATGATTAAAGCATCGGGGGGGCTAAAATTCTGAAAGTAACAAAACAAATCACATTCATTAGTTTATTATAAGTAACAGCATTATTCGTGTCTAGAGTCTATGTCTATAAAGTTGCCTCGTCGATGTTCAATTCAACAATGATGTTGAGTCATTGTATGTTCCGTTTTGGTAAAAAAATATTTCAATCACTCCCTGTTAAGTTTTCAATACATTCCAAAGGTGTAGTTCCGAGGGATTTAATTCATGGAAATTTTGGGGAGCGTTGATAAAAATAAGCTGTTTAATTTTCCCTCGAATTTTGGCAGGAAGAGAAACCCCATGAATCCGTAAAGCCAAAAATTTTGCTAATTGTAGTAGACCTTCCAAATCTTTAATATCAATAAAATTTTAGGTTCTCTAATGAATGCTTGAAGAGAATCGTCTTTCTGTCTAAACATTGGCCAACCTCTCGAACCGAAATGTCGAAGAAATCGCACGACACTAAAGTACATAGAACATCTCATTTTTTGGCCAAGATGCTGTTTTGGATATATTAGCTTCAGATTACCGTTTCATCCGTTTCTATAGCAGAATTAAATGTCCGGCTTGATTTTGCAATGCAAGGAATACAGTACAACTTGTAGAGAATTTTGCAAGTTTGCTGTGAACAGCATTGGAGAACAGAAAACGCGCCGCTCGATGACGCATCGTGTGTGAATAGCATGAAAAAGTGCATGACGCGGCGCTCCATGACGCACCGCGAGGCGTCCAGTGTGAGTTCAGCTAAACTATATATTTTCCATAGTCCAATTTTTTCTGGACTCCAGCTATAATTCCTGACTTGAGCTATATATTCCCATTCAATTTAAAAGCTTTTAGAATCCGAAGTTCCTCTTTCTGGACTGCAACAATTAATTTCTTAAACTCTTGCTTAACTTTTCCTTGTCCAAAACTATACTGTAATTATTTAAAGTTACCAACCTGCCGATCTTCAAAAACAGCTTCAAGTGAGTTAACTGGTCCAAATGGAAAGGTACAAGAATCGAACTTTTCCAGCCAATGTTCAGTTGACTCTTCCTCAAACCTTAAAGTATAGAAAACAATTCTGAAATGTTGCCTCTTTTCATTTCTAAGCATATGTTTGCGACATCCCTTTTAATACTGGATTTAAAGACAACAGTGATAAAATATAACCAGGAAAAAAAACCTTGCACCAAACCTTGTCTGAAGTACTGATAAAAGTTCATTTCTGTTCTTAACCCTCGCGGAATTGTCTTGAAACTTTACATCATCTGAAAGTTCTTTGAGCCCCATGACCTTGAAACAAGTTTAAAGAAACATTATAGGATGCAAATCATTATTTTATAGTGAAATTCCGTAATCAGGAAGTCATTTTGCTCTGATGAAGCCCCGTATGCCAGGGGGGAAATATTAGCCTTAACTAATTTACGTGTATTTATTGTTATTCATTCTCGTCGCATTGCGGTGTTTCTTATTTGCTACATTTTCATCGATATTCCGCCGCAAGAATTCCTTGGAGTCCGTCGAGCAGACTGCTATCGTGACCTTTTCCTTATTCACACATGACTAAGGAAATCTTGATAACACAAAAAATACTCTCCGCTGCAAGTGCCCTTTGATCCAGTTAATTCTGATGCTGAATCATAGCTTCTGTTCTTAAAATCTGAGCTTTGGCTTTTAAAATGCAAACTGAAAACTTCCACACCTGACACAAGTATAAAAATCAGAATAAAAATCCAAAAGACGAAAAATATATACCCGGTTGTGAATCGAAATAGGCCAATCAGAAAAACGCGAGCACAAGACTGGTATAGTTGTCCAATCAGTGCCGCGTACCTATAGGAAAATTTCCACTGGAGTCCAAGGGTAAAAATTAACTATTTTGATCTACACAAAAGCGGATGTTTCATTTGTATGTAGATCGATTCCGAAACTGCTGGACGAAAAGACGATCGGGCTCTCCCAATTAAACACAACAGAAAAGTGCTTCCACAAATTTTATTTTATTTTGACAATACGACCGTGCTTTAACAAGCTTCGTGTGCCATAAGGATGGAGAAATTGGCTTTTACATACTTTACAGAGCTCTTGAAACTGTCGATTATTGCCGGTGCCAACAACCATGTAACCATTGTTTGTTTTAAAGCCCTGAAAATTGAAAAAAGACAAATTTTCTTAAAATGAAAAGGAGGTTCAGCAACCAAATGAAGAAGTAATCATCAAGCATGCATAAATCAAAATAGGGAGAAGCACCATTGTTTGAGCAAAATAGGCACAGAAGGAATCGTTCATTGGAAAAAAAGGGTTTCCATGATAATTTGCGGATGCATGTCTCACCCACCCTCTGAAAAAACTACTAGCTCCATCTCTGTCAGAATATGATACAAGCAAAAACTGTATTGATTGTGAAAGAATTTGTTTAAATTGCTTTATTCTATATATCTATAAGCAAAATGTGAGAAAAATGGAGTACCCGCGAAGTTAAATGAATAAAAAAGAAACTTACGCTTTAAGAATATCATATGAAAAGCAAGACCTGGAATATTTCTTTAAAATCAAAGAAATCAAAAGCAAGAAACGCGTCATCTCTTATTATTGCATTTGCTTAAGATTTGGTTTGCAATTTTTGCAGCAAAGACTTGCACTGCGTGTATTTACTTCTATCTATGAAATTATGCTTCAACATATCAACATGGATCAAAATGACTGTCTGGACGCTCACTTTCAATTAAATATAGTTTAATAGGAGGGATATTTTAACTGTTTAGTTCATAGGCCAAAGAAGTCATTACACGTTTAGCTAGTTGCATGATAAAACTGGGTGCATTGCTACATTGCGTGATGGCATCAGCTTCTAAGCCAGTCATATTAGATCCGACCAGATCCGGACGTATGTTATTCACTCCACATGTTGATTGACCGGACATTCTCAAAACCCACTGAGAAAAAAACAGAATCTTTGGATTGCATGAATTGTGGAAAAGCGCAAAGGGCCAATACCTGGTATGGTACAATGCTCTGGTGCGCAGTGCCTAGTCTCCCCGTGTCCATTCCTGCGTTGAGGTAGCTAGCAGCAAGATGAGAAATGAGAGCTACCTGGTAAAAGACGCGCCTGTGAAATTAATCAAGTTTAGCACCATAATGACAAGAAAGAGTGATAAGAAAGATAAAAACAGATTTTTAAACAATGCTTTCTTTTCCCGAAAACATGTAATAAAGATTTTGTGAAAAATGTTTCAACGTTCATAAAAGATGCGTCCACGTTATGGAAATTTCAATGTCACTGTCTTCCTTGAGAGTCCTCGTCTGAGACATAACAAGTTTCATGGCCTTCCAATAGTAAGCATATAAACTATTCGTTATTTCTTTGAGCGCCGCTTTTCAAAATGCGACGTTTAAAAGAGGACGGCGTTTATCAGAGGGCGGTGTTCATTAGAGGGAAAACGATAAGTGTATAGGTAACATAAGTATTTTAAAGGTAACTGCTATGCTAATACTACCTGAGTTGAAAGCAGCGAGCAATCAATATATTTTCCTTCTCCAGTTTGAAATCGCTCAATGACGGCTGCCATGATAGCACCGTGAGCATACAGACCAGTTGTTATATCAGTTATGGCAACACCAACTCGACAAGGGTCACCTCCCTGAAATAAAAAAAGCATGGCATAAGAGAATTAAGTTGTTGAACGTTCTAGGAATAATTTAAATCCTGCGTTTAAATTCGTTGTTGTCCAAAATACGGAAAATATACTAAGAAATATTTCTTTTGGCATAATTTCGGCCAAACTTCGTCCTTTAGTATAAAATCTGGCATAGTTTAAAATCTAGCATAATTCTGGCCTAATTTTAATATTTGATAAGAAAACCTTTTTTTCAATTGATAAGTGATCCGCTGTTTAACGTGGCTGCATGCAAATACATTACACCCGCATGTGTGGCTATTATTATGTAAATTGCGACGCCATCTTATCATAGTATTTCAGTGTAAGGTAGCAAGGGTTATTAATGATGTCTGTATTTGGAGGTAGCTGATTGGTTACTTTCTAAGTTGGCAATGATGATTTCTTAGAGATAGCTCTGTCTGCAAAAAATATTGGCCACCTTTATGTTACATAAACATAACTACATATGCATAACAAATTTGCGCATGCGCTAGCCTCTTTTTCAAATAGGATAGCCTTGATTTGGAAGTTAGCATAATTCTTGTAAATCTAGCATAAATTTATGACAATTTTGGCATAATTTCGAAATTGTGATCTGGTCACACTGTTCACGGGCAGTATTTAAGAACCTCGTGGGATTGGTGGATTCGTGCTTATCGCCAGCTACTAGTTTTCTTATCAATAAACGCAGATAAGCAAGATATTCAGGAATCGATTGTCTGCCGACTATATGAAGAATATTAGCATGGTCTTGGCAGATCTCAGCCAAAAATAACCGTCTTTGCTCGCCATTTTTAAACCTTAAAGGCTTAAAGAACCTTGAATATTTTACAGGAGGCATTATTTAGAGAAATTGAGGTACAAAAAAGGAAATGATATTACTGCTCTAAAATTTACTTAAAAGACAAATATAATCCATTAATCAGGCTGTTATTGAAACAAACGAACTAATTCAAATGGCTGAATAAAAAGATTTATACAAATAGCAAGACATAAAAAAGGAAAATATAAATATTGGAAAAAGAACCTTGGGCCACGTACCTCAGGCCCAGTAATATGCATAAGGCCACCTATTGCTGATGCGACAAGATCATAGCCAGCTTTCTTACTTGAAGGCCCTTCTTGTCCAAAGCCAGATATGGAGCAGTATATCAAGCGTGGAAAGTCCTTTTTCAAACTATCGTAATCTAAACCAACAGTAGCAAGTTTACCAGGTAGGTAATTTTCAATTAGAACGTCAGACTTGGCAAGAAGCTGTATGCAAATAAAAGCAATGCGTCACTTATATTTACCTGTTTGTTGTGCGCAGGTTTCTAAAATGGCAGAGGGTTTAAATAGCGACAGACTGTTCTGTGAAACTCAAGTAGTATAGTCAAATACGACCAAATCTCTTGTGATATTTTACATGAAGTAGTATCCAGGGAATAAACGTAGTAACGTTACTATCGTTTAAACATTTCGTTTTTTAGTCTGTATCGCCTGGCCTCTTGGAACTCTTACAATCAGTACCACGATCTATCCAAAACCTAACATTTGCAGTATAGTTTTTGACAGGATGGTCGTTACAATGATTGTTGATGTTCTGTATGTCGTTGGGCGATGTCGTTGATTAAATCGTGAAATTGGTTTGACTTAGCCTTAATGTAAAGGGTCAATCTATGTTTTACGGTACGATCTGTGGGTATAATTTATTCCATGATGTGATTCAATAGTTTAGGGACTACTGACCAAATGTATGAAAAAGTAGCATACATTTTGGTCGAAAGGGTCGGCGGCTTGAATACGGGGGAGGTGGGGGCGACAAGCATTATGAGATTTTGCCATGTTGTAGATAGGGTATAAAAAATATAACATAAATGCAGTGTACTTCCATCTTAATGCTAGAACAATAGCACACAACAAAGAAGAATACCAAACATTATTTCATCGAGGCCGAGGTTTTCGAAACATTTCAAAAGTTTACTTCGTCTTTTTTACGATGCTCCATATAGTATCATACAAAAGCACAAGCTTACATCTTTGATTATCTTCAAGCCTTCTTCTTTCTTAAAGTCAACACATATGCTCTGAAATAAGATAATCCTGTTAATGAACTCTACATGATACAAAATAAACACGAAGATGCGAGGAAGTCTTGGTGGCTATAGGGTCGCATAATAAAAGATCCAAAGGTTTGCTGTGCGAGTCCTTGAGAAGACACAACCTTAACTCGGACTAAGCCACTGGAGACGCCAACCCTCTGCAATTCCAGGTGTATTAAATACGAGGTGTGCTCACATCTAGAGGAATGACCAGGAAACTGCTCGATTAGCAAAGCTTCTCAGAGTCCTGAAAGGTACCTTCAGATGCAAGATAGAGACAAATACAAGCATGATACTAAAAGTAGAAAATGAAGCGTATCTCTTTGACTTTTGATTTCTTCTGTCCAGGGGCGGTGCCAAGGGGTTGCCTGGGATGGACATATCTAGCCCACTTTTTTTAAGATCGATCTTCTAATTTTCCAAAAACTGGATTAAAAACAAAAAGGGGATCAGAGCCTTTTTTTCTTTTTGATGGTCAGTTACTGTTCTTCTTCAGATATTAGCTTTTTCGTGTGTAAAGCTTGCCTATGAAATTTAACTCTTCTACTCAATGAAATCGAATATTTCGATGGAGGGTTACAAAATAAGTCAAACTTGGTTATCAGTAACGAGCACAATCCCTCATCCGGTGTGGCACCGGTTGTTCATCCCGACCCCTTTATTAGCCCCTTCATTGTCCACCCCACTATTTTGAGGCAGCCCCTGCTTCAGTCAAATATTAACAACAAGAAAACTTGATTTCAATGTGAGTATCCCCTCAGCTGGTGCTGTTTTCGATGCCCTTTTATCTCAATTACAACTCAATTACAATTTTTGTGCTCACATATGAGAAATACGTTCTTTACAAAAGCTACAACAAATAAATCAAATAAAAAAGTTTTAAAATCATAAATTGAAAAAACAATTTTCAGCTTAAATTTTTTTTAAATAGAAATCTATCAATTTCTCTGATTTGAATTACAAATCATTAAGATACCTTAATATTTTCTTTTGAGGAGTATCACCTTCATTTAATCTACATCACTCACAAATTTTACAACATATTTTAAAAATATTTAAATACCTTTTTGTTTCTGTTGACTGACATAAAGTAAATACTCTCATTACCCTGGAATGGTGGCCCCCAAGCCCTTGTATCGTCGCCAGAACCTTAATAACAAATTTGAAAGACTGAAGCTCTACAAACCACTAATGTAAGTAACATCTATCTAAATGATTCTCTGCCTTGCGAAATAAAGATAATGGCATTGGAAAATATCCTAACGATCTCATTTGAAAAAAGTTTAAGAAACTTTATGCGTGGCAAAAGACAAAAAGTTACTGAGCTTTCCAATATGGATGAAGAACATTTATGAACGTTGAGCAGGATAGAGGATTACAAAAGTGCTACGAGACAGTTGAAAGAGTAGCATATGATTGTGGCAATAATTCAACTAATTGGTGCGGTCGGGCCTTTGTCAGGTAAAGCTTTGATAAAATATTCAACAAACATCATCATCATCAGGTACCATCTTCTATCAGAAGGTACCATGACCCTCCAACTATCCCAAAATCTGAGTTTTGGTTTGTTGTCATGGTCATAGGTAAAACGATTCAACAAACACTAAATAGTTTTAAATTTCCAGTAAGCTTTCATCAAATTATTTTTGTCATGTCTGGTGGCGGAATTACAACCCTTTCTCCATACTCAACAATTCAGAATTGATAAGAAACTTAACGTCATCAGGGTCTATAGAACGTTAACAATTGATTCAATTCATCATAGAAGAAGGAGATGCGGAACGCTACGTTAAATTTTTTAAAATTTATTTACAATCTTTTCTTAGCATTGCAATATTTGAAAGAATAAATATGAATATGAAAACAGCAAAAATTCTAGAATACTCCGACATAAAAATTATCATCTATATCCATTAAAATAATAACGACCCTTAAACAGAGAACACCGTTATCAACATTTGCATTGCCTTTCATTGCCAAATTATCATTACAATTTACATTGTCACCGATTCAAGTCATCTGCAGTTACGTATTTAATATATAACGGATAGCCATAATAAATAAAAATAATGTGCAATTGACGGATTTATTGCAATTTTGACAGAATTGGTATCGTATTGTTTGTATATCATTTCGCAAATTTTTTCATGTAAATCTTCTTAAATTTCTTTGGAAGAAAACATTTTTGTTGGCTAGGAAAAACATCAAACAAAATATGTTTTTTTTAAAAATGGGAATCTGATATGATTTTAGGTGAGAACCAGGGATGTAGTCGTAGTCGTAAAAGTTTAACGAGGGGACCTCTAAAATTCCTTGTCCCGGTTGGCATCATTTCCATTCGAAATATAATTCCACTAAAGACAATCTATGCAGCTAGCTCTGCGACAGGAACGGCCAATCTTTTTTAGTTGGGGAAAATTTTTTATGAATTTGCAGCACGGGTTTCAACAGGAATATCCCAACCAATTCTAACATTCACTTCACACTTAAAAAAAAGCAATTTGGAGAATGATAAAAATTGACAACACCATCTCGGAACCATGAATAGAATCAGAGTCAATGATCCTAGATGAATTGAAACCGGCATTAAATGAATAGAACAAAAGTGAAAATTAATAGATTGAATAAATTTAACATGAAAAAACACACCTGGCCGTTCAATTTTTATGATTTCAGCACCAAGATCGCCAAGGACCATTGTTGCGAAAGGACCTGCAAGAACTCTGCAATTTATAAGCAAAAAATTGACATATTTTCACAAAGAGACTCAAACCAATATCATTCAAAGCTGCCTTCAATATTTCGCATGTCTAGAAGACTCTCTAAGCTTAACAAAAATTTTTTGAATGTAAAGCCTGTAACGTGAGCTTGCAATGATACGTCATCAATTTTTTTCTGTATTTTCCATGGTTTCAATGAACTTATCAATCATATATTGATCTTCATTTATTTAGAACAAAGTTTTCTATAAGCATTTCAGATGGAATTTAAATCTCATTGACTATTTTACTTGCTGCTTGATTATATTCTTTGCAGTTGTGTGTTTTGGCAGTGTATTGATATATAATGGATTAGTTTGGTATCCAATTATTAACTAGCTGGATTTTTATTGTTAAAAAGTTTAATTGTGTTGTAATGATAATGGATTGTCTAAGACTTGGAATATAAATGAAATACTATGTCCAATATACACACAGATGTTCAATGTACATATATTTTTCACAAACTGAATAATAACAAGAAAACATTGAAGCAGGAAACTGAACTTAATAACAGAATCTAAGTAGAAACCTTGTCATGTCCAAAACTCTTATGTCTGTCAGAGGCAATGAAGATTTCAACCTTTCTGTGAGTAAAAGATAAAGAAAATATTATTCAATAAGCAAGGCATCAACCTAATGGAATGAGAAATAAATACAGGGCTTTTTTAACATACTAACTAGGGGCAATTTCCCTTTCAGCTACAGCGAACTTTCTTTAAAACTTGAAAATGCCAAATCAAATAGCTTTGAGACAACTGCAATCAATCTTTTAATGGTACAAAATTTAAAAATGGCAAAAGCAAAAATGTTACAACTTCTGTCCACATAATAATGACTTCAAAAAAAAAAAACATTTTGAGTCATACTTAGACCTCCTCAGTCTTGGAGATCATAAACAACAAGTAAAACATGGGATTCCACTTTCAAGCAGCATTACTAGAAAAATCAGATTGTGCAATGAAATATAACGGCAACATGTTTCGAATAATTAGCAAAGCCTGATCATTGATCCATTTAGCAGTTTTTGAATCTATCTATATAATCATAAAAAAATCACTTTGTAGACAGGAGGTGTTTGTTTTTACCTTAAGACTCCATTGGTAACATTTTCTATAGGCAAGCAACGCTAACTGGGCAACCTCAACTGTCAAGTGCTTGCAATTTCTGATTGACCTATTTTAATTCACAACTGAATATATTTCCTAGC